TCCTGAAGACCGCCTATGGTGCTTGGTATAACACCAGATAAATTGTTATTTGATAAATCTACCTCTATGACAACTTTCAAGTTTCCAATATCTTGTGAGAGAGGTCCAATTAGAGAATTGGATGAGAAGTTTACATACAAGATATAGGCAAGTCTCCAAAAAGTAGATGGTATTGTGGAACTCAACAAATTGGACTCTAGTGATAGATATCGTAGAGATGCGGATAGATTACCGAAGCATGGAGGTATAGAACCAGAGAGCTTATTACTAGCCAACTGTAAGTTAACTAGGTTATAAAGTTGACAAAGTTGATATGGGATGTAACCTTGCAATTTGTTGTAATTCAAGTTTATACCTTGGAGATTTCCAAGCCTTCCTACTGAAGTTGGAATTGATCCACTCAATTGATTTTTTCCGAGGTCTAAGGATATCAAGCTGCTTAAGTTGCCAATACCAATGGGAATGTTACCCCTCATGCTGCAGTTTATTAAACTAATACGTTGAAGCGTCGATGTAGAGAAATTCGAAAAGAAATCATCAAGTGTGGCATTTAACGGATTAGCGTCCAAGCTTAGTTTTGTCAAACTTCTAAGATTAGCCAAACAAGAGAGAGTGGTTGCTTCTGGAGTCGAAGTATCAATCGCCAAATTATTCATTGATAACCTAAGCCGTTGAAGGTTTGTTAAGGCACATAGCGTGGTTGGAATAAACCCTGTAAATGAGTTTTCGCCCAAGTCTAGAGCCGTGAGCATAGAAGCATTGGAGAGGTTGGGGATTACTCCGCTGAGGTCAGTTGCTGCTATATAAAGGACTTGTAGGTTTGGAAGCCCAAGGCCTATGTTTGCTGGGAGGCTACCCGATAGCTGAGTAAAAGAAAGCGACAATGTTCTCATTGTGGAGATATTGAAGATTGAGGACGGGATGAGGCCATTGAGATTGTTAACTCCTAATGACAAATACTCTAAATTTGGAAGATCACCGATCTCGTCTGGTATAGTGCCTGCCACAATTTCACGCATTAGCATTAGTTGAAAAGAATATTGACTTGGATAGAAACGGCAATTCAATCTATTTTTTTCTGTCGTGGAGATATTGAATATTGAGGATGGGCTAAGGCCATTCAGATTATTAATCTAATCTAACGCTATCTACTCATAAAATGTCACACTCATAATACTAATTAATACAACAATATTTACACGGAAATATTTACAACAATAAAATGTCACACTCTAACGCTATCAAATCTCTAAAAAGTTTTGTGTTTGAACCAAATTAAGAAATCTGGCCATAATTTGGGGATTAAAATATATGGTTTACAAAATGTCATATTCCCTTTGAGCAAAACACGTTTTTGTTTGCATGTCTTTACACCTCTTCTTCTTTTTTTATTCTTAGTTAGATAAATATATGGTTAACCTTAGATTTGAACATATTGACTTAGATAAAACGTTTATTAGGCAAGTCAATATGTTATTTTCATGATTGTAAACCTTGCTATTCGATTCTAATGAATTTCCCAGCGATTTTGACAAAAAAAATTGTTATATTAATTCATGATTAACTATCTCACTCATTTACTAAAATATGCAACCAAAATATAAATAAAAAAAATCATAATTGAATCAACATAGTGAAATATCAATTACCCGTCAAAGTATTGAAGCCAAGGGATAAAAGCGTCATCATTGTTAAGTTCCCAATATTTTTTGGTATGCTTCCACTGAAATTGTTTTCCTCCAAATTAAGCATAAGAAGCTCTCTGAATTGCCATAATTTGGATGGAAGTAGACCATCAAACTTGTTGCGACCCAAATTCAAGATTTGAAGACTAGGAAGATGTTGGCATATATTATCTGGAAGACCACCACTCAAGTTGTTGTCATATAGAGTCAACTCAGTCAAAGAAGACATGTTGAAAACAACCACAGGAACAGGGCCTTTTAGGGCATTAAGCTGCACATACAACTTCTCCAACTGATGTAAAAAGCCGATCTCTTTTGGAATTTCTGAAAAATCATTAAGATATATGCACATTTATATGTTAAACTCATGTTTTATGCATATATAATGCACTGCAACAAAAGCCGAGTCATATATAACTGTATAACATCAAGGCAATGCAATAAATATATATACCATTGAAATTGTTGGAGTCAAGGAATATCTCCTTCAACATTGTTAAGTTCCCTATTTCTCTGGGTATCGCACCTGTTAAGTATGACAAACAAAGACTTAGAATACATGTAAATAAATGAAATTAGAAAAAACCCCACTCTACATAATTTATAGAAAAGCTGTCTGAGTGGCTATTTTGGAGGAAAAACAAAACTCTCAACTAGTCACTTGGTCACTTTCTAATTGATTTATTAATATTTTACAATTTTTTCACTTTAAGGTACAATATGGAATTTTTCTATAGTACTAAATTTGAAGGGTGATTTTTATATTTATGACATATCATGTTATAATGGGCCTCCATGTGAAAAAGGTCATAAATATTCCCTCATATTTACAATCTATCATCCATGTCTTTATCCCCCAACGCCCAACATGTACTCGCTAGTTTCATAAATGTAAGTTTTGTAAAAACTTTCTGAGTACATAGAAAAAAAAAAACATTATAGACTCAACTGTTCTTAAAATTAAAAACCAAATACATAATCAATTCAAGTGAGAGTTTTTTTAGTATTGGATGACTTGTAAGTGATTAAAAGTTAGACTAATTTTCTAAAGGAAAAAAACATATTAGGCTTATAGATTAATAACAAGATGTTGAAACATAATGACAATAGTGTAGATACCTTGTTGGCACATACGTACCTGATAGTTTGTTAGCGCTTAGATTTATGTCTTGCAATGTAGACAAGTTGAAGATAGTCGAGGGTATGGTACCTGAAAACTGATTGCCATACAAATCGAAGCTTTGAAGTTTGGGGAAGGACCCAAACCACGACGGAATGGATCCCATAAAATTGTTGAATCTGAAGCTAATCAACTTCAGGCGACGCAAATAAGACAATTCATGGGGCAAACTACCATGGAAGCTGTTATTTTTGAAGCTTAGTGCAACAAGGAATGAGAGGTTGCCTAAGTGTGGTGGAATGGTGCCTGTGAAACTCATATACGAGAGATTCAATGATGCTACTCTGAGGTGGCGAGCACCGCAAGTAATGCCAACCCAGTTGCAGACGGAGGTGGTGGTTGACCAGTTGACCAAGATGTTGTGAGGATCACTAGTGATATGAGATTTCAGAGCAAGAAGAGCAGACTGGTCTGTGGTGATGTTGGTTTGTGTTGCACCTACTGTACATATAGAACTGTGGTGTACCAGCAACAACGTTATTGACAAGAGGAAACGACTTCTCTCCATGAGCACAGAAAACAGACAAGTTCCTTCCAACTACAAAGTGTTTTTCGTTTTATTTTTTCCCCCCGAGATTGAAAACCTGAAATGATTGAATAATTTGTTGCAGTGCCAATTTATAAAGGCAGAACAAGTTGACCAAGATTGGGATTGCACCCTGGGGGATGAAATTGGCGGGTAGCCAAATGCAACGACTTAGACTTGTAAGAAAGGAAGAATGGACAAATGGGTTTAACGAAAGGAACTTACTTGGAAGTGGTCTATTCATTTGTCTGTTTTTGTGGTCTATTCATTGCAACGACTTAGACTTAGACTCAGGGCCGGCCCTGAGGCATGGGCACGGAGGGCGACGGCCATGGGCCTCCAATTAAAGGGGCACCAAAATTTTATATATATGTATTTTACTTCTTTGTTTTTGTCATTTGCTTCCGAAGTGGTTAGCATGATTATTTTACTTCTTTGTTTTTGTCATTTGCTTCCGAAGTGGTTAGCATGATTATTTTACTTCTTTGTTTTTGCCATTTGCTCTACCCAAAGCATTTTGCCCATCACTTTCCATGCCTCTGCCGTCCAAAACTTTTTTTCATGTTTCTCATTTATCTTTGTTCTTCCCTCCTCCCTTTTTTTGTCACTGATTTTCTTCATCCTCTTCTTCCTCTCCTCTCCCCTCTCCGATTCTTTCATTCTCTTCCCTCTTTATTTTTTCTTCTCTTGTTCTCTCTTATTTATCTCTATCTCTCTTTCCCCTTCCACTTTCTTTCTTATTTCTCTCTTGGTTTTGTTAAAAATAAATAAAAAGTGTTCAACCCTTCTTGATTTGAGAAACCAAAGGGTCTGTAGAGATTTTGACCAGAAAAAAAAAAAGGTCTGCAGAGGTAGAGAGAGACAAATATACGACAATCAGGTAGAGAAAAAGTCATGGATTTTTTTTCTCACCATCCCAATATCCGAGAGACAGAGGTAGAGAGAAGTCATGGAACTATGAAAAAAAAGAAAAACCAACCAACATTTGGGAATATTCCTAACATAATTTAAGCTAACAAACCCTCTCCAACCAATTTTTTATTTCTTTATTCATAATTCTATGAAAATCTTGCTTTGTTGGTGACTTTTAATTCAAAGTTAGACAAGAGACATAGTTAAGATAGGTGGATTGGTTTATGTACACAAATTCAGTTGGGCTTAGGCCCGTCATTCATATATATATATATATATATATATATCACGTGTGTATGATTTGAGCTTTTATTCAGTCCCAAAAAAAAAGGATTTGAGCTTTTAGGCTAATAGCTCCCAAAAGGGCCCAAACCTAACTCGTTTGTTTACACACAACAAAAATAGGGTGGGAGGCCTGGCTGCCGTAATCAGCCGTTGTTTGCCTCTTGACATGGCGAAAGCAGCGGTGGAGCTCCCTAGAGATCGTGGTTGCAGCCACAACACAACAGCACAAACCCTCCTATCATATTGATACCATAACAACAACCAAGGCTAGTATATTATATAATAAGTCTACACACTCCACCATAAAATCAATCCGAAATAAAACGGCATGCCTTCCTCTACATTGTCTAAATTAAAGACTGAAATTGAATCAAATCAAAGTGCATGAAATACATTTCATAGGATAGGACCATTAATTGAAGCACTGCTGAACAAGAGGATGGTTTAACAGCACACCTCTTCCCGCAGTAGCTTTCTTCAAAAACTTTGTCTTGATTTTGTTGAGTGTGGCTGCAGCTTCTTTCATACTTATCCTCTCTTCTGGGGATTCTACACAACATGTAAGAGCTAATCTCATAATGGCTAATATGCAATCCCTCTTCCTCACGTGATCATCGTCTTCCTGCTGTGTCCTAATCCCAATCAAATTGGCATCCACAACTTCATCTATCTTTGCATCTGGTAATACTAGTGAGTTTGCAATCCATTGCTTTATTTTCATTTCCCCATCAAACATCTCATATATTGGCTTCCTTCTTGTGAATGTTTCCATCACTAGAATTCTGAAACTGTACACATCCCCTCTTGTTGAAACCATTCCTTCCAATCCATACTCTGCATTATGAATTATACTTATATATTCATGTGTATGATGAAATGAAAATTATACATAATTAAGGACAACATGTATAGAATTGAAAGATATTAAATTAGCAAGTATATCACCTAGAGCCATATACCCAACTGTGGCTAGGGTCATGGTTTGGGTTATAGAATCTCCTCCACCCAAGAGTTTTGCAATTCCAAAATCAGCAACATGTGCAACCATATCATTATCTAGTAGTATATTGCTCGGCTTCAAATCGCAGTGGACAATAGGTACTGAATAACCATGATGAAGGTATTCCACTGCTGCTGCAACATCTGCCATTATATTCATCCTCTCTAGGATACTCAGAGAAGAGTTTTGAGAACACAACCATTTTTCGAGGCTCCCATTAGGCATGTAGTTCAGTACCAAGGCTTTGAAATGAATTTTATTGCAACAGCTGATGATTTTGATAAGATTTGGATGACGAATATTGCTTAGCATTTCACATTCCCTATCAAAACTCTTGAAAGCCCCCTCTAGTTGTAAACTGAAAACCTTTATTGCAACATCTATTCCATCCAAAAGTGTCCCTTTATATACTGAGCCAAAATCCCCACTTCCAAGTAAGTTTTTTTTTCTTTAAATCCATCTGTCCCCTTTAGAAGTTCAAGGTGTGAAACTCTTCTCCAATGAAGTTGAGAGAACAAGGTAGCCTCTATTGGAACTTCCACATTCCTTTTCCTCTGTAGTAGAAAGATAGATACAGAGGCGACTAGGAGAACTACTGATATGATCCTTGCGATGATATATTTAGCTTTCTTCCAATTTGGTTCAAGTGTACTATTTTTGCATGGTGGAACATGAAATCGAGATGCACCACAAAGTGCATTGTTTGAGACAAATGATTGAGTGGAGAAGTTATGGAAGGGTCCACCTGTTGGAATTTCTCCTTGGAGCCTGTTGAAGGACAAATCCAGGTTGTTGAGAAATAAAAGAGCTTCTAAAGACCTTGGGATTACGCTAGACAGATTGTTTCTGGATAAATCCAAGAATTCCAGGCTAATCAAGTGCTGAAATGAACTTGGAATAGGGCCATCTAAATTATTATTTGCCAAGGATAGATTTTTCAAATCCAAAAGACCCCCAATGGTGCTTGGTATAACACCAGATAAATGGTTATCTGATAAATCTACGCCTACCACAACTTTCAACTCTGCAATATCTTGTAAGAGAGATCCAATTAGAGAATTGGATGATAAGTTTACATATAAGATATAGGCCAGTCTTCAGAGAGTAGATGGTATTATGGAACTCAATGAATTGGACTCCAGTGATAGATATCTGAGAGATCCGACTAGATTGCCCAAGCAGGAATGTATAGAACCAGAGAGCTGATTTCCACCCAGAGATAAGTAAGCTAGGTAATCTAGTTGACAAAGTTCATTTGGGATGTATCCTTGCAACTTGTTACCATCCAAAAACAAAACTTGGAGATTCCAAAGTCTTCCCATTGAAGTTGGAATTGATCCACTCAATTGATTGCCACTCATGGATAACAGTACCAAGCTGCTCAAGTTACCAATACCAATAGGAATGTTACCCCTCATGCTGCAATTGAATAAATAAAGATATTGAAGCGACGATGTAAAGCAATTCCGAAAGGAATTATCAAGTCTGGCATTTAACGGATTACTTCCCAAATGTAGTGTTGTCAAATTTCCAAGATTAACCAAACAAGAGAGAGTGGAAGTATCAATCGTCTAATTATTCCCTCCTAATCTAATGAACTCAATGTTTGTTAAGGCATAGAGCGTGCTTAGAATAAACCCTGTAAATGAGTTTTGGTGCAACTCTATCTTGATGAGCGTAGAAGCATTGGAGAGGTTGGGGATTACTCCGCTGAGGTCATTTGTTGCTATACAAAGGTGTTGTAGGTTTGGAAGCCCAAGGCCTATGTTTGCTGGGAGGCTCCCCGATAGCTAATTAGAAGAAAGCGACAGTGTTCTCATTGTGGAGATATTGAAGATTGAGGATGGGATGAGGCCATTGAGATTATTCTATTCGATTGGCAAAAACTCTAAATTTTGAAGATCACCCATCTCATTTGGTATGGTGCCTGCCACAATTTCACAAACATTGTAACATAAGCATTAGTTGAAAAGAATATTGACTTAGATAAAAATGGCAATTCAATCTATTTTTTTCTATCGTGGAGATATTGAAGATTGAGGATGGGATGAGGCCATTCAGATTATTAATCTAATCTAACTCGTTCATGACCTTTAGTATAAAATGTCACACTCGTAATATTAATTAATACAACAATATTTACACGGAAATCTCTAAAAAAATTTGTGTTTGAACCAAATTAAGAAATCTAGCCATAATTTGGGGATGAAAATATATGGTTTACAAAATGTCATATTCCTTTGAGCAAAACACGTTTTTGTTTGCATGTCTTTATACCTCTTCTTCTTTTTTTTCTTCTTACTTTGGTTAACCTTAGATTTGAACATACTGACTTAGATAGAACGTTTATTAGGCAAGTCAGTATGTTATATTCATGATTGTAAACCTTGCTATTCGATTCTAATGAATTTTCCAGCGATTCTAATAAAAAAACTGTTATATTCATGATTAACTATCTTCCTCATTTACTAAAATATGAAATGTAGTTAAATAAAGATAAATTATGCAACCAAAATAAAAAAAGATAAATCATAATTGGATTAACATAATGAAATATCAATTACCTGTCAAAATGTTGAGGCCAAGATCTATCTTCTTCACCATTGTTAAGTTCCCAATATTTTTTGGTATGCTACCACTGAAATTGTTTGCCCCCAAATTCAAGTTTTGAAGACTAGGAAGATGTTGGCATATATTGTCTGGAAGACCACCACTCAAGTTGTTTCCATATAGAGTCAACGTAGTCAAAGAAGACATGTTGAAAACAACCATAGGAACATGGCCTTTTAGGGCATTCCACATTACAAACAACTCTTCCACATGATCTAAAAAGCCAATCTCTTTTGGAATTTCTGAAAATCATTAAGATATATGCACATTTACGTGTTAAACTCATGCTTTATGCACATTAATGGACTGCAACAAAAGCGGAGTCATGTATAACTGTATCACATCAAGGCAATGCAACAAATATATATCATTGAAATTGTTGAAGTCAAGGTTTATCCCCTTCAACATTGTTAAGTTCCTTATTTCTCTGGGTATCGCACCTGTTAAGTATGCCAAACAAAGACTCAGAATACATGTAAATAAATGAAATTAGAAAAAATACCACACTACATATAATTTATAGAAAAGCTGTTAGAGTGGCTATTTTGGAGGAAAAAAAAAACTCTCAACTAGTCACTTGGTCAGTTTCTAATTGGTTTATTAATATGATACAATTTTTTCACTTTAAGGTACAATATGGAATTTTTCAAGGGTGTTTTTGATATTTATAAAATATCATGTTATAATGGGCCTCCATGTGAAAAAGGTCATAAATATTCCCTATTATTTACAATCTATCATCTATGTATTTATCCCCTGACACCCAACTAGTTTTATCATTTGTAGCCTACAACATGTACTCACTAGTTTCATAAATGTAAGTTTTGTAATAACTTTCTGAGTATATTAATAAATAAATAAAAAAACCAACATTATAGACTCAACCGTTCTTAAAATTAAAAACCAAATACATAATCTATTCAAGTGAGAGTTTTTGAGTATTGGTTGACCTGCAAGTAAGAAAAAATTAGCATAATTTTCTAAAGAAAAGAGAACACATCAGGCTTATAAATTAATAACAAGATGTAAAACATAATGATAGATCACCAATAGAGTCTAGATAAATTGTTGACACATATGTACCTGATAGTTTGTTAGCCCCTAGATGAAGTACTTGCAATGTAGATAAGTTGAAAATAGTCGTGGGTATAGAACTTGAAAATTGATTGCCATACAAAGAAAACTTCTGAAGTTTGGGGAAGGACCCAAACCACGATGGAATGGATCCCATAAAATTGTTGTATCCGAAGCTAATCAACTTAAGGCGACGCAAATAAGACAATGCATGGGGCAAAGTACCACGGAAGCTCTAATTTCTGAAGGTTAGTGCAACAAGGAATGAGAGGTTGCCTAAGTGTGGTGGAATGGTACCGGAGAGTCCCATGTGAGAGAAGTTCAAGATTGAAACTGTGAGGTGGCGAGCGCCACAAGTAACACCAACCCAATTGCAAACGGAGGTGGTGGTTGACCAGTTGACCAAGATGTTGTGAGGGTCAATAGTGATATGGGATTTGAGAGCAAGTGGAGCAGACTGGTCCGTGGTGATGTTGGTTTGTGCTGCACCTACTGTGCCTACAGAACTGTACTGCAGCTGCAGCACTAGCAAGACGGTGATTGACAAGAGGAAACAACTTCTCTCCATGACCATGAGCACCGAAAACAGAGAAGTTCCTTCCAACTTCAAATTGTTTTTCGTTTGTTTTTCCTTTTCGATTTAGAATTTGAAATCATTGAATAATTTGTTGCAGTGCCAATCTATGAAGGTAGAACAAGTTGCCAAAGAGTGGGGCACATGATTGCACCCTCGGGGAAGAAATTCGCAAGTAGCTAAATGCAACGACTTAAGACGGTAGACTTGTAATGAAGGAAGAATGGACAGTTGGGCATCTTCACAAATGTAGAAGAACTTGTCATACATCTATATATTCTGTCAATCAGATATGGGTGGTCAATCCAATCTCCTCCGCATAATAAGGACCCTTTTGCTTTGATTTTTTTTTCAGAAACAAAGCATATACACATACATATTCCAGGATAGCAAGCTGGTGGACTAAATTTGCAAGCAGATAATTGCTCAGACCACGGCCAATTTCCGTTAGTTTTTCGTTTTGTTGGGCTTAGGCCTGTACATACTTGATAATGCTGCCAAAAGGTTGATAGTTCAATGGTAAAAGTATTTATCTGGTTAGTGATTTCAAGTTCAAATACCAATAACACTTAATCCCCTCTCCTTTCCAAATTTTAACAAATAATAATAATAATAATAATTTGTGTATGCAACTAATTTCAGTTTGATCACAAAATATTTTTCAATATTATGTGCATTGCATTTAGCTTTAAATCAAATTGAAAAGTCAAAAACTTGTGTATATTGTGTCTATGGACTCATCTCGACATGCCCTATGCAACAGTACAACTGAAATTCCCAAAGTCTTTCCCGAACAAAAAGTCAACTTTTAAACCATTAAAATAGTCCCGGAGTAAAATCATCTTTTATTTGAATATTTTATTAATTAAAAATTAATTTAGGATTGGGTTATTACATCTTTGATACTAATTTCTTCTTACTTCGGTTAACTTAGATTTCAACATATATATTGAACGTTTATTAGGTGAGTTAATCTGTTATATTCATAATTAACTATCTTCCTCGTTTATTAAAATATGAAATAGTTTTTTTTTTACCAAACAAGCAATAGTATTTTATTAGATCAATTGAAAAAGAACATAGAAAGTCATTTCAATTAGCAATATGACTGATATGGGTAGAGCTTCCCTAGTGATTTTACATTCAAACACCAATGACACCTCACTCTCTCCTTTTCAAATTTTCACAAATAATAATAATAATAATAATTTATGAATGCGACTAATTTCAGTTTGGTCACAAAATATTTTTCAATATTAGGGCATCATTATAAATGTACATTGCATTTAGCTTCATATTAAATTGAAAAGTATAAAAATAAAAAAAAAAACTTGTGTATATTAGCCTTTCAAGACACTTTTCTGATGCATGATACACATCCGTTGGCATTATGTACACAGCTGGTAGACAATACTTCCATTCATCTCAACATCTACAAATCCTTATCCACTTTTTTTCTTCTGCTGTTATAAGCAATACCAAAAATAAAAATAAAAAATTGTAATTCAAATCATTGAAATTGCAACATTTTTTGTCTTTTAAGCGTCACTACCTTATCTTTTGAAAATTTATCATATTCATTTCAAATCTTTTATTTTTCTTTCAAAAATACTCATATACGGATTTCATGAAAGGTTGAATGATGATGAAATCTACGGATTTCATGAAATGTTGAATGATGATGAAAAATTAGTCAATGTGATAAACTAAATAATTGTACGAATTTCATATTTAGAGTTAAATTGCATTTGTTTTTTTTAACATACAAGTTATATATCTGGCAATTTATTTCAAATATTCAATTATTTGCCTAGAGTTTGGTGACCAAAATAATTGAATTTAAAAATTGTTTTTATGGCTAATGGAATCTAGCCCATTGGAAACTTTTTTTTATTGTTTTTATTTCAAATAATAGCTAGTGGCTAAAAAATTATTTAGACTAACGCATGTATTAAAAAAAAAATTATATTTTTATGATTTTGTGGTGGTAGCACACTTTTTTCATTTACACACTTGAATTTTTCATCATGGACAATACACTCTCCAGGCCCTCCACTCACATGGAGATGGAGTGCAATCATCAAAAGCCCTGGGAGGCCCAATACTAAAATCTCTTTTTTGGTCAACTTAGTTACTACTAATAATAAAGGGTAAAATAGGCAAAGAAATTGCATGTTGAAGATTTTTAACAGTTGCGTGCCGTAGATCTGTAAAATCATCACCGACCATCAAGTTGACTTGCTTCACCATCAAGTCATCCACTTATTAACCATTCAATTTACTGGTTCGACTCTCGTGAGCCGTTCCCCGCCCAAATCAAAATTGTACAGCATGGCTTAGAAAAGCACGTGACCGATTAAATGTTGAGATATTTAGTAATATACACATTCTTAGCACTAAAACTATAAATAAACCCTACATCATTTCATTTTTATAAACATACCCAAAAAAAAACCCAAAAAATGACAAATGGTACTATTAAATTTAATTTTAATTATTAAATTACTTTGATACCCTATTGAGTGTTTTGGGCTTTTTATGAAATTTTGGGTTGGGTTTGTTTTAAGAAATCAATGGCAATTTTGTAATTTAAAAGAAGTTAAAAACCTTTTTGTTATGTTATAAATATGCTTTGGGTGTGTTTATAAATTTCATTTCATATAGGGTTTTTTTATAATTTAGGCTCCTATATTGGGTATATTAGTGAATCTCCCTTAAATGTTTGACGGTATAATAGTAAGCCCAATCATCGGTGTAGGACGTCTGATGAGGTTAGGCTGGATTGAGATTGCCTACGTGTGACGCTGTTAGTATCTGTTTAGTATAACACACGTGTTACCCACTAAGTAGCTGAAGATTACTTGATTGGAAATAAGCTGGTTCTTCTTCTTCTACAGAATACCAACCTCTTGCATCTCACGACTCATCCAACACACAAAGAATCGTTAAACTTCGTATTTCCCATGTTTATGTTGCGCTGTCAAACATGGAAGTTGCAATTCTCATGCTACCACGTTTTTGTTTCAACATTCAACTTTGAACTTTGAGCAAATTTCCATGGCCCTTTTTTCGGTAAATTGTTTGTTTTTCCTCTTCGTTTTTTTGCTACACGAAGGTTTATAGTTGTAACAATAATAGTTACAATCCAACATTCAAGATAAAAGTTTGATTCTTTATTTCTGTTTTTCCGGCAACAACATTAAGGCTTCAAGTAACTAATGTTGAACTAGAAGGCTTGACAATAAGTTAATGATTAAATTAAGGAGGCCTACTTCTCGTAAAACAAAATTGTTAAGTAAAACAAAAGTGTCATATTATTTTTGTGGGAATATTTTGGATCACATGCGATGTGACAAGGGCACTTGACATAAAAATTGACGCTAATTATGTTGTTTAATGAACAATTTGTCACCACTAACATAATAAGGTTAAATCGATGACTAATAAATTAAAAAGAAAATCTTTCCCGAAATAATAAATAAATTTGCAACAACTTTATATTTTATATTGCATGCTTTTCGGATTGTGGGAAACTTGCTAGCAAAAAACTTTTTTTTTTTTTTTTTTTTTTTTTTTTTTTTTTTTTCACCAAAAACAAAAAGACCTTAGCTTTTCTATGAACACCATTTACAGAAGATTTTCTTAAACTTGTCGTAAACGTCATATATTGTTATATGAGGCAAACAAAATTAAATACAAAAATAGAAAGAAAAATAAATAAAAAAACTAAGTATTGTATTTGGGAGGAGGTGGAGGGTATATTCTTGTACCATATAGAGAGCATCATTGTCTCCAAAACCAAATAAAACATCTCTCTTTAGTTTCTTCTACACACACCACTCATCAATCATCAAAAACAACACCCAACAAACCAAACATCACATCCCAAACTCAAAAACCAAAAAAATCAACCCACCCACAACCAAAAAAAAAAAAAAAAAAAAAAAAAAAAAAAAAAAATCAATCAAACAACCCAAAACCACCTGAGAAATCGAGAGAGAGAGGCCGTCCCTTCCCGGAGGAATGGCAAACCTCACCACCAAAGCTACCGATAACGGCGTCGCTTCCACCACCACCACCCCTACCAACAAATCCAAAAACATCCCAGCTCCACTTTTGGGACGCTTCGAAATCGGCAAATTGCTTGGCCATGGCACCTTCGCCAAAGTCTACCATGCCAAGAACATCAAAACCAACGAGAGCGTAGCAATCAAAGTCATCGACAAGGAGAAGATCCTCAAGGGCGGCCTAATCGCTCACATCAAACGCGAGATCTCAATTCTCAGGCGCGTTCGCCACCCAAACATCGTGCAGCTTTTCGAGGTCATGGCCACCAAGGCCAAGATCTACTTCGTCATGGAGTACGTTCGCGGTGGCGAGCTCTTCAACAAGGTGGCCAAGGGCCGCCTCAAAGAAGAAGTTGCTAGAAAGTACTTTCAGCAGTTAATCTCAGCCGTCGGATTTTGTCATGCTCGCGGCGTTTACCACCGTGATTTGAAGCCGGAGAACCTCCTCCTCGACGAGAATGGCGATCTCAAGGTCTCTGATTTTGGGTTGAGCGCAGTTTCTGATGAGATTAAGCAAGATGGTCTATTTCACACGTTCTGCGGCACGCCGGCTTATGTGGCGCCTGAGGTTTTGGGTCGAAAGGGCTACGATGCTGCAAAGGTCGATATTTGGTCTTGTGGGGTTGTGTTGTTTGTGCTCATGGCTGGATATTTGCCTTTCCATGACCAAAATGTTATGGCTATGTACAAGAAGATCTACAAAGGCGAGTTTCGGTGTCCCAGATGGTTCAGTGCTGAGCTTGTTAGGTTGTTAACTCGTCTGCTTGATATAAATCCTGATACTCGGATTACAATCGCGGAGGTCATGGAGAATCGGTGGTTTAAAAAGGGGTTTAAGCATATCAAGTTTTACATTGATCATGATGACAGGCTTTGCAATGTTGAAGACGATGAGGAGGACAGATTTAGCGATGTGAGCTCGCTTTCTGATCAATCTTGTATGTCAGAATCGGAGGCTGAGTTTGAGACCAGAAGAAAGCTTACATCTTTGCCTAGACCAGCCAGTTTGAATGCATTTGATATAATTTCGTTTTCTGCCGGGTTTGATTTATCTGGGTTGTTTGAGGAGCGCGGTGAGGAGGCGAGATTTGTGTCGGGTGCGCCGGTTTCGACGATCATATCGAAGTTGGAGGAGATTGCTAAAGTTGTGAGCTTTTCAGTGAGGAAGAAGGATTGCAGAGTGAGCTTGGAGGGGTCTAGGGAAGGTGTGAAGGGCCCATTAACGATTGCCGCTGAGATATTCGAATTGACACCGTCTTTGGTGGTTTTGGAGGTTAAGAAGAAAGCAGGGGACAAAGCAGAGTATGACCAGTTTTGTAACACAGAGTTGAGACCTGGGTTGCAGAATTTGATGATTGAGGAAAGTGCTGCTGCTAATAATGTTCCTCCTTCGTATCTACCTTCAGATACTGAATAGGGAAGAACAGAAAGGGAAATGGGTATGCTTTAATCTCTCTTTGTTTCTTTGTTTTTCTTTTTTTCTGATTTGCTAAGGCCGCTGTAAAGGTTCATCTTTTATTGATTTTTCCTAGTTTCTTCGGTTGTTTGCTTTTGGGAATTAGGTGAAGCTCTAGATACTGCTCTGTACTGTCTATTCTATTCTTGTATCGAGAAAGCTATAGATTAGATAACAGAGAATGGAATACACATTTCTACTTATCTTGGATTGTTGGTGGTGTGTGTGTGAATGTTTAAGTGTATATGCTTACATTATAATTTTTTATGCTAGAGAAGGTGGAATGTTACTTATTTTCACTATAAAAATCCATTATCACACCAGTTACAATAAAGTTCTTTTGCTTTATAATAACATAAATGCAGTAGATTATGAAGACATTTGGGGAAGTAAATGTTAAAGAGTTCAGCAAATCTATACTTTCTGCCTCCCATTTCTTATTCTGAGTATATACACGATTTCTGCTTTTAGTGAGTAAATGTTAAAGAGGATGCAAATTTTAGTTAACAAATGTCTGCTTACTGGTGAGCAGAGGTGTTTTGCCCAGACCTTCCCTTATGTAGGTACCTAGTTAGCATACCACCTAATTGAGTAACATTTTGTGAATTTGGGACTTCTAGGTGAAACTTTTACTAAATTGGATAAAATGGTGGGAATGGGAAGGATGTTTGGAATTGTAGGAAAATGTTGGAAGGGTACATGTAAGGATCCATGGAAACATTTTACATCATATCTTAGTGTCTGTCCGTTAGCTGCATATTTCCAAATCCATGCCAGGATATGATTTCCTTCACAATTGCATAAATTTGCTCCCAAATCAGTATATCTTTGGACATGAACCCATGGACCACTTTTTGTATTTTTATGGATCATCAAAAGGGTTTTTTTTTCTTTGATTGGAATGGATGGAGAGATACAGAGGACATTGGTGAGAAGAAGGCATATACAGATTTTGATTGATAATGTCGTATGAATTTTATACTTGAATTTGAATGAAGGAAGCCAAGGCGACAGAAAAATGGAAATTATTTTATTGACTAGACGACAGGGTGCTCAATTGTTGGTGCACCTACCATTAGCTCCTCACCTTTCTACTAATTTCTTAAGTCGGGCACTTGTGACTCGTTTGTTTATATGCGATGGCAACTGCCATATATGTCGATAAATAACTTCTTGTCAGCATTCTCGTTTGGCCGAGTTCGGGGGCATTTTTTTCATGAGAAGGATAGCACTATTTTGTTATTTCTGGCCAATCGAGGCATGTCACGCGTGATAGTTTTTTCACGTGACAGTTTGTGATTGGTTGGGGATAGCAAAACAATGCTATCCATGTTTCATACAAGTTTTTCAGTATTTTCATGGTGCAGAATGAAGGTCCCATTTCTTTCATAGAAGTAGCAGACACAAGAAGATTTGCAATCTTTGACAGGAGATTTGGCTCCTTTTGTTTGTCGTTTACAAATATACAGGATATCAAATGCATGGACATATATTTAACCCTGTTAAGAAAATGAATTAAGTAGCTATCAACCAAAGCCCATGCTCTGTAATTTACAGAGAGAATACTATTTCCCAATTAAAAACCAAGTCTGCCAATAATTTGGTTTAAATAAACAATCTAAAAACATTTCTCGCCGTAAGAGTGGACAAACAGAACAGAAAAAGCTGGAAGTCTATAGAATCTAGCAGCCGAAAAGATTAGTTAAAGAGTTGAGTGGATCTAATTGCGCATACGAATCTACTAAGAATGGTAATGAGATGACTAACTGGTTTTCCACTTCCGTGACAAAAACAAAAAGCAAATTCCACATGCAAGACGTGTAAAAAAATCATAGGGTCATCGTTGAAAAGAACCAGAGGAGAGGAGATCATTAGGTGAAGTGTAGAAAATTAGAAATGAAGTCGGTTTCGTTGACTTTATGATCAATCGATGATCTGTGTGTTTGGCTTTACAGATGTTCTTCTGAAGGCGTCTTTTTGCCACCTCGATGGCCATCCAACAACAATTCAGGACATGACTGGTAGGTTTTCCCGCTGTCTTGGTCGATTCTCAGGTGTTCTCTTTCTATCTTCTTCCATTTTGCGACTTATAATCCAATTTTCTTTTTTGGGTTTGTTCAGGATTGGGTGTGGAACATCATTTTCCATGTTTTGTATGTGGACCAATTGAGGGAAATATAGGATAAGACATGTGGACGGATAAGAAAAGAGTTAGCATAGATCACTAGTTTGAAAATCACTGGAGGACTTTGAGATTTCGTGAAGATATTTCTGATAGCAGTTATTGCTTATATTCTGTATATAAATAAAGGAAAAGCAAGTTATAAAAGTCATTGGGATTGGATTTTTAGTGGGCTAATCTTTTCTTAAATGCAGCCAATCTTTTGTTAAACACTTTTCGCCACCTTATAGGGCAGCATATCACACCAATTAATATTAAAACGAATTATTTGTGATGACAAGAATTCCGTTTTACTTGTGATAAAGGGAAAAGATGCCAAGATCTGTCTACTAGCGTATGATGCATGCCGTGAGCAACGGGAACTACTTAAATTTGATGGAATCTGAGCTTTGATTGTGAAACCTAATCAAACCCTTCTTGACAATGGCCCTGGTGACCCCAAACCAGCGCATAGTTACATGGAAAGAAGGAGACTTTCAATGCATATGCATGGATCACATGAAAAGATGAAAATAGGACCAAGTGCATGTTTACAGATGTGTCTCTGTGATTGCCTTTACTTTGCTCATGTTTTAGGAAGGTCATGACCCATCTGTATCGTACGTGCACCGAATAATTTAGTCATTGCATGCCTTAATGATTCTCAATTCTAATTCCATTTAAGCTACAATGCTTGGGGATGAAGATTTTGCTTACCCTTATTGGATATGATAGTACTTCTTATGTGGTTGCTCATTTCCATTATGCACTTTCTGGTGCTTGGAGCTGTCTTGCTTTATTTGCAGGATTAGGTGTGTGTGGGACAAAAACGATGATGGATAGCTAGATTCATAAGCAAATGATACATTCGTTTCTTCACTTCACAGTGTTACTGTGAATTCAAAGGAAAATAAAAGAAGGAAAAGGAAAAACAGATTAGTCTAAAGCTTTCACTTTAAATATGTTATTGAATATCCTAAATTTGCCCTTTTGGGGGGCTACCAGTTTAAACTAGTGGTCTATCTGCCCTTGATCATTCTGGCTACCACATTTTGCAGCATCTCGATTACAGAATTTTCGAGCCATCCTGTACCGCACTCTGTCTTGAAGTTGTGCACAAGACTAACAATACCCCTCGCTACATTTAGATCTCAAATTCAAAAGAACTCCAAAAGTGGATAAATAAAAAAAGACCTGAAAGCATAAGAAAATAAAGATGAAAAAGCACGGAAGACATCTTTTAGCATCTAGTTTTAGATAGAAAATATGCACTTCCTATCTAAGAAACAATTTCTGGTGCTGCTGGCTGTTGCTCATGCTTTTGTTCACTTCCTTGCCAAGTCCATACTATGTCCTGAAGAGAGGGCTTTAAGTCATGGTCACAGAACTCCATGTATTCTAATGTGTCCCCAGCCGTTTTCTTCATCTCTACAACATAAAATGAAGGCGTGACCTCAAAAATCTCAGCATCGATACCAAGCTGCCCTTTCCTTCCTTCCTTGCTGCCCTGCAATTTCAGGGTCCCATCTTTCTTCATGCATTTGAATCTCTCGGTCTCTGCTATCGCTTCGAATTTTGAAACAATTGTTGCGGCTGGTTTTGTGCTGGTGAATCTTGCCTGTGGTCTGTGCTGCATGTCATTCTCAAACAAACCGGATAGATCAAAACCTGGCGATAGAGAGATGATGTCAAAGGCATTGAAACAAGTTGGCCTCATGGGGGTTGTTCCTGCTGTGCTCGTTTTCTTGTGGGAACTGCCTTCTGCAGACTCATCTGTTGTTGTTGATGCAAAAGCTGCCTGGACATCACGCAGGATGGAGGCGTTGGGATCAGGAGGCGGCAAAGGTGCTTCAACAAGTTTAAACCCTTTCTTGAACCAACTGTTCTCCACGATCTTGTCCACACTTATTCTTGTGTTTGGATTAGGATCAAGAATCCTCGAAAGAAGCTTGCGAACCTCTGGAGGAAACCATTGCGGACTTTTGAAATCTCCTTTGCTGATTTTCCTGTACATTTCCATGAGATTGGTATCATGGAAAGGCAGAAAACCAGCCAACAGAACATAAAGGACAACCCCACAAGACCATGTATCAGCCTTGGCACCATCATAACCTTTCTTGTTTATCACCTCCGGTGCTACATATGCAGGAGTTCCACATGTTGTGTGGAGAAGGCCATCTTGTCCCCTTGACTCCCATAATGCGCTCAATCCGAAATCCGAAACTTTAAGGTTACCATTCTCATCAACCAAGAGATTCTCTGGCTTGATGTCGCGGTGGTAGACGCCTCTGCTATGGCAGTAATCAACAGCCCCAACCAACTGCTGAAAGTATTTTCGGGCCACGTCTTCCTTGAGCTTCCCCTTGGCAACCTTGTTGAAAAGCTCCCCACCTCTCACATACTCCATGGCAAAATAAATCTTGGTCTTGCTGGCCATGACTTCAAAGAGCTGAACCACATTGGGGTGCCTCACAAGGCGCATCACAGAGATTTCTCTCTTGATTTGATCAATCAATCCCACCTGTTGCACCTTCTCCTTGTCGATGACCTTAATCGCGACGCTCTGGCCGGACCTCAGATTTCGGGCATGGTAAACCTTGGCGAAGGTCCCTTGTCCAAGCAATCGTCCCAGCTCGTATTTATTCATCAATATGTTTCCCTTCTTTTTCTCCATTTTTGCTTTTGTGGTTTTTTTCTGAAAACCCTGCCTCAATTTCCACCACAGAAACAGCTGATGGTGAAGATGAAACAAGATCAATACTATATGTACATGCAATCAAGAACTTTGCAGCTTGATTGCGGTAGTTTATATACACTTGCTCATATCCAACGAAAATTATGTTGTGAAGTGGAGGAAAGCAAGGACCGGGGACACAAGGAATTTCAACTCATGCATGCCGAAAGGCAGGATGAGGAAAATCCCTTGTGAAATGCAATCAAAGCACGAGGAACTTAACCCATGCCAAAAGGCTGCATGCTGCGGACAACCCTTGTTCAAGGACAGAATGCTCGGCCAACATCCTTGTTTCTGCTCCCAAAAATCACGTCTCTTAATAGAGACTCTAATTCCAATTCAGCTATTTGTGCAAAAATAGTAAAGAAAAGTTTGGTTGCTCTCTCTGCCTTGTACTCAAGGACTGGTCGTCATTTAGGCTCCTATGTATAGTAACAGACAGTTGGAGAAATTACTATAATAAGAAAATTAGATGAAGGATAATCATTCTCACTTTTCGTTTAATCAAATCGTTTACGATTGGATAAGAGCACTTGCTCCGTCTAAAATACAATATGCCCAACAGAAACGCTGTTAGGACGGCTCTAATTTGTTCAGAAACAGATTGACAGAGAAGCATGCTCAATCAGGTTGTGGACATACACATTGGACCACAATGCTCCCTCATGAACTCATGCCAAGAAGGATATCCACGTCGGTGCCATGTGGGAATGTTGTCTGTGGCCCATATGGTCTAGTATTGGCCACATATCTGATATTGTGGAAAAAGAAGAAGGGAGGTGGTTGGTGGTGGTGGATTGCAAAAGTTGGTCCATTCATAGAGTGGCGCCAAATGAAGTGGAGCTCGAGGTCCACAATCTAATCCTCAATAGGGTTGGTTTCCGGCCAAAAGACTCAATTTGTGGATGACAAGCGGTCCGCATTTTTTACATTTTCTAGAATCTAAACACACGTCAATAATTTAAAGATTGTCCAGAGTTCAGATGCTTAAAATGGTTGATGCCCAAAAAACGGATTAGTGATCTTTGGACTTTCTTTGTACAATTTGCGTGATATCAAGAGAGGTCAGCCAATGATTTGATGATAAAGTTATATAGATGCAAAGTCACTAAAAGTCACTAAAAATGTAGAAGGCAAATGCAAAGGAACACTATTGGTTTGGAGCAAATGCTCTTACAGAAAAGATTTGAGTTCGAGTTCTAGCATCCGTGTAGTCTGTAGTGTGTGAGAGTGTAGTATGCTATCGCCCCTTTCAAAAGAAAAGGTCTTTTTAAAAAAAAACGTAGAAGGTTTATTTTATTATTGCATGCAGTCACTAAAAATTAATACCCAAAAATCCATACCAAAATTAATCTTCCAGATTTTCCCTCCCAAGCTTTTGGTCTCTGTTCCTGCCCCACTTATGCACACACAAGTGAAGCTTCTTACTTGCCACCAGAAAATCAACAGCCTGAAGAGGTGTCAATATGTTCACAAGCTCCTTGACAGTGCTTAGCCTCAACTGATCTGCCTCCTCCAAAATTCTCACCATGGCTTGGCCATGCTCATCCAGAGCCTCCTCCACTTCTCTGTTCATCTCCCCAAGTTGGCTCAAACCCTTTGCAATCATTGCAATTGGCTGGTCCGCTATGTTCTCTTGCAGAACTGCCAGCTCCCCTGTTAACCTCTCCTCCTCTCTAATGGTCTTGCTCTGCAAACTGTTGACTACAACGAGCTGCGAGCACGTCAGAACCTCACCAAGGCTGCCTTCTCTTGTGTCTTGGAGGAACTCAGAGAGCTTTGACTCCATTTTTGACCCGCCAAGCACATAAACGAGCCTGAAAAACAAAGAGGGCCTGCAGCCAGCGATCCAAAGCAGAGAGTTTTCCCATGAAGTGCACCAAGTGGGGGAAAAGAAGGTAGAGACGTCTCTGCGGGCAAGTTGGGTTCTCTTGTTTATGTAATCTTGGAAGTGACGGATGCCTTTCTCTGCTAAATGTTTTAACTGGTCTTTGTTTTGGGGGTCTAGTTTCAGGGCTTGGAGGAGCTCTGAGAGGTCTTGTTCTTGAAGCTCCATCCACTCTTTGAAGCAACATTTGGATTGCTCTCTGTCTCTGCTTGCCATTTGAGATGCTGAGTTGAAATGGTAAGCACAAATCACTATCAACATGCTAATTGCTTAACAAGGAGGCAAGGAATTGAAGCGGTGTAAAATGTTTGTTTATTTGGAGGACACGTAGAAGGTGATGACAAATCTCACCACCTGTGGTGTGTGTGTGTGTGTGTGTGGGGTGTGTCAGCTTTGCCCTGATCAGCTCACGTGAAGAGGAGGGAGGAGGGCAGATCCTAGTTCATAATTGAGAACCTAAACCTATTGAGTTTGGTATCTGTGTTCTTTGTGGGAACTGTTGGAATCAATCCATGGACTTAATTTGGGCATACATGTTTTCTACCGAATTTTTTTTCTGTCCAAGTTAAAATTATGCTAAGTTATCCAAAGGGCAATATAATCCAACTCATTAGAAACTAAAAGTAGCAACTCTCTCTGAAACCTCTGTTTTACAGAACAGAGCTTTAACAGTGTTCGTCTTTCCTCTCCGACAACAGCAGCATCCTGTTTGCAATATTATGTTTTTCACTTAGCAAAATATGATTAAACAATTAATTCCACTACTAATAAGTCCACATGTGAGATGTAATACTTTTTTGAATTCTGTGCATAGTTTGTGAAAACTAGATTATTGAATAACTAAATCTTTTAAATGTGAATATAATTCTTCCTCATAGCACAAATGGTGCCTCAACTCATGACAGCAGAGTCAACCAGGGAGGGCATATGTCGGAACAGAAAAACTTATATGAAACAGGAATAGTATTGTTTAGTTATCTCATAGGGATAGTATTGTTTTGTTATTCCCAATCAATTACGATATGTTAAGTGAAAAAATTATCACGCGTGACATACTGTGATAGCAAAACAGTATTATCTTCATTCCACACAAGTGTCTCATGTCGGAGGGACCTGTCAACCATATTTGAACAAAGGCTTAGCCATGCTCCACGTTGAACCCAGATTCATTCCCAAGCTGACACGTTTTGTCAACACAAGCTCAAGCACCAGGTGGTAGCTTTGCATGTCTCTTAAGCACACCCAAACGCTACAGAGTTTCATTCAACGAAAAACAGAGGAAAAAAAAAGAAGGCAAAATACTCATGTCCTTCCTCTGCTCCTTCCTCTTAGCATCCGCAAAGCGTCAAATAGCACTTATAAACCCACTAGTGGCTGATTGCTGCGCGTAGCTCATGCACCAGCCACGCACTTCCCAACCTCACCACCGCAGCATCACCGTGGCCCCCCCTCCTCTCTCCATCTGGTCACCCCACTCACCCTCTTGTGCATATATATATATATATATATATATATATCACCATCACCAACACCAACCCCAACTCTTCAAGACCGTCACTTTGGCATTTTCACAAACACCTCTTGTGTCCTCGTCAATTCTCTCTCTAATTTGAACAGATTAATGAGAACCCAGGTTGAAGAGAGGTTCTCTGAGTTTTTTGAGAAGTGGATTTGTCAGCTTGAGCAGCTCCAGCAACAGCTTCTCAAGCTGTCTGAGGAGGCACTGCAGAATGAGGCAGAGCTACAAGCTTTGGTGTCGAAAGTCACCTACCTACACAAGGAATATTACACTGTGAAATGGGCTGCTGCTCGTGAAGATGTCCTGGCCTTCTTTTGCCCTGTTTGGTCGAGCCCTTTAGAGAATGCCTATAATTGGGTCACTGGTTGGAAGCCTTCAATGCTGTTTCAGCTCATTGGGTCGTTGAGGAAGACGAGGCTGGTGAACATGTCGGAGGAGCAGCTGAAGAAGATTGAGGAGCTGAGGCTGAAGATGAGGTATGAGGAGGAGAAGGTGGAGAGGGAAATGGAGAGGCAGCAGGTGGCCATGGCGGACCGGAGGATGGTCGAGTTGGCCCGGTTGGCGAGCCGGGTGAGGAACGGCGGCGAGGTGGTGGAGGTGGAGGTGGAAGGGTTAGTGGAAGTGGCATTGAAGGTGATGTTGAGTGGGTTGGAGAGGGTGATGAAGGCTGCAGATTGTGTGAGGCTCAAGACATTGAAGGGTGTTTTGGATGTGCTGAGCCCATTGCAGTGTGTGGAGTTCTTGGCTGCTACTTGCATGGTTCAGATTAGGCTAAGGCAATGGGGCAGGAAAAAATGTGACCAAAATGCTCTCCTAAACCATTAGCTGGTTTTTTGTATAGGAATTAGAGAGTGTGGATCCTAATTTTACCTTGTTATGTGTTTTACAATTTTGAACAGGAAAATACATGATCCACATTAGGCTTCACCAAATTGAAATCATTTCTTGAAGAGAAAATGAAACTCATTGTTTGTTTGTTTGTTTGTTTGCATGCCTCTCTCAGTTATAATACTTTTGTTCGGGTAACAATCAACAGCAGCTTCTGAGTTTGAACTAGTGCTCTGCTGCATTAGCATATGGTGGATCAGTACTGTAAAACATATGAATAATTGGAAACTGCAACAAGCTTCAAAACCTAAGTATAATATAAGGTTCACAAATTTATAATTAAGCACAGGCGCCGATCCAAGCGCCATGTTAGTTTTACATTCAAACTTTGATCAGAAAATACATATTTGTGTATATCTGGTATAAATTAAGTTAGGACACGAGCACTCCAGCAGTAAAAGAATAGCACTTCGTTATGTAACAGAAAGAATGAGAATGGAATGAATCATAAGGACACATATAAAAGACAAAAAGGGATTTGTATACAAGCATGAAGTATGTATGGGGAAGGACTTAGCTATGCAGGGGGAGGAGCAGAGAGTTAAAAACTTAAAAAGCTACTTTTCAGCTTTTTCTTTTCTTTTTTTTTTTTTTTTTTTTTTTTTTTTTTTTTTTATATATATTTAATACATAATTTGAGAAGAGACATGAGACTTTGGCTTACAATAACACAGACACAGAGAAGAGAGTCAAGAGGAGAGAGCTTTTAGGTTGCCTCTACAGATAAGATCTCGAGTTCAGCCCACCAGAGGGGAGATAGTCTGGGGACTGCTTGGTTGGGAGTGATGGGGATCACTTCCCTCAGTTTAGCGGTAATGTCCTTCATTGGTGGCCTCTGCCGAGGATCTTGATTTATGCAATCTTTGACGACCTCACATAGGACATCGAGCTCGTCATTTTTGAAGGACTTGAGGGTTGGATCTACCATGTTGCTTCTATTCTCATTTAGATATGCAGAAGCCTGGCAAAGTTGACAATGAGTTGATGCTACAACTTAACGCATACAAAAGAACATAATGCAGAATTACTTTATGTTCAATGCTTACCCAGTACGAAAGGGACCCTACTTCTTCTGAGTTTTGGAGCTTTCCAGAAATTATTTCAAGTAACAATAATCCGAAACTGTAGACATTTGTTTCTGGATCAGAGAGGGGTGGCAATTCAGAATGCTCCTTATCGTCATCACTGGAATTCTTATGCTTTCCGATTGTTGTTTCTGTCCAGAAACAGATCTCTGCAATCTGTGGGGGAGAGAGTGAGAGAGAGTTATTGTTATAAGGGTAAAGTACTAAAATTTCAAATTGAACAAAGGCAGTCAGAAGGGGGTATGAACCTTAGCAGCATAATCATCCGTTAAAAAGATAGAAGATGAATTCAGGTTAGGATGTGGCACAGGTGGATTTAGCTCTTCGTGCATATATTGAAGACAATAAGCTGTTCCCATAATGATCCTAACCCTTGCATTCCAATCAAGGTGCTCCATTTCTTCAACTGTAAAAAAAATATAATTAATACGTGTTACCCTCTAAATTTCAGGCAGCTAGTAATTAACTAAAGAAGCCTTCTCCAATGTGCAGTGCAAAAGTAAGAACCTTACCATGCAGATGCTCAAAGAGATTTCCATTTGGAGCATACTCAAACACCATCATCCTCGTAAATGGTTCATCCTCCTCACAGTAGCCAATGAGATTGACAAAGTTTTTATGATTCACGCGTGACAGTACGTCAATCTACAGCAGGTGGGAAATGGCATAATATTATAAGAATTTAGAAGGAATAAATTAATTAATTATATATATATATATATATGCATATATACACTGCCTTGATCGCTGTCTTTAGTAACTGACATAATATACCTTTTTTCGGTAAGCATTCTCTGCACGCTTGGACCATTCTTTCAAAGAAGACATTGTTGTTGATGCAACAGCAATCTCAACTCCACTGGACAGTGTTCCCTTGTACACAATACACCCATCAATTGTGCTAATAATATTGCTAAAATCTTCACAGGCAGTTTCCAGTTCTGATCGGTTCAACTTGGGAACTCCTGCAACTCATATAAAGAAATTATTCAGGTTTCAATACAGGACTTCAAAGTCTATACAGAAGGCTGTCAATATATATTGACAAGAATGACATCAGTAGTTATTTTTTCAATAACCCCCTCATGTATTGCATGGCACTAAAACTCAAAGAATGCATTTAGGCCTGTACTGAAGATTTCTTCAGTAACGAAACAGCTAATATAACAAAACAGATAGTACAATCTAATTTTCCTACTCACTTAGATAACAGAACATCTGGTTTACTTCTCTTACATTGTTATGCAAAAACCACTACGGGAAACAAATATTTGGACCCAACCAAATTTTTTTGTGTGCTTATAACCTTTTAATTTTCTCTTTTCTTCTGGGTTTATTGGTTAGTCTTTCGATGGACTAGATAATAGAACTTTTGTTTCCTATTACACCACAAAATTACCTGTTATAAATGCTTTCTGCAATTGCCCACTCAATCCAGTCTTCCAAGGACCTATGGTTTTAACTGCTTGGCTTCGACACATGAAGACCATGGCTATAAGAACAATGAGCAAGATAAGCACACTAAAAGAAATAATGATGTATTTCCATATATTTCCATTTGATTTTTGGGAAGATTGTCCACTAGGTTTTGAATTCTCATGTGATGGAGGATCAAGAGATGGAGGCTGCGGTGCAGGTGCAGGTGCAGGAGAATTTTTCTTTTTATCTTTTGGCACAGCTGGGAAAGAGCCACTACTTCGGGTAGTTGGTAGAGCAATGATCTGTCCAGAAGGTACCGTACCAATAACAGGTGCAGCTGGTAGGTTACTGGCTTGTGCAAGTAGCCTACGTCGAGCAAAGACCATGTTTGACTCAAACAAACCTGCTTAATGCAAGATTCAACGTCAATGTATTTCTCAGAAGAATAAATTTCAATACTAGATGTGTATACACCTTCTCACTTACTAGATAAATTATCACAGCAACTGTCCACCTGGCTATGCAGCGAGTCCTTTTTGTAACTGGAAGTAAGAGCAAACATTTCAACAAATTGAAACAAACCAAACATAACTTAGGAGGCCATAAGAAGGAAGTTGGTTCCCTACCGTGGCAGTGACAAGTAGTTGAGATAGTGCTTAAAAGCTACTTTAAGCAATACCACCAAGGAATCTCCACTATTCACATGTTTTAAATTGCTCTGCCAGATGCTGCCCAAGAAATGCATGAAAAATTAGGAACAAGATAGATATGAGAATAATCTTACTTCTATATTAACAGATAATACTCCAATACATATATAGAAGAATTACATTATCCATCAGAAAAAGGTTCAGAAGGCAGTGCTGGTTAATTCCCAGATTAATGTTTCTACTTTTTAAAATTATGTACACTTTGCTTTTGCCATAAACTCATTACTCAAGTCAAAACACATATTTGAATGTACTCATCTGATTACTGGAGTTATTATTTCCTTTGGCAAGTGGTTACTCTGACATAAACATCCATGGAAACTCATTTGCATTTAAACTCCTTTAAATGATAGAACTCAAAGAGCTTTATTAACTAGCTGTCCAAAACAAAATTACTCTACACATTCCTGGGTACACTTAATGATAATACAGTTCAGTTAGATTAGATATTCCATGGTAAGCATCAACTGGAATTCAAAAAATTCAAAAAAAGTAAGAAAGAACTCATCAACAATAGAATAGATTTCTTTTTGTCAACTAAATCATCCTAGTGAGACTCACAGGAGTGATTCGTGTGTGTAAGCAGTATTATACCAGTGTCCAAACTTTCTGTTTACACAGCCAAATCCTGTGTTTCCACTAGATGTAAGGTAATTGTCAAATTGCAATTCAGAGAGCAAGCTGAGACTCCTGAGCTCTAGAGGAATGCTGCCTTCAAATCTATTGTCACAAAGCAACCTGTGGCGCAAATGTTTTTTTAAGTCCAGGTACTTGAAAAGTTATGGAATGAAATAGAGATTGAGCATGCAACAGCTAACTCACAAGCGTTTCAGTGACAGCATCCTGCCTATCTCAACTGGAATTGTCCCACTCAAGTTATTGTCCCTCAAATCCAGCAGCTCTAACCTTGTAAGGCCCCCAATCTCCTTAGGAATTTCACCGGATAAACGGTTCTTGTAGAACACACTGTTAATCAGAGGAAGCAATAACCAGAAGACTTCATAAGGTCACAGACTTGTTGTCTGTCATTTGTTCAAATTCATATAATATGTATTCGCAATTCAACTCTTATGTGTTTAGAGATTAAATTGAGTTCTAAAATGTCAATAAAAGCATATACTATCGCCATAGTAATTAGGCCAAGCCAAAGCAAGGTTTAAAAATCTCTAAGAAGGGTACAGTATCATGAGTTCTTAAAAATGCTAATTTGATTTTCTTTCTACGTCTTTATCCAGATAAAGTAGTATTAACTCAATTGCTTGCTAGATCATTATGAGTATGTTCTGGTCCATCTTAAAGGTTCTATCTATTTCTGCATGCCTGCTGATATTTTGAAATCCAACACCCAACTCAGTTTTTCCCGAATCATATGGCAGTTATAGCCTGAAACCTTATTCTAATTTGGAATTGTGTAATTTCATTCTAAAGTATGAAGTGCTAGATGTTTGAAAAGAGACAAATTTAGGTGTCACAAACAGTTCACTAAACATCAAAATCTCAACATTGACCAAACCCAAAACTTTAGCCACAAAGACTCAGTGATGATGAGATTCCTTACAGAGATCTTAGGTGACTAAGTTTCCCAAGTTCAGGTGCCAATGTCCCTTCCAAAGAAAAATCCGTCAGATTCCTACAAGAAGCCAATTAAAAGTCATCAAAACATCAGACAATTTAGCTGCAGTGAACAATAAATAATAGATTGGTATCTTCTAAAATCTTATCACCAAAAACAAAAAGGAATCTCTTGTAATCATCTAACACAAGAGGGACTTACAGAATTTGCACTTTACTGTCCACACAATGAACACCCTTCCACAGGCAAGGATCGCTATCATTGGGACTCCAATTTTCCAAAGCACCAAAAGGATCAAACTTTATATTCTTCTGGAATGACAACAAAGTCAATCCTGCATTTCCACACCAATTGCAATAGAATGTTAAAACACACACAACAAAAATCAAGAATCCCATCCAATATTCCAACGCAATTCATTCTGTAAACTTCAGAAAGCAATGGCATACAAGAATTACCTTCATCATTGACAGACCAACAACCCCGAAACCTCGAAACAATAGTCAAAAAAACCAGGAGAGATAGCAAGCGGAACCCGAAAGGGTTCCATCTACCCCCCATTGCCAGATGAACCAAATGCAGCAGTGGTGATGGTGGTCGTAGTAACTATTTCCCTTGACAGCCACGAAGCTACGCGAATTACTATACAAAATCGCCAGGTTTTTTTATACGAGCAACCCCCTTCCACTATGCTCAAAAGTCCGAAACCAAATTTCAATTCTTTTTTCTTTTTTTTCCCGCTTACAACAAACAAACAAACAAAACCCAAAACTGAAACAAAATTCTACCTAGCAAAAACTAGGCTACAAAAAAACGCAAACCCACCACCGTATTCGGGTCCCTCATGATTATGGTTTATAATTGGAGGTGACAACACCCTTCTGGTCAACGAATGCAAATCCCCTGCTCTGCAGATTATCTTCTCAGACAGTTTTCTGGGTGCAGCTGAAATTCAAGCAAAATGTACAAACATAAGGTTAGCAATGTAAAATGACACCAACCCAAATGACCCAACGGAGGACAAAAGCATTAAAAGAATAACATGCAGGGGAATGCCCTCAAGTGCAAGCAATCTATGAGAAAAGTTAAGCCCAAAAAGAATAAAGGGAAAAAAGAAAGTGAGTTAAATTACCATAAAGAAGGGGGCTTTTTTATTGGTGCTATCTTTTTTCACTTGTTGGAATTTCTGGGGGTACAAGGGATAATCAACAGGAAGTTGAAAAACCAGAAATGCAGTGAATGAAGCAATGAATTTCAATTGAATTATGTGAAGAAAGTTCCAGGGTGGTGATAGGTGGGGGGTGATTGAGACTCAAAACTTCAAAAGGCAGCAAAGAAAAAAACACCAAAATGATTATCGACCCAAAAAAACACCTTGAAAGAATTAAATTTTAATCCCGTAATTTTTTTCTGTTACTGCCTTTTCAGGATGATCTCAGAGGACCCTCCCTTCGACCATCTTTTGGGTCTCTCTCAGACTCAGAGCTTTCTCTCTTCCTAATTTTCTCTTTCTTTCCCAGTTTTTCTTTTCCTCTCTCTCTCTCTAACCCCCACCAGAAACAGCCACCCTACAAGCTGGTTTTTCTGTTTTTTTTTTTTTTTTTATTTTTCCCCCTTTATTTATTTTTTGGTTTTTTTAGTTTTTTGGAGGGAGGTTTGGGCTTTCGGGGGGTTGCCGGTGGGTCCCAATGAATGTTTTTTTCTTTGTTTTTGGATGGTGTCTTTGTGTTTGGGTGGGGTCCACAAACACACACATAGGTGGATATGTTTGGTGGTTAATCTTGTTTTGTTGGTTAAGTGTTTGGCGGGAACTCAAACTGTTAACCGGCGGCATGCAAAAGACAGAACAAACACTTCGTGTGTTTCTGTGTGTGTGTGTGAGAGAGTGGAAGGAGAGAGGGGCATTTTGGGAATTTCGATGGATCGATTGGTGGTGAGGGCCCCCACTTCCGGTGTATTCGGACGCGCTTCTCTCTTATTTTCTTAAGCAGTTGACCGGGCCCACCTCTATAGCGTGCTTGCCTCTCTGCCTTTCCTCCCATTTTAGTATTTAAGAAAAATAGATTACAATCCCTTCACATATAGTTTCCACAGCCACTCAACCTTAGCCACGTAGTTAGTTATTAGTGTGTAGGGTGGAAATGGGCCCACCACCATCAAGTTTCTATAGACAATATTTTTTTTATAAAAAAAACACTTTTCTTTTTTGGTCGAAATTTTTAAAAAACTTTGCTTGCAATTGGTTTACAAAGTACTATCTAGTATTGCATTTATAGTAGTACATTTATTGTGTTTTTAGTGCTTGTATCGTGTTTATATCTAAATGTTGTCCTTCAAGTTAGAAGAAGTATATGTTGTCAAAAATTACTTTAATTTTACTTCTTTTCTTTTCGTACATTAGAACAATTTAGAATTGACATTAATATTGAGTCAAATAACATAAAAAATTTCAAACATAAATGCAATCACATTAGCTACTTCAATGACCGATTTTTAAGAACTAGGTTTCTTTATTGGTAAGGTGCCACCGGCTGAGATTAATTAGGTAGGCACTGATCTTTGTATCTAAGTTCTAATCATTGTTACTACGAGTTGTTGAAATTTAGGTCATCATGAGCCATCATTTGTTCACTTGTTGGCCACCAAAACATGAAAAAACACAACCTCAAATTGACAAACATTGTTGATCATCGTACAATCCCAAAGCTGATGTGTGTCTATGGCTGAGCAGGAAGGTTTCTCATTCTATCAAGATTTCGGCCTAATTTTCAACTCTAAACTTTAAAAAGTATCCGTTTTCGGACCAACTACTATATGTTCATATTGAAAAATGGTTGCACTAACAATAGTAATAAAGGAACAAAGAAAAAAAATGCACTAAAAAGTCCAAGCTGAACTTAAAATCTCTACACGTAGGGTTGACATCTGGGATTTTTATGACAAATTAAAACAATCAAAGAAGCACTTTTGGGTGCCTAAAGTAAAGAGGCAACTCTTTCATCTCAAAAAGGGACATGATTGGTATTATAATTGTTACTTGCACATGTGATGCGATTATGAGCTAAGTGATAAAATTATGTTTCTAATTTTGTACTCATGAGTATGAAACCAAGAGAGATATGATGTGCGAAGATTATGTGTTGATTAGATAATTGAGCAATTGAGCAATTGAGCAATAATGCATTTGGGTTGGCTTGGCTCTATTTATAAGTGGGCTTAATGTCCAGTATGAAGTGAGCTGGATCATAATGACGAAAATGATGGGCGAATACATTCAGTCCTTTTGGGCTAAACATTTCATTAGGTAATGATTAATGATCATGTAATAAGACAAAGCAAAGGAATCATAGGAATGTACGATGTGGGTCGGATGCAATGAACGTGATGATGTTGTCTGTTGCCTTTTTCTTGACGCTGCCATATTTTCACTTGAGTTCATGTATCTCATTCCCATTCTCATTTCCATTTCCAATGCAATTTAACACATGGAGGATGACGATGTTCATGAATGTAGAGAAGTATCTACGTCATGAGTCTAGACGTTTATGAGACTCACAATGCATTAACAGTAGCGTACCTCGATGATTGAGATCCACTCGAATTTGTTTTAGTTAACTTGCTAAGAAAATATGGTAGTCGAATTCTGATCGTGAGTGTGAACCCAAAGTTTTCACTGTCAATATCACATTTGTTGTTATGCTATCAACACAAAAATACTTTAAAATCAAAATCGATATAATTAATCAAGTAGAATTATGAATCATAAATAGATGTACAACGTTTGATTGATAATATAAGACATAACATATTTGACAAGAGCATCTCACTTATCTCTTTACCCAGAATCTCAAAAGCTTACATCTTTATATTTTGTCTCACTGTTGGTCCGCCATACAACCCACTCTCAGTTCTCAGGTGCTCTCCTATATCACTATATAACCCTCCCTTTCGGTTTTTTTTCTCCTCGTCTTTCGCACAAACTCGTTCTTTCTGTGCTACTTTCTGACCTATTTATAATATGTGTCTGTTTTTCATCTGATTCTGAACAACCCTGCTCGTTAAAGAACGGATTTTGGTGCTCTGATGCTTCTGTAGCTCATCGATTCCATACGAGACACTGAATTTCACCGTAGTGGGTTCTTTTCTCCTTAATGGATTGTTAATTTGCTTAATCTGAAATCTGATTTGGGTTTAGCTGGTTTAATCTGACTCTGATGGTTTACTGAGAATACTGAGAAAAGTTTGGAAAATAAAGTCGTCTTCTTTATCAGTGGTTTACTTTATTGATCTGAATTTTCAGGTCTCAGAAAATGCAATATGGACAGCGTTTGCAATTTGTGTTATGTTGGTAGGTTTAGGTGCTACAGAACAAGGTTAATTTAGACGGGGATTGATTAAACTACCATGCATATATATTGCTGTCCTCTGGGTTCACGTAGAGCTGGATTTTGGAATTGCTGCAGAGAAAGGAAGTTGCCTTTCAATGCTATCTTGTAGAAAAAGAAAAAAAATCAACTCGATTAGTTTTAGGAGTTGGATCTGATACGCATTTATACTGCATCATTCTCTGATTGGTCAAATTGGTCCGAAAACCCCATTGCTCACACCATGCCTGTGGTTCAGAAGTTGTATAATGCTTGCAAGGGGTCCTTCTCTAGTAATGGTCCAATATCAGAAGAAGACCTAGAGAAAGTTCGTGCTATCTTAGGTGGGAGCATTGCTATATGTTTCTGTTTATTTTCTTGACCAATTTTTTATCATGGACTTAGATTTTAGCCTGTATAGGCTCTGTGCTTGCACATGATCCAAGTTCTTGGTCCTTAGTTTAGCATACAACTGTTGGTTTACTCTTTCATATGTGGCTCTTCCAGATGAATTGAAGGCTTCTAATGTGGGGCTCGAACAGGAAGCACAATTGGCACGCGGATGGAAACATTCTATTCATGGTAGCAATGGCAGAAAAGGGCGTAATGGCACTCATCAGTACCCACCCGCAATCAAATATCTGCATTTGCATGAATGCGATAGATTTTCGGTAAGCTACTGGACCATGATCCCTTCATCATTTACTTTGATTCCCGTAGATTGATCTGTGTGCTTTATTTTAGTTCATCTGTAAATTTGGAAAATCTTAAAGCTGCCTTTATAGTATAAGCTTTGATATGTATATTTTTCTCATGCAGATAGGAATCTTTTGCATGCCACCTGGCTCCATCATACCCCTTCATAATCATCCTGGAATGACTGTTTTGAGCAAGCTTCTGTATGGTTCTTTGCATGTGAGATCATACGATTGGCTTGATTTACCGGAGTGCTCTGATGTTTCTAAAGGTGCTCTTGTCTATCTACCTTTGAGTAGTTCAAGTTTGTGCAATCCTCTTATATTGGTGATTGGAACATTATATCTGAAAGAAAGTACATGTTTGCTTTTGTTCAGCGTTTCTTTTAATCAGCATGCATCTCAGCCATGATGCCTGACTCTCATTTAAGAAATCATCAGTAAATTAACTCACTACTGATTAGTTGTGCCCTGCTTCTTGGTTTGTTGGGTAAAATATAGATGAATTTGTTAAGACTCTACTATCTGCAATCATAAATGATTGTACATAAACAATAGGACAAACCTGAAACGTACTTATAAATATGATGATCTTCATTCTTATAGAGTAGCTTCATATGGGTGTTCGTTTTGCTACTCTCTGGTATTGGCATGGTCCTTTTGTGATTTGGATAGCTTGATCACTGTGGTTGTTTGAGCATATATGCATGGTAGAAGTTTCGAAGGTGTGAATCATTTGGTTTGGAGATGAAGGCTTCATTCTCGTGAATATCGTTGTCTTCAATGAATAATTGCTCTTCAACATCTTTGTTATGTTTTTGCAGATGTTAATTTTCTCTTTTCAATTGAATTTCTTCATGTACTTGTATGCAGGGCATCACCCCCTTGCTGCTTATCAATAAACTTTTTAAAAAAAATTATAAGTAGCTTCTTTACTATTTGAAGTTGCTGATGGTTAATGCCTTTAGGAATTTAACTGTGAATCATATCGGATAATCAGTGCACTAATGATCTATAGTTAATTTATTAGATTGTCGAAAGTGTTGAAATCAATGGATTGCATACTTTTGCAGTATCATCTTACTGTCCACTTAGTGACTATGTATGTTTCGTATGCCCATGATTATCACCAAGAAATCATTCAATCAATGCTCTAGTTTGCTTCAGTTGCCTTATACACAACAAGATTATAAATGGCCTACAAGTTTAGTGCTGTTTGAAATACATCTCGTCTCTATATATGAATCTGATATGATTGAACTTGCTTATATTTGATCTTGTAAATATTGATTCTCATTTCAATCTATCTTATTATGTAATAGATAACAATTTTCTTTCAAAAGACTTCGCGTCTACTTCTTTTTACACTATTTTGGGTAAAAGAAATTCAAGTTTTGATCCGTGAAAATTTACAGCAAGACCTGCAAAGCTTGTTCGCGATTGTGAAATGAGTGCACCTTGTGGTACAACAGTTCTTTATCCAAATAGCGGAGGCAATATTCATTGTTTCAAAGCCTTGACGTCCTGTGCTCTCTTTGACATTCTTTCACCTCCTTACTCCTCAGAAGATGGGCGACACTGTTCTTATTTCCGGAAGTCCCCTCGTGTAGATCTTCCAAGTATCTTCGGTTCCTTGCACTCATAACCTGTTTTTACAGACACGTTTGATTTCTTGAATTAACTGTTTTCTGTTCTTTTTTCATCAAAAGGTCTTGAAGAGTTGTGTGGCGCAGAACCATCTGAAGTAGCTTGGTTGGAAGAGATTCAACCCCCTGAGAACTTCGTAGTCCTCAGGGGGGTGTACAAGGGCCCGACCATTAGAAAGTAAATGGGAATTTTGGACTGGATGTAAGATAGCGTTAGTTGCTTGGCTACAAAAAGGAGCTCTGAGGAGATAGGTGGAACATTGGAGCTAACCGGCCATGACAATATTACAGTGTTTTTCCCTAAAGCAAGGCATTCAATTGTAAATATTATTACATTGGCTTGGTTGTGAAAGCTGATCGAAAGACCTTGTATCCTAGACATCGTTTCTGTGATTGCACTTTTTTTCAATAATAACAAACGTCGTATTTTTTTTCGTCAGTCTTTAATCTTGGCTGCATAGCTTGCAATGTATGAACTACTTGTAATTCTTTTTTTTTCCTCCTCCTAAATTGATTGTTCTGTTGTGAAGGCTTCTCAATGCCCAGAAGCTGTACCAGATACAGAGAGACTATTTAACTCCCAAAGCTTGACCTGCTGCCTACAAGTAAATTTTTAGGAGGGTTAGTCCAGAGGGCAAGGCCCAATTTAGATAGGACATGAACTATGTATTTACTATTGTTTTTCTTGTGGCCCTCTTTTGCGAAGCCAATGATTTATTAAGAAACAAGAAAAACAGAAGAAAAGAAGACCTATAGTTTTTTCACCAGTTGTTTCCAATCTCAATCGCTCAGGCCCTGTCAGGTTAATTAGAATGGTAAATGAGAAACAGAACTAAAACGAAAAACGAAAAACAAAGGCTTCCCACATGTTTGTCAGAATGTCACCTCCCTCTCTGTCTCGCTCTGATCATGAAGAACCCATGTTGGCGGCGGGTCTTATGCCAGCATTTCATAGATCCGCACAGTTAGATTCTGTTTTACTGTCTTCATATGCACCAATACATTGAACCTGATCCACAATGGGGAAAAAAAGTACTAGAATTTTTATCCAATTTTGAAGTTGAGCTGTCAGGTCATGCTATACTAAGGCTGTCTTATGTCGTTACTCTTGGCCTCAACAAAACAACTCAATCTGCTTCTTAACCCTTTTAGCATCTCTTGCAAATGAGAGAAACTTACATGTTCCGGAATGATGGACAACTGTTTCTAGCATGTGCGAAACGACTGTCGCACCACTCTTCCAAATAAGTTTTCCCATTAGAAGATAAATTAGAATAATATCATTGTTAATTACCGAACTTTTCTAAACGCCCTTCCAACAATGTAAGAGACATCTGAAAAAAGATATACTTGTTTTCACATTGTAAAAAAATAGTGCCATTTCTGGAGAGATGTCTCTGTTTTAGTTTGTAGTGTGGCTCTTTGATACGGTCGACTATGCACTAGAAAGAAGAGTACAAGAATTTATATTGTCATTTTCCAATCACCACACAAATTAGACAGAGGTTTCTCTTAAAATAAAGGGAACGGTGAGAAACAGGCACTTGCATAAAAACAAGAAGATAATTTGGTCAGCCAGTTTTCACTCATTCTCTAGTGCAATGGTCGATTTCCCAAAAACATAAACAAAATTTTTGAAATGATATCTGCAAACAATCGTAAGAAGACAAACAGAGTAATACCCGGGCATGCATGAAATCATATTGAACTCCATTAAAATACTATAACCAGACATGATTCTCCTTTCTGGTTAAATTAAAAATAAAACCCAGTAGCTCTTATTTAAAGACCAAGATATTGCATAGTGGTGCTAGCTGCTAGCCAGGTTAGGATTGGATGGATGTCTCCGTTGTGGGGAATATTATAGAGAAAACTAATTGAAAGATTCTTTCTTGGCTTGAAATTGTCAACTCCCCATGCATACGTGAAGACAAAAGAGCAAATGCTTTTTTTTTCTTCTTTTTTCATAGTTTTGAAAATCGGAGTGGACGACCGTCCCATTAGGTTAATCAGAAACGGACGACTGATTGTTTTGTTTTTACTCAATTAACCCATCAAAATCGATTAACTAATTTGACCCAAATTCTGTTGGTTAAATCTATGGCTATATATTCAGCTGTCGTTCTAGGTTAGTCAAATTAACCAAATGATTCCTCTTCTTTCCCAAAGACTATAAGGAGGACTCTTTTGGCACAGGAGTCAGGACAGTCCAATTTCTCTCTGGATGCCTTGGAAAGTAAACCACTTTGGATGGTAGGGAATATGACAATAAAATGTTGCACATATATATTAGGGATAATAAAAGGTATCTTGGAACGATATATTTCAATAAGAATCAACTTGATTAACGATTTTATAGTCTGGAAATATATAAATTTATGTTGTTAGACATTTTGGTATGAGAACATTTCTGTTTATGGGTGACTCGTGATTTTGCGGAGACAAAACTTATACGGCCAGGTGGTGTAGTGTAATAGGTGGAATTAATTTGGTAACATGCACCCATCATCAACTTTGTTCCAACTCGGACATTATTAAACAAAGGCGCTCTCTTCATCATCATCAGCTTCTGACTTTTAATGTTATAACCCCATCTACATGTAAATGATGGTCGTGATTATATATGATTACTATGAGTGGCACTCATTTTGAAAGGCCAGCAGCCAGCTTTCTACCCGCATTACGTTCTACTCTCTAAAATTATAAACTATTTTCTTGCAGATACTTATCACGAAACAGTGGACAAAATTGACTTTTAACATCTGCTAGAAGACATAACAGAAATGGTTAGCTAGGGTTATAAGTAGTCAACAAAGTTAGTAGTGAGACTAGCTTCTTCCTCTAACATGTATTTCTTTTAAAAGCAACTGTGCTTAGTCAAACAGGTAGGTGATAAATCCCCCCTTCTCGAAATATCAGCATCTTTTAAACAACAACATTAAAATATCAAGTTCCACAAGATCATCATGAAATGCTTCAGCATCTTCTGTTCAAGTAATAATGGCAAATTATTTTGACTAGAATGATATGCGATTAATTTCTCCTTATAGTATATGTCCGTAATATATTCTTTCATGTTCTTTTTTTTTTTAAGTCAAAGTTAGGAAAGATGAGGGGAGGAAAACTTAAACACACGAGTAATATTGGGACTTGAGAACCCAGGACCACTTGTAAGCACACAGCTTGGGCCATTCCAATCCAACTAACACCCATTGAAATTGATAATCATGTTCTTATTTCATAGTAGATGTGTAGAAGTTGAAGTCATTGTTTCAACTTGTAGATTATTCATTCATTTTGTCTAAAGTATATTTATTAATTTGTCTGCAGATAGAGATGGGCATGCACATCAGTGTGAAATCAATTTGTAGAATTGGAAAATTATGTTATGGGAATGATCGATGCATGCCATTTGGTCTAGCTCGCATGAAGTCCCACCAAAATTGACCAGTATTATATTCAATCTCAAGAATTCTCACCTCACCATGCATGGCCCCACAAAATTTAGTGTCTATAATGAAACAACCTTACCAATAATGAAATGCAAGAGCTACGGCAAAGTGTGCGTGCTAGAATCGAAAAACCTATAGGGATGACGACGTCGACACACACAGGAAAACAGGTGTGCATGTTGATAATGGGAAAAAGTCCAATTTTAGGTGGGAATTGAAATTGAGAGTGATGACATAAGAGGTCCCCACTCTTGCTTAATTTATTAATAATTAGTTCATTACATTAACCAAGATGAAACTTACTGAACAAAACAACATTTGATTATCATTAATAAACCAATAGACCAGAGAGGAGTCTCCTCGGAGGTCAAGAGACAATTAAGATAACCACGAGCATTTGAGAGAGAGAGAGAGAGAGACACACACACACACACACACAGCTCAGAGAGCACAGATTTTGAAAGGACAAGTGTGAAAACTGAAAAGGAAAGGCAAGGAAGAAAAGGGAGAGAGGAGTCACATGATTTACAACAATCCAAGGAAGCAGTAGTTGTATGATCTGTATCCATAATGTGAGTATTAACTTTCTTATGCCATGAAAGTCTTGGAATATCTGCATTTGGATGACTTTAATTCCATTGTTTGGAGTCTTTGGACCAAACAAAAACATCCCAAAACCAATATGGCCAAATCTTTTCATTACTAATTAAGAAACTTATATGCATCTCTAGCTCTCCCCTTTCACCGCATCCTCGAATCGGTATGGCGAACTGTTTGATTACTTGGAAGAAGGATTGAGGCAAGTACTTTCACCGTCAATGGTTTGTATTTAGGAAAAAGAGAGTGAATAAAGTAACTCTTTAATTATTTTTGTGATGATAATCTAATTAATTGCTTTCTTCTTTAACCACAAATAATCTTGAGTAGGTACCTTCACCTACTCAAGATGATTGTTAGTGAATTTTCCAAGAATTTTGGACACTAATGAAAGGTAGTAGTTGTCTGCCAATCAGTAATCTTTAGGAGGGAGTTCTTCAAGAAGCAATTGATAACCATTAAGGTTGAGATTCTTTCTTTCCTCTTTTCTTCTCTTTTTCTTCTTTTTTTCGTGATCTCCCACAGCTTCCGAGGATCATAAACATCATGTTTTTCTATGGGGGTACGTGATGCAAACATGTAGCATCTCTCTAAAAAAAATTTGCCATATCTATTTCCTTATAGGATGGCTCGTTACTTTTGAGAAATTAACCGCCAATGACACACCAGTTTATCAGCTTATGTTCATTACCTGTATATGATCTATTATTTGCCTATCCTAAGGTTCGTTTTGTTAAACTATGATTATCGATCTATTGATAAGAGATCTTGCTCTCTGCCTCTCTCTCTCTCTCTCAAGAATTATGCATAAAACCTAAATTTTTGTATAAATATGTGTGTGTGTAACTTTGATTTTTTTTTCTTCTTCATCTTTTGTTTATAATTGATTCTGGAATGGCAGATAACAGCTGAACTCTTATCAAGATATTGATGAAAACTCTTGTTCTTAGCAATACAAATTAACTTCGATGCATCTTTATATTTTTCAATGATCATGTGTCCATTCAGGATTCGTTTTCAAAATGTATTTAATTCGGGCACAATCTTACCAAGCGTGCAGGATGACTATAAAAGGACTTTAGTTCTCCTTTTCTTTTCTTGTGAAATTCACTGTTTTTAATCCCCTTGATGATGATGTTTTTTTTTTTTTTTTTTTTTTTTTTTTTTGCAACATTCAGCAACCTGATTAAGAGGACATCACTTATCAGTCTTGGGAGTTTAAGAAGCTAGCTAGAGCTAGCCATGACCAATGAGAAAGATTATGGTGATCAGGAAGAAAACACATCAGAGGGGTCTTCCCAATTGAAATGCTCATCCTTTGATTTGAATGAAGAAGCTGGTAGTGACAATTGTGATGATACCAAGGTTGAAGAATTCGAACTGAGTGTTGACGAAGACGACGAAAAAAGAGGTCAAGGGAATATCAATAGTAGTACTGCCACCAGTGCTGAAGGAAATGAAGGGCGGAGAGGGAAAGTAAGGCAATATGTGAGATCGAAAATGCCTCGTCTCCGGTGGACACCTCAACTCCATCTTTCTTTTGTTCATGCCATTGAAAGACTCGGTGGCCAAGACAGTAAGTTTCTAGCTTAGCTAGATCATATTATATATATATATATATATATATATTTGACATTAGTTTTAATTCTTATCTTTATACTTATTGGTGTAGGAGCAACTCCCAAGTTAGTTCTTCAGCTCATGAATGTGAAAGGACTTAGCATTTCGCATGTAAAGAGTCACTTGCAGGTATCATAGACTAATTCTTAAACCAGTTTCTGTTCTGATATATAATTTGCCCATCCTTCCTTGTTTTCCCAACTGATATCCTTCTATATAATAATGCTTTTTCCATTATCAGATGTATCGAAGTAAGAAGCTTGATGGGGATGGTCAAGGTAATTTCATCTCTCGTCTTTGAGTTTATAATATTGAATTTTAATTTGTTAAAGGAAAAAGAAAGTGAAACAATTAAATATATTCAGATAATAACAAAAATACAAATTTATAAATAAACCCAATCCTAGACATGTATTTATAAAAAAAACCCAAGCACTATTTAAACATAGAAACACACCCAAAATCAACCATAAAGTCAACTTTTTGGGTGTGTTTATAAATGGGTTTTGAGTGTGTGTAATGATGAGTTTTGGGTGTGTTTATATGTTTAAATAGTGCTTGGGTTTTTTTATAATTTCAACCCCCATTTTGGGTGTTTTAGTGAAACTCCCTAAAAAAAACTCATTCACGCAACTAAATTTCCTTTATTTATTTATTTATTAATGTACAGTGGCATCTGAGAAACGAGAATCCACGCATGGGAGGGATCACATAGCTTGCATGTTGCACCAAACAATTAAGCAGCCTCGTCAACATGTATACTTTAGAACGGACAACGGTGGCATTGTTGTAGCGACACCTTCACACGACCACAGACAACCACTACACTCAGATTTTAAACCTAACGTTCCAAGGTATATATACATTAGTTTATACTATACAAATTGTCTCTCTCTCCCTCTCTCTTTGATCTGTTAAACCTGATGCATGATGTTGTTCTAATAATTAAGGTCATCATGTTCTTTACTAAACAAAGAAGTTGTACAAGGCAACAAATCCATGGAAATGATGGTGCGATCGACTGCTGTCCCCATAAACCCTAGCCGGTTTCTTGAGGAAAAGAAGTGGCCTCCATTTGGAATGATTCACAAACAACAATGTTGGAGAGCTAAAAGATTTCCTACCAAAATCAATTGGTCACATAATTATAATGGCTCCCAATCTGATCATTTAGTGCATCATATGCGCACCACAGCAAGGTTGAATAGTGGGCAGTTTTTCCACAATACAAGATCAACAGAATGGAACCTTGGAGAGAACAAGAACACAAGGCGGTTTCCATCAAATTCACACAATTCTATCAGCAATTCCAGTTGCCACAAAACTGAATTCGAGCCCGTACGTTTCTCATCATTTATATTCATTAGTTTAAATTTTGTTTCTGTATTCTTTATCTAATAATTAACTGACTGAAATACAGTTAAACGAAGAAAAGATTTTGAAGTACAAGGAATGGATGCCTGAATTGGAATTGGGTCTGAGCCAAAGAGTTGAGAATCATGAGAAGACGATTTTCCAACATCAGATGGTTAGTGAAGAAGCTTATGAAACTGCCCAAAGAATTAAACAAAACTATTACAAAGAGCATGAGGACAGGAGCAAGCAGGAAATTAGCACCAAGCTTTCTCTCTCTCTCTAATTGTTGTAGAACAATGCAAATAGTCATGAATATAGGGCGGGTATATCCAAACACAATTAATTCCAGTGTATACAAATCAATGTCATGTAGCCAGGCCACATTGAAGCTGAAGTAGTTCTTGAAGTACGTATGTGATGAAAACCAAAACTATACGACTGATGAAGTCTCTTGTTTTGAATTTACTACAAGCTTTTTCAAAAAAGAAAAGAACTTGTGGGTGGCTTTTCAAATTTTACTCGTTGAACCTTCTCATGCATGAATGAAGATACATCATTAAATTTCCATGCAGGATTGGATTTGGAAAGAGAGTTCAAAAGAGGGGGCAATCATCGTGGAGTGGATGTAAGCATTAGAAGAAAGGGGAAATCCTTCAATAAGTAGTATTTAACATATTTTTAATCTCAGCCGTTGAATTGCATTTGTTGAAGCCCAAAAAATCCACGGTTCGGTCCAAATAAATTTTCGGCCCAATGCGATACCTTACCGAGAAGAAACCCGATTTGGGCACGCAAAAGTTCGTCATATGCGCTTGCACACATGTCACGCCAAGCAAATAAGCAACACGCCACGCAACAAGCTTAAGTGGGCCCAAGCCACGCGAATGCCTGGGGCTTGCTGAGCGGGTTGTGATATGGATGGTTACGAGTTTTCAATAGGCCTATTGATGAGCTGAGAAATGGAAATTTTGGACTGCTTAGGAGCCCTGAAACTCAAGCCCATTTCTTGAGCCCAAATATATGGGTAAGCATAAAGGAGAAAAAATAGCTCATTATCTTAGAAAAGATAGTCCATCACTTTGGGAAGTTGGCCCATCCCTTTAGTGAACTAACCCATTACTTTAAAGAATGGCCCAAGTAACCAACAAAATATCTGAAAATCTCTAGCACATGGCTAGAGACAAAACCATGACAAAAGCCAAAAGCCACTCACATCTGCAGGCTGCTGGAATTTCCAGCACATGGCCAAACACAAACCCAACGCAAGCCATCAGAAAAACCGAGGGATACTTGAGCAAAACACCCTTCAAACCAATGTACATACTCATTTCTTTCCCTTCATTAGATCTAGCTATAAAAGATGGGAGAAAAGAAGGAAGAAAGATGGCTGAAAGTAAAAGTTCTCCACTGAGGTAGCTGCAGGAAAGGGCCTTGAGCACCCAAAAATCCATGATTTTGTGCAAATGGGCAAAGAGATTTCACCAAAATAGGATGATTGAAGGGATGAGAGGAGAAAGGAAGGGAAAGACTTTGCCAAATTGGATAGAAACCATTAGGGTTTCTTGAAAAATGATAGCTTCCAGCGCCTATAAAAAGAGGCATTTCCTACCCATCATCACAACCCACGTCTAGAAAGCAATCTTTATCTCTCATATTTGAAACTCTACAATTTCATGCTCAGTTCATCTTCCTCCTCCTTAGTTTTCCCTCTTGGTAGGCTGTTCTAACACTTGACAGAGCCTCTGTCAAGCTGCCGGAAAAACACTCATTAGCTTCATCTCTCCCCCTCTCTCTCCTCAACGAATCCTCTTATAATCTCTTCCCTCATGCCTTAAAAACTCTGTTTCTCATAGGAAATCGCAACCATTTCTCTCTCTCTCATGCTAAACTCATGAATGCTCAGTTCCCATGCCACAAGCTTTTTATGCCAAGTCAAGACTTTATCTGTAAGTTGTTATTTTTGTTGGTGAAGGTAACCAAGGTGTTTCCTAAGGCTTCACTATCCTTTCGAAGCATTATTGGGGCTTGATCTTCGAACTCAGGCTTAAGGGGCAATTTCATTCATTTTGCTATTTATGGCAGCTCAGGCCCGTAGTAACTGCCGGAAGAAAAAAAGCCCATACAGTATTCATTAGATGTGTTTGTAAATTTAATATGCAACATACATGCAATCATCGTGGAGTGGATGTGGCTGAGTCAACTCATTTGACTCCATTCTTTTTTTCTTTTTGGCAACTACTGATTTGAGTCAATTCAGCATTTTATATCCGGTCTGGCAAATAAAAGGGACTAAAGTAAGGGTTTACTTGAAATTTTAAAGAGTATAGAGGCAAAAAGACACTAATGTATTATTATTTAACTCAACAACTGTGTTGATGAGATTTGACCTCAACTGTCGGAAATTAGGTACCACGACCAAATGTTCACGAGTTTATGTTATTTATAAGCTAGTGTTTTGGTTGCTAGAATAATAACATTGAAACCTTTTTTTTCGTCGGAAAACATTGATACTGGGTTAAGTTAAAATAAACTGAATTGAAGTAGGCCACCGATAGGAAGTTTAGATTGAGTCATGAATGCAAAGTTTGCCAACAATCTCATAGTCGGACAGCCCACAAAATAATACGGGCCTTAATATAGCTACACAGTCCTGCTTTGGGATTTATAAGATTTATTTTGCTTTTCTTTTTGGAAAAAAACAGGAAAAAGACTTTATTTGAGTTACAAGAAGCTGATGGAGTCTCAGCTTTCTGGTCTATGAAGAACAAATATTTCCTTTTTGACAGAAGCAAAGAAACTGCAAAACTGACATATACAAATATTTGAATGATCAATCCATAGGGTGATTGATCTAATCTTTCCAAAAATATCAAAGCCAATAAGAACTATTAGCATCATGACCCCAAAAGAAAAAACTAGTAATTCCTATACATCAGCATCACAGGAAGCCAAATAAATTAGAATTGCTGTCTGAAAGATATACTCCAATTACAAGAAATTCGGCCCGCGTGACCTTTTTTGCCTATATGCTATCTCAGTTCAACTTGTAAGAGAAGAAATCAATTGTAAGCTAGAGAAAGCCAAGAAGCAAAAAGCTGAGAAAACCAAAGTTATTCATCTAGTAATATATCATGAGCAAAAACGATGGGGGGAAGAGAACCTCTCTGCAAAAATAAAATAAGTAGGTAGCCAGCCGATGTTAACTACATTTGGTCACCTTCAAACAAACTTTTCAAATGAAGGCAGCAAGCGTGGAGACATTATTGGAAGACCACGGCAATTCTAACTCTTGGATTGCTGAGAAATATGAGCAATCAATTCCTGTCAAGGGGAAGAAAAGTTAGAGCTCCCTTTTATCATAGAACTTCTATTGTATATATGAAATTATGTGAGAATGAAGGATGGTGAGATTACCTCAGAATAACGAACATGATCATGGCGCAAATTGGAAGTTTTTACAATGGTTTCCCACTTGGTGCTGGTGGAGGATGTCTTGGAATCCAACCTTTTAGTACGTGCTTGTGAAATTGGATATCGCGAAGAAATTGAAGAAAGGGTAGACCAAAGCCAAGACTGAGAAGGTGATCTTGGTAAAGGTGGGGGAAGAGGAGACTGTACAGAACTAGCATCAACAATTCCTGGATCTGCTTTTATAATCTGACCACTTTTTCCATTAGCACTGGAGTTTGAACAGTTGAATGGCTCAATATCCTGACCAGTTCCTAGCTGAGAGTTCTTCACTGCAACTACTTGGCCTTTGACGTGTGAGAGGTCAGATAACGAAGGTAGATTGTCATCAATGGAATCCGATACTTCATGTTCCAATGTGCCACCACCCTCCAAATAAGTCAGGCATTTGATATCTAGAAACGAAGATTCAGTATAAGTTTCTTCCGTGTCTCTACTCTTTAATAAGGTATCAAAATCCTCACCAGTAGAGTCTACTTGTTCCTTGGTAACTAAAGAACTTGAATTTGAACATGATAGTTTGGCAGTATTTACAGTATCTACATACAGTGTCTTCTCAATGGTAGGGCTCTCAGAGCGTGGCCCTTGTATACTTCTTTGGTGGCTTAACACTTCCTGAAATTTGTGACCACCCTTGTTATGCAGATTGAACTTACTATTGGCTTTGACACTCTCTTCTCTGGGAATGCCAAGAAACCCCACGCCAGGAAATGGAGACTTTGGTGCTTCATTTCTATAAGGGGATATGCAAGCGCTTCGTGAATGCCTGAAGGGAGATGACCTACCGTTCTTAAAATCACCAGAATGCGATAAGCAACTGGATGCACCTGCCTGCTTATACTCAGACTTCTGCAATTCACCTGATTTGACTCCACAAGGTGCTTCATTTCTATAGGGGGATATGCAAGCACTTCGTGAATTACTGAAGGTAGATGACCTACCTTTCTTTAAATCTCCAGAATATGAAAAGCGACTGGACTCACCAGCCTGCTTATACTCAAACTTCTGCAATTCACCTGATTTGACTCCAGAAGGTGCTTCATGTCGATAGGGGGATATGCAAGCACTTCGTGAATTACTGAAGGTAGATGACCTACCATTCTTTAAATCACCAGAATGCGAAAAGCGACGTGACTCACCAGCCTGCTTGTACTCAAACTTCTGCAGTTCAGCTGATTTGACTCCAGAAGGTGCTTCATTGCGATATGGGGATATGCAAGCACTTCGTGAATGCCTGAGGGGAGATAACCTCCCTTTCTTCAGATCACCAGAACGTGTAAAGAGACTGGATTCACCTGCCTGCTTATACTCAAACTTCTGCAATTCACCTGATTTGACTCCAGAAGGTGCTTCATTTCGATAGGGGGATATGCAAGCACTTCGTGAATGCCTCAGGGGAGATGACCTCCCTTTCTTTAGATCACCAGAATGTGAAAAGCGACTGGATTCACCAGCCTTCTTATTCTCAAACTTGTGCAATTCACCTGATTTGACTCCACCTTTTGATTTGTGCTTATAAGCAGCATCCAAAGCATGCTAATTAAAATAGTACAAGACTGTCAGTACTGTATATGATTTCTTCTAGTTATTGGATACAAAAAAATTGAAAGAAAACTAGAGACACGAAAGTGTCCTACTAACCTTGTTGAGTGGTTGGCTGTGAGACCGACCACATGTAGTTTTTTCTGGTCTTATAACCCCAGAGGAGGAAGACATGAGGGCCCGGGTCCTACCTTTCATCCCTGGAACTGGACTTAAGAGGCATAAAGAATTTCTTAAGCACAACCGAGGAAATAATCCACAACCCTTTGCTGAAATGGGGCCAGAGGGATCATACTCATCATCTTCTCCTTCGCTTTCTTCCTCCTCTTTATATTGGTCATATTGCAGTTCCATGTGAGACCCTTGTTCATTAGATAAAGGCCTGATATCCTCACGAATTACCCTTGTGACTTGTCTTGGTTGTTCAGGTGCTATATATTGCTTTTTTGCAGCATAATGAGGTGTCTCCAAAGCCATTGCCTTGGCTGCAGGTAAGAAGCGACTCATCATCAAATCTCGAGTTTGCAAATCCACAGAGAAGGCTCTAGATTGCTTTACATCTGCACCATCAGATTGACTCAGACCACTTGCACTACAGTTGAAGGAGAAAGACTCTGTAGGGGAAATCGTCTCAAGTGCATCCGAATAAACATCATCCTCATCCTCCACTTCCAAGGCCCTTCTCTCATTTGTTTTCTCTTTTGAGCACTTCAAATCCATCACATTTTCGTTCAAAGAATATGATTTAAATTGAGGTCTAATCCCATTTCGATCTGCATGATCCTTTTCTAAAGTTTGCTTTGTAACATAATCTTTAGGCTTCCCAGGGGGAAGCCTAGGAGTGACAGACGTCTTCTCCCGAGGCTGAGTCTCCGGTTCTTTATCTTCCTTAGCCTTTCCAGGGATGTGCTCCCAGTGAAAAGGAACTGCAACTGGTTCTGTTACCTGCTCCAAACAAAAGTCTGATTTGTAAGGTGGAAGAGTATGTCGTCCATCGGGCCTCTGAATTATCTTCTCTTTCTCTCCATCTGTGCACACTGTTGTTGTAGCAATTCGTCTCACAGACAAAAATCGTGCATTCAAATTTAATTTTCTTTCCTCCATATCTTAATTCAGGTCAAGCCAATTCTGCTCAATCCCTCTATTTTTCAAATTTCACCAACTGAGAAAGAAGCTTCAATTGCTAACAACAGGGATGGCATAAAAGATCATGGTAAATCCCTTACCATCCGAATTGAAATAAATCCTGAAACGGAGAAGAATAAAATCACTAAAACAAACCAGAGTTTATATCAACTAGCATGCTCAACTCCAGTTATGCTACTTGTAATAGATATGACTGGAAAGAACATTTGAACAACAAAAAACAAAACAGAAAAGCAGTTGATAAAAACATTAACAACTATACAGACAAGCCAAATCCAATAATTTAAAGACAGTCAGTAGGTGCTGGGATTTATGAATAAATAACTAACAGAAAAGCATTTAGTAGACAAACTGATTTTTACCTACTCTGACAGAGTCTCAGAACCAAAAGAATTACTAGTTCTGGCCAAGAAGAAAGAATTAACCTTTACAACAACAATCTGCAACCCTCATCACAATTCCATCAATAAGATCTAACAAACAGTAACCTTGAAATGAGAGCCAAAAGAAGAAACTTTATTGTGAACCCCCCATTTCAAAGAAACAAACAACTATATCAAATAAAACTTATAAAACCCAAAATTACCCAGAAAACCGAAAAAAGTATTTCTGCAAGTTAAATTCATTACAGTTAATAACACCATTGGTCATTAAACAACCATATCAAAATAAAAGTTCATTGAAGAAGATAAGAGGCATACCTCTCAGGCTCTCACAGCATGAGAGAGAGAGAGAGATTGATTTGAGCCTGCTGATATTTGGCTCCGAGAATGATGCCGTAGAGTTTGGGGAATGAGTGTAACCAAAGAAAAGCAAAGCCAAAGGGTGAGAGAGAGAGAGAGAGAGGTGGAAGAAGCTGAGTATGTGGTTTTTAACTTTTCGAAGAGTGTATATGGATTGTCGGAAGAGAGGAGAGAGAGAGAGAGTAAAGTAGACTAAGACCAAACACATGCAGAAGATAAAACTACTGCTGGCTGCTATACTGCATTGTAACATTGTACGGTACATTTGATCATTTTGCTCTGTTTTGCCTTGCTTTGCTTGCTTGCTCGTTCCTAGAAACGTGGTCCCCTCCCCTCCTCCTCTATAAAGTTTTGATCTTTCAATCTTTCTTGTTATGGGGATTTTTATTCATCCTTTTATTCTTGCTGGGTTATTTATGAAAGCCTAAAATAATTAAATCGGGATTGAGACCTTTGGAGGAGAAGAGGTGTGGTCACGGACATCACGGCTGCGAAACATAGACCGTTGCTGATCCAAAGCTCTTTCCTTTCTTTCATTTCTTCAATCCTGCCAAATTTAGTTGACCCACCTATTTATTTATTTATTTATTATTTCAACTTTCAGACTTTTCAGTCCACTCTCTCACTCCTTGTCCGCGTGGCAACTTTATAAATCATACTCAATCATTCTTTTTTGTTTTTTTTTCACTAAATCAAAAATTAATTGATTAAATTTACAGCTTAAGTGGTGAAAAAGAAAAGGGAGTTTCACTAAAACACCCAAAATATGGGTTGAAATTATAAAAAAATCCAAGCACTATTTAAACATATAAATACACCCAAAATCCATCATTACACACACTCAAAACCCATTTATAAACACACCCAAAAAGTTGACTTTGAAGTTGATTTTGGGTGTATTTCTATGTTTAAATAGTGCTTGGATTTTTTTATAAATACATGTCTAGGATTTGGTTTATTTATAAATTTGTAAAAAGAAAATTAGGAGAAAAGCTCTGAAAATGTAACGGAAACTCAAATGATTTGATGAGGCAGTGTGTGTCGCTCATAGAGCCTCATCATGAAAGTGGAAAATGAAAGCATATTTGGACCCATTGCCATGTGATGGATGATGCGACTTTCTCTCACTACTTCCGTCCTTCTTTTCATCTCCGGATGGCAAGATTGTTTTTGGGGACAATGTCAAAGTTGGGTTGTTGAAATTTGAAACTGAAAAAAGTAGAATTATTTTCTGGGTCTCATATGTCCACAAAATACATGGCATAACAGGTGATATGGTAGAGCAGCCACATGGTAAGTTCAATAAAAATAGATTGTCAATCAGCAATGCCTTTTTCTAAAGTGCCCTTAAATTGCGGAGGCCACCCCATAGACCAAAAGTTATTCCTAATTGGGGATTTTTTGGTAATTAGACTGGGTCAACCGAACATTACGGCCATTCGACATTCGATTGGGGAGTGGGACTCTCCCGTATCTTCGTCGGTCCATGTTACTGCCTTGTTACAACAATTTAATTGAAGTAGCAAATGAGTTGTCAAAACAAGAGGTTTGAATTCGACTCGTGCAGATGGAAGAGAATAATATTTGTGATGAGTTCGTTACTAAGTTGTGGTTAGTCTCATTGTGATGACGGTAACTTTTGTTGTTAATGCATTATTCCGTTGTAAAAAAATTTATGTAAATAAAAGTAATCGTGCGAACAAGATGTTGGAAGATATTGTTTCAAACAGATTGATAATGATTTTATTCTAACTACCTGCAATTAAGCAGATAGAATGATTAAGCTGATTATAATTAGGATGATTGTTCATAATTAGACAATTATTTGAAATTATTTCCTAGTTTTACACGTCTACATATCAACTCTTGTATACCAAGAAAGTACATTTAACTTTTTTTTTCTTTCTGATATATGAATCAAGTAGGTTTTTATTTAATAAAGAATAGATAGAAAGAAAAAAAAACTCAATATCATCAGCCAGTAAAGCAACTCTTGCAGTAGCAGCAGAGGGCTCAGCAATAACATGGCAGGCAGCCCAAGTCCACAGTGAGATCATAAGAGGAAAGGCAATCTGCAACTCCAATTGAGCCCATCAATTACCAATAGGACCCTCAGGTCGTTTGTCAAGGAAGAAAATCTGTCTGGCAGAAGTACTCACTGTTGTAGCTGAGTACGATGCGCTGTGACAAGGTAGTTTTCAGCTACATGGATATTGTATTTTGTTTTGTCTAATTTTTGATTGGCTTAGAATTGTTGTTGAGCTAGAAGAATGGCAATTAGTACAACAGGTTAGTATAAAGACCATACATATATTACAAAGCCAGGACAACAATTGTTCAGTCTGTCTTGAACCTTATCTGCTACAAGATTGGAAAATAAAATACATCAAACTTAGCTGTAATCGATCAAATTATTCCGTCCGTTGCATCACGCAGAGAAAAATCACTTTTCTCAAATATGTTTCTGTTTCAGGTTTCGTTTACAGCATATGTTCAATGAATCAAAGTAAAACAGAACAAAAATGTACATTATGTCAAATCAAAAAAAAAAAAAAAAAAAAAAAAAAAAAAAAAAAAAAAACAGGAGGAGGAACAACAAATGCCTGTTTACATAAATTTAAATACCAATAGTGATAACCTTCTTCAAACTTCACAGAAACAATAACATCCTTTCCCTTTTTCAGCGCATTGCAGCAAACCGGTTCATCTTCCACTGCAGTGGGTGGTATGTCTTCTCTGTTTGCTCTACTTTAGTCCATGGGAGCTTGTGCTTGGCCATTTTTCTCTTCTTTGCAGATACTCCCCAGAAATCTCCCGCATTCTGTGTAATGAAAATATGAGAGACATTAGTTATTCGTTTAATGGCCGGCTCTATTGATTCTATGTATCTACTTTGAGAGGTAAGGGAAATGATTCTGTATACACTTGACGACTTTTTTCCCTTTTCTAATATGCTTCATAACTTGCTACACTAGGTTAAGTATTAGTTTGCAACTTGCGAAGTACGCTATAATGTTGGTTTTCAGTGTCAAACACCAAGTAGATATTGAAATGAAACAATGATAGAATTTCCATACCTTGAGGCAGAGACCATCTTCAACATCACAAATGGGATAATCACTTGGGCAACAGTAGTCAGTTCCGGTGCAGCAAACCGCATTCTGATATTCACAGCAACCATAGATGAGGCAGTAGTCCAAGAATTCAAAGAGGCAACAGCATGTCTCATCACTTGGACAATAGGAGAAGTCTCCGCAGTCACTTGGTGAAGGAGAGGGAGGTGGCGGTGGTGTCACTGGTGTAGGTGGTGTTGGTGGAGGGGGTGGTGACACTGGTGTAGGAGGTGGTGGTGGAGCTGTTGGGGATGGTGCAGATGACTCCTTGGTAGGATATGAAGCCATGGCATTGATTGCACAAACCCCATATTTTAAATTAGTGTTCCTTCTTATGTAAATGTATCCACCCATCCCCCAACTAGTCCCCCATGAATTCTTTACAATCCAGTAATCTTCATCGCCTTCGGAACCATATCCTACGACCAGAGGTGCATGGTCAATGTCATCTGGATTGTCGGAGCAGTCGCCATCGTAGATTCCCTGATTGAATCATATTAATTTTTTTATTATTAAAATTATGTCTCAGTAACATTTCAGATAACCAAGCCAACCAGTGAAATGAACATAAATTAGACTTACTCCTGTGTATAGTTGGAAATCCCACGCAGAACCATCTATACCAACACTAACGGGTTGCTGAACGGCAGCACATAAAAGATCACCGTCTGTTTCTCCCACATCTTCATAACCATCAATGGTGACAACTTTAGTTTCCTCCTGATTAAGGCATCACACAAATAAGAACAGAGGAAAATAGGCAAAATTTGTTCCAGACAAACACAATATGTATTATTAATAAGCTATAGGGTTGAACCCCACCTTGGTGACATTGCAGGTACCATCCACACCTGTGTATGGATAATTTTTTTCTGTATTGATACCACCATTGTCAATAACCCATTCAAAAGCATAGTCCATGTAGCCTCCATCACATCCCTCGTTGGTACTGTCACAATCCACAAGTTCTTGTTCTGAAAGACTAATGAGTTCTCCGGTGGCTATTGCATTGATTCCTTCAATAGCTCCGGTTGTAGAGAATGCCCAGCAACTTCCTGTGAACACAAAAACAAGATTTCTTTAAAAGATCAATAAAACTTAGCATGAGTGTCAATTTACAGACAGGACATGTCGTTTATAACTCGGGAGCACCAAGCATGATATGCCGTTTTCCAAAATTGAAAGAAGAAGAACAGTATCATCAAATATCAGTTTTGTAAGAAAAATGGTTTGTTCAATAAAACAGTAAAAGCGAGCACTGCAAGACATTTGTAAATGTAATATCCTGAGGTCGGAAAGCTATATTGTTATTTTACTACCTAACATCCTGACCATGTGACTTTTGATATCATCGATTGATTGTAGAAAGTGGGCGATACCAAATAGTCAATGAAGGATGAGTTCTAAAGATCTTGGCCTTATTTGGAAGTTCATTTCATCTATTCTATTGGTTGAATCTAAAAACTCCCGTTTTATTGGAAGATTTCTTTTGACCTTAAAGTTTGTTGTGTTTCATTTCTTTCCTCACTTATTGCTCGAAGTTCAGATTGTTTACGCCTTTTTCCAACCAATTCTGTTATATTTCATCCTAAAGTTTATGTATCTGAACCTATTCAGAGCAGCAGTGCTGCAGCACGAAAGTCTGTGTAATCCCGAGCTGATTAGAAGAACCAATGATGGTCTAGTGCATCTGTCCTAAAACCTTTTGAATCAATCTACAGGGAGAAATCATAAACATTCTGGTGTCTGACTTTTACAAGTCCAAAGTGTTCCCACAACAATAGTCAGAAGAACTATTTATATGAACTTGTAAAAAAATTGAAATGTATTTACTAGCAAATGAAATAAATGATTTGAAACATACCACAACTGCCTTGGTCCTTGACACCAGTCACAGCTCCCCTTTTCCTCCAATCCAAAGCTGAAGGAGCCTCACAGGAATGCACTGGTTCGTCATGCATTCTCCTCATCATATTGTTCCTTTTGCTGGTGGGCATTTTCAGCTTTTTAGACAAGTAAGTCTTCCTAAACTCCTCATTGCTCATATCAGCAAACCTATTCAACCCCACCCTCTGGCTATTATGTGCATTGTTTGTAGCCCTCTTCTTTGCAGTCTTCTCCAATACAAACTTGAGGTTCCTCTTGAAATTCTCAAACCTCCTCTCACTCTCTTCAGCATGCCTATACACCTTTCCATGCTTCTGCTTCCAGAGCCTGAAGAGCTCCACCACTCTCCCTTCTTCAGGGAAGTTGTTGAGCACTTCATTTTGCTCCACTATGGAGTATTCACTTGGGAGGCTATTGCAAGAAGATAAGCATGCCAGTGATGCCCAGATGAAGAAAGCAAAAGCCAGCTCAATTTTGTGGGAACCCATGAGTTCCTCAACTGGGTTTCCACTAAAGATGCTTGATTTTGATCCATCTCCATTGTAATGTATTTAAGGTCACCTAGCCAGCTGCAGGGCTGAACCTACCAGTCAATTAGAACATTTCCCACAATAAAATCTTCTTTCTTTAATTCTAAACAGGACAAGAAACCAACTTGCTGTAAATAATACCTGAATTTTTAATTCATTTGTTGAAGCACCAAGATTTGTTGGTGGTGTGTTGTGGTCTGGAAATCCTTACCCGTCTGTTCTTCAGACCCTTTGACTTGAGAGTGGCAGGCTGGAAGCAGAGACACCTACCATTCAACCGTCTATGAAGCTTTCAAAGTTTGAAACTTTAAAACAATTAGATAAATAAAGGGGTAAGTAAGAAGAAGAAGATCTTTTTTTTTTTTTTTTTTTTTTTTTTTTTTTTTTTTGTCGGTCAAAAAAAGAAATATGTTGAGCCTAAGAAAGAAGTAAAATTAGGTTTGGTGAAAGAGGTTTGCATTTAGGCCCATACACAGTCAATGCAATGCAGGCTAGGCTTAGCAACTTTTTGTTTTTGGTCGAAAAGGCTTAGCAACTAGGCCTGCAAGGTGGTAAAGGTCAACTATAAGTATTTTGGAGCACTTTGACTTTTGTATCTTACCAAGAGGATCTCAAGATACAAACTAAATCGAAGCAAAACTGTATCCTTGCCCTGCAAACTCTCAGACTGGACAATCATAACTCAGATTACAAACGAACGACTTAGTTGATTGTCTTTATTATCTTTAACATGATAGTAATTAACTAAAACTGAAGTTCAAATATCAAATTAAGAAAAACAGAGCCAGAGTAAAATATGAAAACAGAGCGAGTTACAAACCAGTTAGACGCACCGCCTCAATCCATATGGTTGATTATTTCTCTTTATTATCTTTAACATTGTTTCGTCACAAGTACAAGTGTACCATGTGAACTTCCATGTGGGTATTTGAGTTTATCTTTAAGATTGGAGTTGGAGCTGCACAAAGAGTCTGCTAGCAATATAAATATATATTTTCTCCTATACAGACGTGGGGATGGTAAAAATTCCCAAAGGGTCGAGTACTCAACCCTAATGGGGTGAAAGTTTGGGAAAAATCGGAGGTGGGTACGAGGATTCCTGAATTTTAAAAATCCCTAGTCGATGACGGGCCGGGAATCGTATTGTTATCCTATTCTTGAACTCAATCAAATAACTCATATTCATTTTTAAATTAATAAATATATAATATAATATAACAAGTAAAACATAATAAATATTTTTGTTACAAGGTATAAATTTTTTTTAATATACTTGATCTTGGGATCTGATTTTGGTTCTTGGGGTTATCACGAATTTTGTACTTGGGTGCTTCTAGTTTGCTTTCTCTCTCAATTTCTTAGTTGTTCTGACTGTGTTCTTATAACTTGGCTTTCCCATATTCAATCAATTTGAAGAGTATGCATGACGATAATTTTTTTTTACAGGTTTATTTTGTTATAAGGTATAATAAATTTTTTTAAATAGAAAATTTGGGGGTTGGATTTGAGAGACATTCTCCCGGTATTGTGCGGACACTATATATTTTTTACTATCCCTTCTTGCTATTCTCCATGTTTACAATGGTGTCCATACATTATTAACGTGCAGATGTTTGTATAGGAGAATAACTAACGCCTTATATTTTTTACTATTCCTTCATGCTTTTCTCCCTATTTACAATAACGTTCGTGCGTTATTAACGTGAGGACGTTGGTACAGGAGAATAACAACATATATTAATATATTTGTATCAATATGATGCGACCGCCCCATTGATGTATTTGTAGTTATCTGATTGATTTTGGTTTGAAAAACTTTGTTCATATTTATATGGTACAGGTACAGCCGCGACTAGGAGAATAGAATACTAGTGGATAATAGAAATCGAAGCTCTAGCGTGAACTATCTGCTGGTCTCGTATGCAACTAACTTGCAGTATACTGTTAGGTTGCATTCTTCTGACTTGGTGGCCCTCTGTCTGTGTTATAATATGTACTGAGGAAATCCCAAAAATGATTTCAAGCATATATAAACATTTGATGCTAATTGTCAAGGGTTTCGAATAAACTATATGCCGGGTTATAACAACCCCAACAAATGTTTTATATTAGAGCCCCACATTATATTATAATAATGATTTGGTATTGGCTAGATCTAATATAATGTCACGCTCTCTCTCTCTCTCTCTCTCTCTCTCCATTCTTGAATTAAAAAACAGTGATGGGTTCATGATTTATGGCCCACTGGTTTCAGGCTTGTATTTCTGGCCCAGTGAGATACTGGGTGTTTCTTTGGCCATCGTCAATACGCGAAAACAAAAATAAAGCATAAAATGGCATGTTTACTAAACAGAAATCGAAGTAAGTAAGAATCAGAGTGTGAATGAATCGGAATAAGCATGAATCGGAGTGAGACATTCTCATTAAGGAATTGGAGTGAAAATAAAGTTGATTCCCAGTAAAATGTATACTATCATATGAAGTTTCGTAACGCGCAGAGTAGCTGTAAAATCACATATTTATTACAACAAGAAAGAAGTCATCATCAACCGCACTACCCATGCACAAAATATCTAACAAGCCAAATGGGGAAGCTAACCTTCTCAACTCTCAAATAAGTAATTACAATTACCAGCTTTAACCTCTAACCAAAAAAAGATTAAAAACCTTTAAGCCTACAAGCTAATTAATTATTAGCAGCCATCTTTTCTGTGACTTTAGCCAGCGACTTAAGATTGCAGCCGATGATCGTATTAGTAAACAAACAAGTGTCCTCCTCGCTGCTCCCGGCAGGCACATCCACCACATACGACTGAATCACAACAGCCTTCCCTTCCTCTTCTCTGTGCACGGTAGTGGTAGAACTGTAATTTGCAAGCCTGTGATCTCCACCAACAATGCTATAATGCATGACATGCATGTTGTCGTCGAGCTCATCCAGCCTCTCCATGCTGTTTTTCGCCGGCAAGCCGGTTTTAACCACGACTTCCCGGATGCTTCCGATGCCTCCATTGCCGGCACGCATGCTGCAGCTCTTGATGAACTGCTTGTAGGCTTGAGGGTTGTCGAATTGGCGGAGGACGGACCAGACCAGGGGCAGCGGCGCGTCGATGGTTTGGACAAGGCTCGAGCCACACTGGTTTGGTAACAGAGTGTGGCTATGGTAGCTGCTGATCATGAGCTGTGTTTTGGTTAGGGTTTGTTGCTTTTGGGTTGGATAAAATACCACCATCTCAAGGCAAGGCTTCAGATGACAAGTTGTCGTTTGCTGTTGTGGTTGGGAACAATGTGAGTTTAGGGCTGTATATAAGAAGGAAAGGGCGGTGGTTTTGGTTTGCTAAAATCTCTGTGTGGTTAGTTACTTCATCAAAAACAAAGAAAGTTTGGCTTCTCATGGCAGGCTTAAGGGTGTCTTGGGACTTGGAGTTTTTGATGAATTGTGTGCGTCGCGTCTAAGTTAGCCCTTGTCAAGTTGCCATTGGATTGGACTGTGCTTTCTCATGTGCTTTTCATGTGCTCGTTTCTTGTTTCTAGTATTCGCTTGTCTTTTGCGAAGGCTTATTCCTTCCCGATTCTCAGACTAAAAACTTTCATCGTTATGTGAAGGGCAGGTTCTCTTCTTTTAACGCTTGTGTCCAAGTGGACCACCATATCTTGACACGTCAGCAATGATGGCACGATGTGTCCATGTGGACCATATCTTGACATGTCAGCAAAGAGCCTGCGTGACAATTTTGTCAAAGCTACGTATTTCACTCTTCCAGCTGTACACATTCGCTGTCATCCAACTAAGCAAATGAACCTAGTTGCAGTAACTATATTATAATATGGCCACGTGGACGAGTCATACCACGTCACAATATTCAAGATCCACACAAAAATTTCGCCATCCTAGTTCTGCATCAAGAGTAACCTCTATATGTATTCTTAATTTACATTGTTTTATATGAATTTTCATTGAGGTAAATCAGATTCTTGAATTCTCATTTGCCTTCCCTGTATTTGGATCCTAATCATATAATCGTAGAAGGAACCAAAGCTCAACAGCAGAAACAAAATCTAGTGCGCTTATGCGAGCAGCTTAACATTGGCCCAAACAAAGCACCGAAGCTAATTACAGCATGTTAAAAGAATTTTTGACTCTCTTAAACATTCGACTGCCCACTTCATTTGAGTTTCTACTGACCAAAAGTCTACACTTCTTTACCCCCCCAGTTCATAAAAAAAAAAATTCTACACTTCTGATCTCCATTTTATGTGCATTAATCCTATTTCAAATTACAAATTTGGGAAAGGTATGATCACTCACCAAACAGAAAATGGAAACTTGGCTTCTTTCTGGTGTCGAGATCAGACGCACATTTTTTGCTCTACCTGCTTTCCGGACTCCGGCTAATAAGTTTATTGACTACCCAGTTTGCTGGGAAGGTTTCACAGTGACCGTATAGTGCACTCCCATGCTAGGAACAAATCCAACTGATTGCCTAAACTGTAATGCAGGACAAAAGTAGAATTGAATAGGTGAAGAAAATGTAGTTGATGCTTTACTTGAAAAAGAAACCACAGAAATAAAACCATAAATCCAATTAATAGGTTGGGGTGCTGAGATCAAGTCACTGTTTCAAGTTCTTAGTGTCATTTTCTTTCCTAGCTTTTCATCCTACATCAAAATTTCTATGAGACGCTGAAATGTTGCATCTCAATAGCAGGGTAAGCACTTTTACTCTGCAGAATCCTATATGCATCCAAGAACGCACTAAATGTTATAAATCCAAATGGCATAACCATTTTTTGGTCCTACAAGTACATCCACTAAAACTCTAGAATTTATACCCTGCTTCTCTTGCGCACGCACAAGCACACTTAGTGAGTCCATGTCTACTGATAAGGCCATTAAAGACTTTCAAAACCTTCGCATACCTTAACATTTCTAGTGAATAACCAACAGCTTCACCTTCAAGCAACAAACATAGTCTAAACAGATAGTGTTAACTGTGTACATTGAAACCAAATCGGAAATACCAAATCATAAGAGAGCATGTAAGTCGAGCATCAATAATAGGCGTATAGAAAAACTAGGAACTGGCATAATCAGATGGCAAACCATAATCCATACAAATGCCACCCATGGCTTTCTCCTGCAATCCACCGTGAGTACCAATTGCAACGTCTCTATCATTTCCATCTTGCTGAAGAAATCAAGTGATTGTCTCATGTAACACTAAGCACAAATAATGATCATCCCAGAATAGCAAGAACCATAATGAAAAAAAACAGTGCTATTAACTAATTGAGGCTCTGAATTTTATCAAGCAAACATAGAAAGACAGAGAATACAAATAGGCAATCTCATTCCCATCAAAGAAGCCAAAGAACAAAAAGAGAAAGCTTCTTGTTTATTAAATCTTCTGTACAAGATCAAAGGGATTATGATTCAGTAACAGCAGCATTGGAGCAATCACAAAATTCACAATTCAAAAACTATCACAATAAAATCAGAAACTACCCTTTTAAGGCGCTCTGGGGTCGGTCCCGTGCTGCCAAACGTACGCAAGCTCATCCCAGCCAGTACTTGCCAGAAGCCCCTCCACAAGAACACTCATATCCACACCAACCGCGAACTCGGTGTGATGGTCGTACCGAGCTACCAGTGCGTCCTCCACCATATAATCCCACAAGCAAACCGACATGTCGTATGAGCACGACATCATCAAGCTCTGCCTGTGCGGCGAGAACTTGATTTTCCTCACCGCGTAGCTGTGGCCATTGAGCACCGAGATTGGAACCCTAATGCTCCTCACGTCCCAAACTTTGATAGACTTGTCGACGGAGGCCGTGGCGATGCAGCAGTCGTCGTACTTGTTCCAATCGCACGCGAGGATCTCGAGCTCGTGAGCGGGGATGATCATGGTGGAGCCAGGCTCACGCACGTCCCAGACGCGTAGGGTGCAGTCGCCGGAGGCGGAGGCGAAGACGTCGGCGTGGCGAGGGTTCCAGACGGCGGAGTAGACGCAGTAGGCGTGCTCCTTGAAGGTCCGGACGGAGGCGGGCCGGTCAACGGTCCACAGCTTGACGGTGTCGTCCCAGGAGGCGGTGAGGAAGGAGTCGCGGCGGGTGGGGTTGTAGTCCGCGGAGCTGACCTCGCGCGTGTGCTCATGGAGGGAACGGAGGGGGTTGGAGGCGGGGGGCAGAGCGACGTCGTAGAGCTTGACGGAGCCGTCGGCGATGGCGGCGACTAGGAGGGAGTCGTGGGACTCGGACCATGCGACGTCGTACACGCCATCGGCGGTGTCGTAGGCGATGAGCTCGGTGATTGGCTGGTGGGGTGCGGCGGGGCCCAGCGGGGCCGGGGAGAGGTCGATAACGTGGAGGCGGCCGTTGCCGAGGATGCCGAAATTTTGGGAGGTGGCGACGGCGAGCCGAGACTCGTAGAAGGGGCTGAACTTGACGGAGTAGCCGTTGAACGGGGTTTTAAATACTGGCATTGTTAGTCCAATCCAGGTGGAATTTCCGGTGCTCTCTCTGCGTCTGGCGTTTGGATTTTGGGGATCTCACGGTCTGAGAGCTTTGGATTTTTTCTTTTTTCTTTTCTTTTCTTTTTCTCTCATCATTGTTTTGTTTTGTTTTATTTTATTTTATTATTGTTTTCGCTTGTCATCGTCTTGGAATGTGGAAAGTTCGAAACTAATTTTCATTTTTCCATTTCGGATTTAATCATCTTTTCTTGATTTTTCATTTTTGTGAAGCATCTGCTCAGCCCTTGGACTGGACCATCGTTATAGGACTGGACTACTCATGTGGGATAAATTGGACTAACCAAGTATGTAAAATGGGCCAGGCCCTAAATCTTCAAGGCCTGGTTTCAGATTTTAATCCATAAATGTAGGCGGGCCAAGTCTGCCTCCATCTTCGTAAATTTCGGTTCAGGCCCTGTCTAACTAATCAAAACTCGTTCTATATATGACAAGAGAGTTGTAGCTCAAGTACTTAACAGCAGTTACTTTTGCATCCTATGTTCTATATTTGAATTCCTCCCTTCTAAAGTAAATATTTTCAACAAAATATTGTCACGACTCACAAGTACATACATGTGATGTATACATGAACGATTGTCAATCGTAAGTTAATGGGTTTGCTTACTACAGTTTACGTATGCATGCATGCACACCGAACTGTAGCGAGCAAACATGATCAACTTAATCTAAACCATACAATATTTTTCTCAACTTAATTTATGAGTTAAGAACTGCACATCGCGTAGAAAGGTAGCTTTTGACATGATAAATGGGATTTTGAATAGCTTGTTTTGGTCGTGGGGCACCAAACAGGGTCCCGTAATTTTAGAATGGAGTTGAATTTTAAGCTGGCGAAATTTGGACCCTTACGGAACGACTCATTAATAAGGTTTGGATTTGTTCGGCTTCCATTATTATAATATCCCGCAGATAATATAACAATGAACAAATGGATATTAAGTCATTCATAAACATTTCCGACCACAATTCTTTATTTGTTTTTGCAAAGTTTTGGTAGACTCTGTGGGCTCAGGATTTGAATTTTACCTAATCCACTATTCCAACACCTTCACATGCAAAAGAAAAGGAGCATTATAATATTTGCTGCACCCTCAATATAGTGGATATGTAATTTTTGGGTCCACAGCCTAATAGTTTTGAAATCTGAATTTCCATTTCCAAAAATAAAAGAATAAAAAATTCAGAAATTGCAAATACAAAAATGAAACACCATGTATGTACAGTATGGCCCCTCCCCCGTCCATGCCTCACATGTTTGCCGCACTAAGACTAAGGTCTTACGTCTCACATATTTATTTTGGGGGGGAGGGGTGGGGGCTTGTTATGGATGGGACACAATTTACTGGCAATTATCAAACTTTATTTTTTACTATAGCACATTATTTTTCTTATATCAAATCAATTGGTCGGCTCCAAGGAAATGTTCTAAAGGTCAATATGATAATATTATGGACATCAAATCAATCTTGGGAATTCTTTTCTGAAGTGATCAAGTTGAATAATTTCTCAGGTGTCATGATCTTATCTTCGGACTTTTTGATTTACTTCCACCAACATCACTAAAGTCTAAATTACGACAGAGAAAATAAAATTATCGCATTTCTTGTTCTCATCGACAAACTTCTTCTCAAATATTTGAATTAAAACATCATTAATTATGTTTTAGATTAGAAATCATTTTTGTAATTTATAAACGAGGTTTGTGATCAATAATGTTGTGTATAAATAAAGCGATAACTGTGAGTTATTGATCGGTGTGGGACGTAGTGTTTGAAGATGATGTGAAGAAATCCCTTTGCAAATAGGGAAAATAGGCTAATAGATTGACTGGGGTCAAACCACTTCACAAACCTAAAACCAGAAAGGAGATATAAAGTAAAAGAAGTTATAGTCCATCACACCTCACTTTCCAATGAAAACCACAACCCACATGATCTTGCTTGGGATATTGAAACGTTGAAAGATCACAAAACCACTCTCAAAAGAAGATTTTCCCTATGCCCCATTTCCTACCCTCATTTCCCAATTCACTCCCAACAAAGCCGATCGATTTCTCTCTCACTCTCTCTTTCTCAATGAACCCCACACACAAGTAGCCTCCACACACACACCTATACTAGTAAATAGTAGTGATCGTAGATGTTCAATCGTGCTTTGACACGTGTAAGGCCTAGACGAAAACACCTGATCATCAGCCAGGGCACCCCTTTGCTGGCAGTCGTGCACCAACATGTGCCACCCATAAGGCCCCCAACCCTTTAAAACCAACCCCAAATTATTGAACTTGGTGAAGGAGAAGGGGAGAGGGATGGGAGAGGGGGCCCTAAATGATGGATCCCAAAAGGCCAAAGTACAGAGTGAGGTGCAATTATTCATGCCATGAATTTCATCCTAAGCAACTCATGAGCAAAAAAATTCCCCCATCACCTCATCTCTCCCATCCCACAAATCAAAAAGATTTCCGTATAGAAAAAAGAGATAAAGAAAAAGCTCTCTACTATATAATAAAACCATCATTTGGTACAATTTTCTTTTAGGTCACTGATACTGATTCCCACTCTCTCATAGCTAGAGCTCTCTCTCTCTCTCTCTCTCTCTCTCTCTCTCTCTCTCTCTCTCTCATAGGCAAAAAAACAAAAGGGTTAATTAAAGAGACTTTTCTTTCTCATTCTCTTTCATTCCCTACTTCTTCCTTTCTCCTCCTCCTCTCTCTCTCTCTCTCTCTATGAGAGAGACCTTTGGAGAAAGAGAAATCAGTAGGAAGAAGCAGCAGCCATGAAAAACACCATCAGGTGCTGCATCTCTTGCATTCTGCCATGTGGAGCTCTGGATGTGATTAGAGTGGTACACTGTAATGGCAAAGTCGAAGAGATCAGCGGCACAATCCGGGCCAGCGAGATCATGAAGGCCTACCCTAAGCACGTCCTCAAGAAGCCCTCCTCATCGCCGTCCGATCACAACGGTGTCGTCCCCAAGATCGTGATTGTTCCACCCGATGCTGAGCTGCAACGCGGCAAGATTTACTTCCTCATGCCAGTGCCTGCTGCTTCCAAGACATCCGAAAAGACATCAGCCAAGACAAGATCGTCGGCAAAGAAGAAAAGGGTTAAGGACACAGAGACCAACACCACCACCAACAACAACGTTGTGATGAACAGCATCGCCATGACCAACCTCTTGATATCTGATCAGTACTTGAGCGAAATACTGTCGGAGAAGCATTCGTCTCAGAGGGATCGGCGGCGAGGACGTGTTGGGGTGTGGAGGCCTCATTTAGAGAGCATATGTGAGTCACCAAGTGATGTGTAATATTGGCGGCCTCTTCTTTTCATCATCTTCTTCTTAGTTCTCATCATTCATTTTGAAGGTTCATATGGCCAATAGGGTTGCTGCCTATTATTCTTTCTTTCTACCTCTTTTCCTTTGTTTTTCTTCTGTTTTTTTGTATATATAGGAGGGAACTAATAGAGAAAGAAGAAATAATATGCAACAAGGTCTACTATGAGTCTATGAGGGTGTTAATTATTGTTTTTATTTTGTGGTGGGTTCGCAGAAAAAATATATATATATTTGAAGGCCATAATTGGGTCATAGTTCAGTGAGGTCTGTGTGTTTGTGTTTTAATTGTTTCATGCATTGATTTAATTTTGTAATGTTGGAGAGGGGAAAAGATGAAGAAACTTGTTATGGGTTTTGGTTTTTGCTTAGTTTTTCTTCCTTTTCTGTGGATGAAGGAGTTCATTATCTAAGGGAAAGCTTTTGAGAGAGAAACCAGTTCTCCATGTTATCACATATATGGAATGAAATTTAAAGTTACAAATAAGGTAATTGTGACATGATTATTGATGTACCATTGCAATATATTATCTAATAATTTACCTTTATGTCATACAATTTCGTCAAGAAAATGAAAATGAAAATGAAATTCGCACACAAGTGTCGGTAGTCCTTTTGTATTGGCAATATTAGTGTAATGATTATTCCATATCTCCCATTATTGGGAAGTGTTAATATTGCATAAATCTCATGTGGACATCGATTCTTCGAAGATTAACTACGATAATAAAATGTTATAGGTACATCTATCTCTCGTATTTACTGATTATGTTATTAATCACATCTTTTGCCATACGCAAGACATGTTGAGTTCAATAATAAAGTTGGATACACTTCTGATAAAGTATGATAGCACCTTTGATGGGAAAGACATCATCCAAACTCATCATCTGCTTTTTTTTCTCTTTCTTTTTCCTTTCCAGATATATTAAAGTTAGGATGAATATATTTGTTAATATGATGATCAAAGTCACATTGAGGTGGATGGAAAATGATAGTCCCCACACAAAGTTTTTTTCCACCATGTATAGGATAATGCAAATCTAGCTTGCACTAGCTAACAAGTGGGTATATGGCATGTCTTTAAGCATTGTTCTCTTAGAGAATGATTAATTAGATATAGATGGTGCCAAGGGCATCCTGTAAAGGTAATCACAGTAGGGTTTGACCCTTTTTTTTCACATTGGCTGGTGGCAGATGGTTGAGCCTTTGATGAGCAAACCCATGTTCTGATCCCCCTCTCCTATGAATTTTCTTGACACTTGACAGTCCCACCATCTGGGACAACCAAAAAAAAAAAAAAAAAAAAAAAAAAAGAAAAGAAAGAGGGTGTGACAGAGTTATCAGATATGAAATGTTATCTCATCCAGTGGTTCATCCATTGGCACATGTCAGATAGCAGTAGGTTAATCAACTGCACCCCATATACATCACAACAATATATAATACATACCATACATAAATTAGAAACTTATAACTCGAGATCATGTATTCGAATTTCTCTTCTCTAATATCATTGGTATATAAAAAAACTTTAATCAAAATTCAATATAATACAAGACTATAGTCGAATAACGCTTGATTGAAGTACCATTTTTGCACAAACCTAACTTCCTGGACCTTAGTACATGTTTTGAGATTTTAAAGCAAAATTATTGAAGGAAAGGTACGTGACTTAAATGTGAAGATATATGGTTGAAAAAAAATCTTCTGATACTGTACTTGTTAGGGAGAAAAATAGAATAATAAATCAGACAAAGACCTATCAAACCAGTGACAATTTTTAATAAAACCATATCATCTATATATATTTATAAAAGCCTAATAAGAAAATCAAACCCATCATTTGGAGTTGATTATATATGGCAAGATGATTTAAACAACTAATTAAAAAAAAAGAAATTGCTACCAGAAGAAGCTACAAAAGCTACCAACTTTCTAAAACTCAATTCTTAAATTAATGTGGGCCATTTCACAAAAAAATAATAATAATGTGGACCATATAGCAATAAGCCTATACCCATAAACCCGAAGATCATAAAGACTAAAGAAAATGATATTTTAGTATTCTTTTATTGTTGCAGAATAATATATAGAAATGGGGGAAAATGCACGGAATGCAATTCTTTCCTCTTCCTCTTATTGAAGCGGCGCCTCTCACACTTTTCATCGATTAAAATATAACAAGAAACAAAAGGGCCGGTCACTTTCTCCACCTTTACTTCCATTTCTTTTTGACATTTTGTATTTATTTTATTGCATTTTAATTGTTGTATTCCTTTGGGAGTGTTTTTTGGATAAATACCACGAGGTGTCTCCACACCTAAATGGTGAGATTAATTCCTGCTAGGAGTTCGGTTTGCCCCTTGCCACAAAGTGCTTCCAAAGGGTTTCGAACTCCTGCAATTGAGGCACCAAGTAGCTCGCCAGTTGGAGGTGGCAGTTTGCTCACCGCACCATACCTTGTGGTTGTTTGGAAGTGCTTTTGTAAGGGATGAAAGCTCTTTCAACCAACCACAAGCGCATCTGATAGCATTTGGCAAAAAAGTTTAGAAGCTCTTTTTGGAGAAACACCTAACATGTGTTGCACTTTGATTTCTTATGAAGATTTCAACATTTTTATAATAAAAGCACTTTTACTATAAACACTTATGAACAGAAACACTTCTTAGAAAAATAGTCTCAAACCAACCCTTATTTTCTTGATATACCCATTGCATACAAACAAAACAAAGTATTAGTACCCACACAGACGTGTAGGAAAATTATTTTTGTGTGTTTTAATTTTCCTTTTTGTAATGTTCATATATTTGACACATGGACACGTACAATTCGTTGAATCTTGTTGTCTGCAAAACTCCGACTTTACATGTGGCAGATTTCACCTGCTCTGCTCCGCCAGGGACATTAAAGCTTTGCTTGGTGTGTGTGTGTCATTTTGAGTTACGAAAATGCATGAGTTTGTTTATTTAATAAGAAGAAAGATTCTTTTGTCATCACGGGGGGGAAAAAAAAGCAATCTTATTTTACACTACTAAGAAATTTCTTATTCGGAAGAAGTTCATATAAAACTACTATTAAGCATATTATGAAGCTTCTTAAGAGTATGAATAACGTTTCTCTTAAACAAACAACTACAAAAATGATATTCGCTTCTATACAACACAAAATATAAAATAACCAGAAGAAAGTAGCAAGTAAAGTTTGAAGGCCTTTTTTTGTGTGACCAAAGTGTTACAAACCATGGCATGACGCTATGTGTTTTACATAGCTTCAAGAACATACATTTTTTTTGGATAGTTGAGAGCCGAAGAGTCTCTAGGACAACTACCTCTCTTGGGTTAAAATTGTTAGATGTAATGGGATTCATATATATATATTATTGTTTTTGCAAAAATGACGTGATGAAAGATGTAGAGACAACAGAATATAAAACATATTACACGCAAGTTCTTCTTCTCTTTTGAGCTTTGAAGGATTTATACCCCACATTATAATGTTTTGAAACTTACCACACGATATTGTGGATTTAGTATGATTTTCCATGTAATTAGGTCATGTGATGGGCATGACGTGGGAAGAAGCCTCCACTTTAGACTCTAGTCTAACATATGGTTTTTGTTAGGTATTTTATTCTCTAAAAGTTGGTAGAAAGTTGACATAACTTGTCCCTTACGTACAATGTAAGTTGTAAGAATTTCCTAAAACTCTTGTGCTTTTGAAGTTGGGCACGCAACTTTCCATGTTACTTCGACAATGAGCCAATTATATGACTCGTCTTTCATCTCATTGAAATTATATGGTTTGGTTTATATGATGTATAGACAACAAGTTGCCATTTTACGAAATTAATTTTTTTACTTAAAAAATAAAAGAAAAGAAGCTAAAATAACAAACTTTGAGTGAATAATTTCAAACCGACGAATTTGAAGTTGAGTTGTAATGAATTAAAGAGGAGTTTAGAGAGCAAAAAATAATAAAAATAAAAGATTTGGCTGAATTTGATTTGATAATTAACAAACAATACGAGATATTCCTCGAACTTATCCAAATGGATTGTTGTACATAAAAAGGAAAAAAAAACAAAGGTTTATAGCAAAAGAGAATTGTTAGTGAGTGTTATTGTCGAGTACGGTAAAAATAATAATCCGATAAGGCGGGCGGAGAGTAATGCGATGGGAAACGGACCGAGCCGAGCCGGTAAAATCGAAGCCACTAAAGCCTTAATGACATCGACAAGACCTCACGCGCTCATCCCGGCGACCTTCCTCCTACACTCGCGGCTCATGCGGCCGGCGCTCTCCCCCCACCGACGCGACCCCTTTACTCCCTAACTACACCCACTCTCTCTCTATTCCCACCCACGCGGACAAACCCCCACCCCCCAATTTCCAACCCCCAACCAAACACTTTCCGTTCCCGACGATGGGTGACCTAACGGACCCACAAATGACGCCGTCCCATGCCACCGCCGCCACCCCCTCCTCCAACCCTCGCCCCATGCCCGTCCGCGAAGACTGCTGGAGCGAAGACGCTACCTCCACTCTCGTCGACGCCTGGGGCCGCCGTTACCTCGAGCTCAACCGCGGGTGCCTCCGTCAGAAGGACTGGCAGGAGGTCGCTGACGCCGTCAACGCCCTTCACGGCCACACCAAGAAGACCCACCGCACCGACGTCCAGTGCAAGAACCGCATCGACACCATCAAGAAGAAGTACAAGTTCGAGATGAATAGGGTTTCGTCCTCCAACGGAGCCCTAACCTCTTCTTGGCCTTTCTTCGAGAGGCTCGACGCTCTCATCGGATCTAACTACAAGAAGCCGTCTCCTTCGCCCCCGGTCGCTGTTCCGTTGCCTTTAGGGTATAGGAAGACGCCGTCTCCGGCGACCGTTGTGACGGCCGTGGCGCTGCCGCAGAAGCGGTCTGCGTCGTCTGCGGCGGTCGACGAGGGTTCCTTCAGGATGAATTACTCGGCTGTGGCTGCGGCGGCAGCGGCAGGGGCTGAGGATGAGGACGACGAGGACGAGGATGAGGACGACGAGGTGAACTACGAGGTTGATGAGGAGGTTGAGATGGAGAGGGAGAGAGATAGCGGAGGCGAGATTGGAGGAGGAGGAGGAGGAGAAGGGTTGAAGAGATTGGCAAGAGCGATTGAGAGGTTCGGGGAGGTGTATCAGAGAGTGGAGGCCGAGAAGTTGAGGCAGATGGTGGAGTTGGAGAAGCAGAGGATGCAATTCGCCAATGATTTGGAGGTGCAGAGGATGAATATGTTCATGGACACGCAGGTCCAGCTCGAGCGGATCAAGCACGGCAAGCGATCGGGCTCTAATGGTGAGGCAAATCTTTCCTCTTTCTTGTGTGTGTTTGGTTTGAGTTTGTAAAATATATTCACTTAAAATGATGATTGGATAGAATTGTGGTTTGATGGATGCTTTTATGTTTTTGTGGTCTGGAGTTTTTGGTTTGTGCTTGTATAATCTTTTGGCTTAAATTGATTGGATGGTCTGATAGATGTTTTATTGTTTGTGGTAGTAAGGGGAATGCCTACTTAATTGTTTGAAAAAGCTGTTGTGGAGATTCTTGATATACCTTGGGTTTGAAGCTTCTGTTAATTCTGGAGATCCAAACTCACCCCACCCTGATTGAGAAATTAAAATTAGGGTTCTTATTTGGAACTCTGAACTATGCTTTGACAATGTAGTCAAATCAATCATTGAAGTTGTATTGCATACGTTAATTGGAAACTATTTGCTTGTCTCCACTGCCAAAATTTCAGCTCCCTGTTTGTATTGGTTATAAGCTATAACATGAAGGCCATTGCTATTGTGTGATTCCTAGACTTTTATGCATTTTACCTATCTGGCTAGGTATTCATAGCGTGATTTAAGAGGGTTAATTTTTGTTAAATGGCTTTCATACGTTAGGAACTTGGTGGGTTTGAGTTGCTAAAGCTCCTGTCATGCAATTCATGTATCTGAACAATGTTTCAGAGATATGGAGAACTCTGAATTATTTGGAGGAATTCAAAGCTTTGGTCGGGCTTAACTTAACCTGAACTAAGTTTTAATTTCTAGAATAATTGATGATGGCAAACATATGTATCCTATGGAGGCTAGGGGTCGGGGGTGGGTTTAGCTTCTTCATGGAGCGCGCTGGTGTTCATTCTGCCTTTTGCTTACTTTTGTGAGCCAGTTAAAATCCTCTTCTCACAACTTTTTTATCTCATGGATAAACCATTTCTATCTTGAATTTTCATGCATTTCGAAGCATTCTGGTGCTCATCACCAGCTGGTTGAAATGTGGATGGTTTTAGAAACCTGTTGATTTCATGATGTATCAAATATCTGATAATTATGACACACCAAAATAATTCTTGTATTGTCTGTTCCATAAACTTTTCCCAATTCTAAATTGTTCAAGTAAAGTAACATGCTTGGTTTCCTTCTACTGCATGCTATATAATTGTTGAATTTCAACAAACACAACTTATTTTCACCCTGTTGTTGTCTATAGCTTTTATGCATGGATGTGAACGTTTGTAAAGTTGAGCTCTGAGAGTTTTATATAGAGTTCTATCAATTCGTAGAACAGAAGAACAGAAACATATCCTGGTAAATCTTTTCAGATTTAAGTTTTTTATTCCATTAATGTCTCAGCCCTCTCCCTCCCTCTTTGTGTGTGCTGGTTGAGATTGCTATCTTATTTCTCTGTTCAAAATTTTATGATACTCACTCACAACTTTTGGGTTTAGAGAATGTCAAGCATCAGTTCCCTGGGAATCTAAGTTCATGGCCTTTACTAACGTTCACTAAATCATCTTGCTAGGTTGGTAACATTAACAGTGGAGTGATATGTTTTCCACGAGGGTAGCTGGTGAGTGAATTATATCATTGTAATGTGCAGTTTTAGTGATGTTCTTAACTAATTATGGATGAGGCATTAGTGCTTTCGCTAACAGTAGGTAGTTTCAATAAACAAGTCTTAAACTGCAGGCATTGGACACCATAAACAGAAATCCCTTTTTTCAATAAAAAGACGTAAAGTACTTGAGTTAGACATGACTTGACATTGAAATGGGTGACTCATAGCGTATGTTTTGGATGTGGTTTCAGGGCTTATTGATAGCAAAAGATGAAGATTCCCATTAAAGTTCTGAGTTAGATGCTTTCTGATCTTTCTTATATTGCTTGAAGTAAATTCGTGCTGCTTGTGATTGTGGTTTTGAGTCAGCTGAGTTTCTCGTGGCGTGTTGGCATTTCTTGAATCAGAGTTCTATTGCAAATTTGATTTCTAAGAATGGTTTTGTGGGTTCTCGTGTTGCAGATATTTATATGCGGGGAGAGCTTTAATGGTAGACTTCCATGGGAAGCATAATGTAGTATCTTCTTGATTATCCTACAAAGTACATATTGTTGCAGCTGATACTGGACCTAGAGAAACTACTGGCACAACAGTCCCAAGTTTTCTTTTTTCTTTTCTTTTTTCATCTTGGTTTTTTCTTTCTAAATTATTATTGTTTTGGGAACAAGTTTAATCGGCATGGCAGTTGTACTCGGCTTAGATTGGTCCAATGAATTTGGTTTTGGCTGTATTAGCTTTTTAGTTTGAACGCCACAAATCTAATTTTTTCTTGCAATACATAAAAGTAGGTAACTTCTCTTTTTTTGTACTTTGGTAGACTTGGTCCTCTTGTCTTGTGCCTTTTCTTGTTTGCTTTCTCTGGCTAGTAGCAGGCCTAGTTTGTTTACTCTGTTTCGCCTCCTGGCCTGCTTTTTCTCTACTATAAACCACTTCTTATTGACATTTAAAATTGGGGGATAATGCAAAGGGAGTTTCATTAATACACCCAAAATAGGGGCTGAAATTATAAAAAAAATCCCACATGAAAAACACTTTATAAACACACCCAAAATCCATTTATTAAACACACTCAAAACCCATTTATAACACACTAAAAAAATATACAATTGTTGATTTTTGGGTTTATTTTGGGTGTGTTTTTATGTTTTAAATAGTGTTGGGTATATTTATAATTTTATGTCTAGGATTAGGTGTTTCACTAATTTTGTATAATGCAAATGGGGTCTAGCCTAATGAAAAATGACATTTGATTTGCGAGTGGTATAGCACATTAGTAGTGTGTATGAGAAACATAAAATAAAAATAATAAAATTGGGCAGATAACATGCATTTTCAAAATCTTGCATTTATTATTAGAATGTTGTTAAACGAACCCTAAAATTAACTAATTATACTCTACTATAAAATTATTTATTGAATTATTAATTTATTCTAATATAAAATGACCCAAAAAACAATATTGAATTGTCAAATAAATATAATTTTAATAATTACACCTTACATCACAACCATGTAATTGGGAATATGCATTTTTTCTGTTTTTGGACCTGCCATTGTTTGCACTCATGAGAGTACCTGGCAAACCCATTAGCCTCTTTATAAGACGATCCATAATCTTTCAATCCGATTCCAATGGTGAAGATCTTGAAGGTTGTGCAGGTGCATGCCTTTATGACAGGTAGACTCCTATACAACGCTCTCCGGCAATAAGCTTCCATCAATAGATGATCGACCAATTGTAAACTAATCAATACACTTAGCCTGATTCATTGCGGCATTTTATGTTTGCATAGATACTGTATGCACTTGAGAAATGTATTAAATTTTTTAAATTTATTATCTAAAAAACATCGTTGCATGCTATTGACAGTGTGCCTATGGATGAGCTAGCATTGTTCGTGCCGGAAGTGTAATTGAGGAGCTGTACAGTACGGGTTTGGTGTTGTGTGATAGTGTATTAGGGTGTATTATGGGTATTTTGGTAGTTAAATAGGGTGTACTTTATTAATTTTACATTTTAATTTAAATAATATGATGTACTCAGTTAATTTTAGAATTCGTTTAATAACACTCTATTATTATTAACAGTTTTCTATCAAAACAAACCCAACCTTAAGGTCCTTAACTATTGGCTTGCAGCCATATATAATTACCGTGGTGACCTTCTCGAATCATCAATTTTTATTCATTTAAGTTGTTGATCAACTGTTGCCATTCTCCTGAACTCGAATCCCATCAAGAGCGGGTCAAGAAAGTGAGTGATTGTCTCAATTCCACATGTAAACAAACGAAGGCTCACAAAACTCTCCAAAATATACGCATTCTTTGCTTCTTTTCCCTTTATAAGAAGAAGAAAGCCCTGTCTAATTCATCTTTAGCAATACATAGAATAGAACCAACACAAGCACACTCGAAATCAACAATGTCGACAGAGTCTAGCACTACCATCCTTGCCTTTGCCTTTTGTTTCTTGTCCCTCCTTAGTTTCACTTACTCCAACACCACCGACGACAAAATCTACCTCACCGGCCTGGTCTACTGTGACAACTGCCAATTGAAGTCTATGACCGAGATTAGTAAGATGATTCCAGGTACGTAACGTTAATAAGTAGGTAACAACTACCTAACTGTCGTTTATAAGATTTGAATATGAGATTTATGCATGCATGCATGGGCATTGATCAGGTGCAAAGGTGCGATTGGAGTGTAGGGAGGGGGGGAACATAAAATTGAGCGAAGAGGGCGAAACCAGCCAGCTTGGACTATACGTGTTTGAGTTGGAAAAATCTACGAGGCCTCTGAATGATTGTCAAGTGACACTGCTACACAGCCCTGACCCTGAATGCAAGATTTCCCATGAAGTCGACCCTAACAACAAATCGAAAACTGCGCCGGTGGCCACCCGGAAGCTCAACCTATTGGAAGGAGACAGTGTCGTTTTCATCGGACCAAGCCACCGTGTTTCCTACCCTCTTGGTTTGGTCGTTGAGAAAGCTCGTCCCGAGTGCGAGCAGTTCGCCAAAGCGCGCAGGCATTTTCAGAACTAATTTAAGGAATTGAAGACGAAAACCGTCTGATATTAAATCAATCTCCAATTTCAGTGAATTTTTCTTTTTGATTGCAAAGATAGATAAATTGTGGTTTAAGAAATCAACGGTTATGATTATGATATATGCACGGTTATGATTTGTGAATCACAAGAGGTAGAAATAAGGAAATGTACTTAGAAGTGCACTCAAGTATTATATCCGTGAAGATAATGCCATGTCGATTAATCTAGTCTTTTTATTTTTTACTTTATTAATTCTTAATTAAGATTCAATATAGGACCTATTTAAAGAGAAGAAAAATACGATTTAAAATCTATCTTATAACCTAATAATCTCCTAATCAAAATACTAAACTTTTAACATGTCACCTATCAATTTAGCCCTTAATTATACTAAGCTCAAATTCCATGGTCCATAGTAGTTTGATTTTAATTTTTTATTTTTGTGTGAAAACTTGGTCTTTTCTTTAAAATAATATGCTAGATAGCGTGAAAGTAGCAAATAAATAATGATGTGTTCAAATTGGATTTGACACACATCACAACCCATATCATCATTAAGGCCCCAAAAATTGAATCATTATGTGCCTGGTTAATACGTTAAGTAGTTTATGAAAGGATTCAGATCGAAGAGGATCCATGACTTGTAATGGATCACTTGTTCATTTCCTTAAAATAAATAAAAAATAAACTCGCAATACCGACTCCACCATTCGTAATTCCATCAATTACTCGTCTATCAAAAAATGAGTTAGTTTAGCTAATCTTCTTATACTGTTAGTAAAGGATAATGTGAAATTAGCAAATAAATAATTATTAACGGCCCACAAAATTGAATTATTGTGTGCCTGAGTCAGAAAATCTTCGAAGGCACGTAGAAAGACAGGTCCCCTTCTAGTACTACGAGGAAAAGGACGGCTCACAACAAGTTTGTCTATAAAATCCCAGATGCTCATTGAATGTCTTGTGCCCATCAAAGATTAAATATATTTCCACAGAATACGTACCATTTGTGCTTATTTACTATTTACCATGGTTCTCTCTCACAAATCAAGGCCAATACTTCTGCTTAGCTTTTCTTTTCATTTTGGCCATTTGCTCCTCTCAAGCATCGTCTCGCCAAATTTATGATGAGAAAACCATGTTGGCGAGACATGAAGACTGGATGGCTCAATTTGGGCCAGTTTTTTTTATTTATAAGGATGCAGAAGAGAAAGAGAGGCGATTCGTGATATTCAAGGCCAACTTGGAGTTCATTGAGACTTTTTTTTTCTATGAAATGGGGGGGACAAACCCCAAAGAACAACCAGACTTTGTCAAAGGGAATCTGACGGGCCCGAGGGACCCCTAGCAAGTCATCAATCAGTACATCACTAGCCCCCACAGGGGTATTTTTAAAAAAGCAATTGCCCAAATCAAGATTGTAGCTCCATCTTGCGAGACAGCAAGATAATTCTTCTCCATGTAGACATGTTGAATCTGATGGTTCTCAAATTGCCTTAGAAGAGTACCGCAGCTATGCAGCAAGCCAGCCAGAGGATGGAAACGATAGGCTACAGTTTGTTGGATAAGCTGGACACAAAGTGCTGAGTCCATTTCAATGATGAGCCTATTGACACCTTTATCCAAAGCCAATTTGAGACCAAAAAATAGACCCCATAACTCAGCTTCAAGAACTTGGCCATTTCCCATATTCACAGCAAAACCCTTAATCCAATTTCCAAAGGAGTCGCGGAGGACACCTCCAGCTCCAATATTACCAGATGCAGGTTTACAAGATCCATCCACATTCAACTTGAAAATTCCAGTATTAGGAGATTCCCACGTCAAAAAAATCTGCACTCTCTCCAACTATAGTATCACCACAAGAAGCATTACTCCATTCAGAAAGAGCTGATAAGATAAGTTGCCTTGGGTTGAAGGGCGTCACCTCCTCAACGGTAAAAATAGATTGGTTTCTCCATTTCCATAGGTACTAACAGATGAAAACAAACACAGAGCACCAAGAGGTACTGCCAGACCAACTAGCCTTGGAAAGAATATTATTCTTTAACCAAGGTTGGAAGTCAATACAAATGAATTTGCAGACCTCAGTACAAATAAAGATTCTTTTAACAAACACATGGGCCAGAACCTCACTCTAAGCTTAAATGAATTTGCAGACCTAACCAATGTGGAGTTTCGGGAAATTCGTAATGGTTACACGAAACGATCCCCCAAATTGATCGTGTCCAATTCCATGAAAGCTACAAGTTTTAGATATGGAAATGTCACTGATGCGCCACCTTCTGTGGATTGGAGAGAAAAGGGTGCAGTGACGCCTATCAAGGACCAAGGCAAATGTGGTAAGTATTAAACAAGTTGTTAAATGATGACGCATTCATAGTTTCATAACATAACATGTTATTGAATTGATAACGCATTTTGTTTCAATTTTATAGGATGTTGTTGGGAGTTCTCAGCTGTGGCAGCCACAGAAGGGGTTAACCAGCTCAGAACCGGAAACTTAATCCCACTATCAGACCAAGAGCTTGTGGATTGTGACACTGCTGGTCAAGATCATGGTTGTGAAGGTGATCTAATGGATGACGCTTTCCAATTCATCCAACACAACAAAGGCCTGACAACTGAAGCTAATTACCCCTACTAGGGTGTAGATGGAACTAGTTGCAACACTCAGAAGGCTGCATCCCAAATAGTGTCCATAAACAGGTACGAGGATGTGCCCAAAAACGATGAAAATGCAATGTTACAAGCCGTCGCCAACCAACCAATTTCGGTTGCCATTGACGCAAGTGGCTCTACATTCCAGTTTTATTCAAGTGGTGTGTTCACTGGAACATGCAGTACAAACTTAGACCATGGTGTTACCGCAGTTGATACGGGACTAGTAGTAATGGAACTAAGTATTGGCTGTGAATAATTCTTGGGGCACAGGATGGGGGGAGAGTGGATATGTGAGGATGCAAAGGGGCATTCCTGCCGAGGAAGGACTCTGTGGCATTGCAATGGAAGCTTCTTATCCAACCGCATGATTAATTAAAATACATATATGTCATAATATAGTGTGGTGTATAAAATATGTGCACTTGAATAATATAGAAAGAAGCAAGCTATGAGATGCTATCCTTCCAATTTGAAATCCATGCCTCGAAAGATAGAAACAATTAACCCATGATGGTGACGTGGATTTGCTCTTAAAATCTCACGTAATTAATTAGCAGCTATAGCTATGAGGTTAACATGTTTTCATTACCATTGCAAGGTTAAATCAAGTTGGTTTAAGAGAGCATTTTTGTTCACCACCATTCTCAACACTTGACATGTGTTCATGGACATAACCATGGTTCCTTAAATATATAAGCAAAGAGTTAATTATGGTTATGCTAATGAACACGTGTCAAGTGTTGAGACAGATGATTAGGGTATACCTTAAAGTAATCAAATTCATGTCACTGTACAAGATAAAACTGTGAAACGATGTAATTACACTTGTTCGTGGGTGGCATGGGTTGGAAACACATAATTAACCATATATATAACATCAATTTACAACTTAATTATACTTATTCTTAAAGCCATTTCTGATCGGACATTTGTGGAGAAATTAATTTCTCAGGCAAGTAAATGGCAGCAGAAGAAGACTGGAAAATTTAGGTGCCAGCAGAAGAGAAAAACTCTCTCGCACGTACCTGGTTTATGGAAGCTAGCTGTAACAGGAGAGCTAGACATAACTTAATTTGAAAAAGTCTAGGATATGCAACTAGAGCTTACAAAGGTGGCGTTGTTGATTGGCTACAAATTCAAATACAAACCATTGAGCTAGCTTGCTGTGCGAGTATATAAAGATTATTTAGGACTAGCTAGGCTCATCATAATTAACATATATATATATATATATGTATATAATTACTATATTTTTTTAGAGAGGGGGAAATACGATATTATGATGAAGAGATGAGTCTTTTTGCCAATTAAAATGCACCATTTATATATCCTGCATCCAGATTATCTTTTGCGTGATCCTGCAATGAACATCCAAAAATACACCAATCTAGTTAAAATTCATAACACATTTAAAGATTTTCACATCTTAATTAAAGGGAATTCATTGTTCCTATAACTTGTGCTTCCTATACACACACAAGTTCCATGAAACAATTGACAATGTGACATTAACATTATCATACAACGTTTTCAATTCGTCCAAGCATTCAAGTAAAGAAAAGAGTATACGTATACAGAGATTGTTGATGTTTAAATTTGACTCAACGAATTAAGACTGTAAAAACGACACATTCAAATCATGACACACACTCAAGTCAGGCTACGTCCATAATATAAAATTAAAGAACTGAATTACATGAATCTACAAGTACGGCATATAAAAGCTACAAGCCGTACATGCTACATCTGTCCTATTTTTGGGTCAACTGTTCCTTATTCTCTTTGATAGTACAATCGTGTTTACATCTTAGGATCCTATCGGGGATATTAACTGCTGAAGGGAAATAATCAATTCCAAATAAGCCTTAACCAAGATACAAGCCTCATATATATCTTAACAAATCTTTCTAGTTCTTAAAGGTTATAACATCCATCTCTCTCTCTCTCTCTCTCTCTCTCTCTCTCTCTCTCTCTCTCTCTCTTTCTCTCTCTATATATATATATATATATATTGGATGGAAGAAGTCGCATGGCCAGCTCAAGCAACTCAAGTATTGGTGTACAGCAAGTCAATGTATAAAATAACTAATAACTTTCAAAGAATCAAACGTAAAAACTAGAAATTCCGTGCTTAAAAATTATATACAATTGTCCCACATCAAATAAGCTATCAGCAGCTACTTGAGTGACATATACAGTTACGGTTAGGTTAAAAACAATATTGTTAACAATGCGGGTATTCAATCGAAAATTGATTGGAATCGAGTGAAGAGGTCCAAAATCTATTTAAGCATTAAAGCAAAGTTGTCATTTTTCAATGTGGGATACTCTCAACAAATGTCAATGTAATTTGATCGTGAAAAAAAAACAATTATTCTTTTCTTGTGAATTGAAGTTGTTGAAAAGTGTGATGATATGAAAAGATTTATGGTATTTGTGGCTATGAAGCAAGACATGTATTGATTTGAATAAAAAATATGACTGGTTTTATATTTTCTTTGTACAACAAGATGAGCATCTCCAAGGGTTAGCTAAAGGATCAAAGGAGTCTTGTAGCTTTAATTTGAAGATAATTTATCTCTACATTATCTTAATTACTCTTAAAATAGGTCAACCTCTAAGAACTCCTAAACTTGAGGGGTTTTGAACCGGAAAAGGATGTCTTTCTCTTCAAGAATGATCGATAGCTGTTCATTTGATCATGTGGTACTGGCCGTACAACCAAAGGTTGGAATAAGACCCATGATCATGATTAATTCATTTTGTCTGCCTCCAAATTCTAGTTTCCAGTGTTCATTGTTCAAGATGGACTCACAATCTACAGCTAACTATAAGTACCAAAGCTATGCATGTATGCAGTCAAATATTGTAGAAGAAACTAAAAAAAGTTAAATATGCAAGCTAGCTACTTGATTTTTTAAAATGACATAGAGTCCTAATCGTATGGAGTACAATTAGATGAAAATAAGGCAAACACACTTGAACTGATCACAACGATCTTACGCATTAGTGATCATATATTTAAGCAATGTGAGAAAGGCAATGAATTCTTTAACAACTAAACAAATGGTATGTCAACAAAGTGAAACATATGCATATAAATTCCATATGGTTTTGGATCCACCACAAGAAAAGTATTATAATATAAACTTGCATGCATCCACAAATATATAAACAAAAAAGATATCGATTGGGGAGAATCTTACTGTTTTTTCTAATAATAATGAGAAATATATATCAGTATCAGCGATGTACGTACGCTAATTCTCACGTCCTGAGTATATACAACTCATGCAACGTACGTATAGATATAGAGTCACCATGGGGAGCAGCTAGATCGCACAGAATCATAACAAATGAAAAGTACACAAGCAAGTGAGACATATTTAATTAGGACACAACAGAAACAGAGTTTTGTCTGATTGAGAGAGAGAGAGAGAGAGAGGGAGAGGGAGAGAGAGAGAGAGAAAGAGAGAGAAAGAGAGAATGTAATCATGCCTTCAAAATATATATAGAGAGAGAGGGGCCATAGCATTACCTACCTACAAAACTATTTAGCTTTTTTTATCGCTCACTACTCTATTAGCTAGTCAATTATGCGAGAGCTTGAAGATGATTTTGAAATCGATCGGTTTTGCAAATTAGGGTTTTTTGTGGGTTTAGGGTTTTGTGATGGATTAATTGAGAGATCTCCGCGGCTACAGGTTTTAAATTTTAGTGGATGGTTAAATCATATAATTTTCAAAATAAAGTACTACACCTCTTCTACTTTCCTTTCAGTTTGTTCAGCTCCAGTTTCAAGAATTGTTGAAAACCCATTTTAATTATCTCCTTTTTAAATCTGATTAAAATGAAGCTGATCATGAATTATAGGTTTCTAATCAAAGCAGTAGAGCTATCATATGTATAGTATTTAAATAACTGGGTAGAAAATTAAAAAAAATTACCATCAATATCTTCAGAAGCCAAAGGAACTAATTTAAGAAGTGATCTGCTTCAAACCCTTATTAGCCTCGTCGTTAATTGCCTTAAGCTGACCGTTTCTCTTCTTCTTCTTCTTCTTGTATGGAATCCCTCTTGCCTTAGCCTGACACTCCTTCACTTCACGTAAGTAAACCCGAATAGCTCCATTCCCAAAAGGGTTCGTCTCAGGCGACCCTCCGTGCTCCTCGTACGCCGCACGGAGGCGGCCGATCAGCGCGTCCAGGCTGCCCCATGCCTGCCTAAGCGGGCACGTGCACGGGGCAGGAGGGTCAGGCTGCCCGAAGAAGACACACCCGTGTAAGTGAACCTTAGTCTTCCCGAACTGGTCCAAGTAGCGAAGGAAATCGAGGACATGGTTACAGTTGCATTGAGAGAGAGAGACTGGGGGTGTTTGGTTCTTCAAGTACTGGCCAAAAGTGTTCCAGTCTCGGCGTTTCTGAGACTCATATCGGCTAAGAGGTTGAGGTGCTTGTTGTTGATTGGATCGGGAGGAGGAGGAGGAGCCCTCTATGGAGTTGGAATCTTTTCGTCGACTGTAATCATGATGAGGTGCAGACATGATTTGATGATATTTGTGGTGGTGGTGGCGGAATTCCTGTGTATTTTTGGCAAGAAATGGGGAAATGACAAGGGGGAAAATAAGAAAGAAGCAAAGGCAGAGAGAAAGAGAGATGTGGAAGAATGAATAGGTTATAGTGCAATGAGAAAAAGATGAAAATCACATCTTGATGAGGTCTATTGAGAGGACTTGTCATGGGCCCTATATGAAGGTGCTTTATGTTCCCCTTTTTCTCTCCCCCTTCTCCAAGACTCTCTCTCTCTCTCTCTCTCTCTCTCTCTCTCTCTCTCTCTCTCTCTCTCTCTCTCATTTTGATTTTGACACTATTAGCACTAACTATATTTTATTTATGCTAATGTAATCTATAGTGATATAGGGTACTACTCATCCAAAATAATTACATAGAAAACAAATATTGCTAGTTAGGCTAATATGTTATCCCATCATCCATGCAATGATTGCCATATTTTCATGTAGAATTCACACTGTAATTACATAGGATGGACCCGGTTAAATATATGTGCAAAAGGAAAAAGAGCTTTACTCATTCATTAGTATTATAGATGCATTGTGAAAAAATATATATATATATATTATTTAACGCAACAATAGTGGTAGGTTAATTAGAATTTTAATAGTCTTCACCACAAAACACGAAACATTATGATTCAGCACGAAACATGAAATGACATGATGCGAACACGACATATCATATGACTGGATTTATCATCCTTAGTCAACAGTAAATGCACTTAAGAAGCACAAGTAAGAGCTAGATCTAGTTTATTATTGTGAAAAATTATTACCACCATGATCCATGATCCATGATCTATCTATTCACCCCACTGATAAAGTTAACCTATAATCACCAATAATATACGTACGTAATGCTTATTTTATTCAGGACACTGTTTTTTTCACCTTGAAATTTGTGTAATTTTTCTCTTTGCTTTTGCTTGGCAGTGTCAGCGTTAGCTACCGGTGTCCCTATCTGGCTTCCTTTTTCAAGGTTTACTTGAATGGGCATAAAAAGGCCGTGGGAATATCACAGATATCCTTAAATCCTGCGTAGCAAATTTAAGCACTACTGTATGGTCAGGTGTTTGAGAAATGACAAATTTTCATGATCATCATGCATGTACGCTCGGAAAGTAAATCTGTCGATTTACCAAAAAACAAAACAAAGTAAACCTGTAAAGATCAGGTAACTTTTTTTTATTTATTTACTGGTTCAGTTTGAAATGGTTGAGTCTGAAGTCTGAACCCTCTCTCTTCTTGAGGTACATCCAAGGCTTTCTGCTTTTGTTGCAGTGAATTACACTACATGCATGAATCCAAAATTTCACTCACCAATTAGTCAATAACATATACATATATATATATATAAAACCCGTGTAGTTACAGTTACATAGTACATATACTTTTCTCTTCGGCCAAACCAATTACTAATAAGGCTTAGTTTTTTATATTGCAAATCATGAATATCTAGTGGCCATAATTTTGAAATTAACCTAGAAAAATTAGGGTGGATAACGAGTGAGCTAGCAATGAACCGTTTACATCACGGAATTATAAATTCTCTCTATTTTTTAAAAAAATTATTAGAGTGCAAGGCAGTATATATTAAGCGTGTTGTGAGACGTACTTTTGGATATGGAGAAGATGCTTAAATAAAATGAGTTATCTTAGAGAAATTATATGGGAAGAAACAGAAGAATTGTTTTACAATGATGATATGCATAGATCAAGAGTAAAGAATACGAAACACTGAAAAGAGGGGGTGACGTAAATTTTGGAGACATCTTTGAGAGATGGGTCCAGCCCTCAGTTTATGTTCCTAATGCCTTATAAAATCATAATGCTGTTCGGAGTTTGGGCTCCGGCTTTATTGCTACAACTTATTTGCTATATTAAATTGTGTGTATCTTCTTATTAAGACTGCCCTTGTGTTTTATAATTTTTTTGTTTGGATGGAAGAAGAAAAGTGTGTTTTAACCAAAACAATAAATAATAATAATAATAATAATAATAATTTACGAGTCTCTTCATTTTCCTTTTGGAATAAGCATATATAGGTGGATTTTGATTTTTGTCAATAATGCATAGAATATGGTGGACTGTCACATTCAGCAATATGAACTTAACAAAGAGAAAAGTTTACACCCAAAGTATCGTCTTGCTATTCAAATAAGAAACAAATTATATATTTGGACAAGATGTCTCACCATTGTCATGATGATGAGTGTCAAATTTTTTGAAAGAAAAATATTTGCCTCCTTTTTTGGAAGTAGAAACTCCTACTTTCCCGTCAATCATATTTTGACATGTATGTAGAGATTTTTCTTTTTGTGTTTTTAATGAATTATTTTTGCATGTGTATCAAACTGTGATTTACATGAAGTAAGAATGTCTCATTCTAAAAAAGAGGAAAGTAGTGTCCTTTTTAAAATACTCCCGACACATTATATTGATGGTTGTTAAGAGTGTGCCTCAACGCGGACTATCGTGTTCTCACCTACAAAAAAGTATATAGATTCGCTCTAGTTGTCTTGTTTTACTTGAATTTTAATGCAATATCTTTTTTCCTACTTTTTTACTTGAATGGACATAAGTGGAAACGCACATACACACACAAATAACACGGGGACTTAACCCAAGAGCACTCTTGGAAGCAACCTATAGATTGAATTTGTGACACATACCTATCGATTGAATTTGACCTAACAGAAAAGAATATATAAATATTCGTCCTTGTGTTTATTTTTGCATCAGTAATAAATAGAAACAATTGAAACGCCAAACTGCCTGCGTGGGGGTATATATCATATTTGCTTGATACTTGATGAACTTTTTCTTTTCGGGTCTGACATGAATTATCAAAACCTTTGTGGTGCTTTCAGCTCTTTTTGGGCAAAGATGGTGGAGTACTAAAGGCAAACAAAACTTTCTCGGCAACCAACATTTTACATATCTACATGCAATGCAACACTTACTATTTTTATCTTTAGGGATTTCGTGTTCACAGCTTACACGCTCTTCCAAATATTTTCCTAAACCGTAAATATGCTTGCTTCACTGCGCTTTACACACATAAATATTCTTTTTAAATAACTCATATTGCTTGGTGGGCTCACTCAGACAATCATTCATTCTATATGTATATATATATATATTCTCAAATTTGAAAAAACTTAATTATGTACTATCATACTAGTCGCTAATTGGTGTGGTCAGAGGTTCGAAACTGTAATCAATCAAAAAAATATACGAAAAGCTTGACGATCTCGGATTCAAAAATCCCCTTGTGTAATTTCCAGGTATTGCAAGAACATGTCCCTAGCTAGCATAGCTCGATTCCTTGAACGTCCAAAAGAACTTGCTGATGATCTGCTATGAAAATATCTAATATGATATGATTTTGTTTTTATTGAAGAAGCCCCTTCTATTTCTGAATCAATAAAATTTTGATATCTCTAGAAGACAAAAATGTTCAATCAACTGCGCAGAGTTTGGTGAATGACAAGGCATAAGTTTTGGAATCCATATATATCTTTCAACCTTCTTTTCTGTTGTGAATAATTTGGTTTATCTTTTGTCTTTTCTGGTCAAAGTAATTCATTCTGAGGATGAGGATTTAAAGGTTCATCTTTTGTACATTTTACCAAACATGACAAATTTTGTCTCATATGTTGTGATCAATGACCAAACAGCATCAAAGTGACAAACTTTTCTTGTGCTCCAATCCATATGATTAACATCGTTTGATTAAGTTTTAATTTGGAATTAGTTCAAGGAAAAACACTTGCGATGCGACCACACACTAAATATGATGGGATGACCCTATATATATATATATATTATAATTATATTATAAGTAAGAAAATAATGAGAAGATCTTGTGTGGGACAGCCGGTATATAAATTATTCCGTCACCCAACGTGGACAATGGGTCCAAGTGTTTGCTTATTAAAGAAGTATCAACACTTTCCACTACTGTAAATTGTAAATTGCCATAGCCACCACGCAAGAATCTAAGTTTACAGTACTCTCTTTCTCTCTCGTCAACTCAGTCACGTAGAGAAGAAAGTATGTGTAATTATAGTGTGGTATTGAAGTACGGTTACGTGGTATATGTTTAACGTTGAGTTGAATCAAAGCTTCGTTCGTTAGTTTTTGTTTCTAAATTTGCGGAAGAATAAAACTTGTGTGATGTATAGTGAGGGCAGGAGCAGGGCCACTTTAAGGGCATTGTGCAGTGTTTAGTCATTCAAATAGAAAAAGGAAACTTATGCGTATTGCACTGAATCTCAGTTTGCTTGCTTTATAAGACCAAAAATCAACTTAGCTGTGTAGCGTAGATGCTGGCTGCTTTGCTCACTCACTCACTCACTCACTCACTCACCCTGCTCAAAAATAGTGATTTTGTTTCGTTTGCTGCCATTTGCCACGAATTATTACATCGCTTTTAATCTCCCATCAGCATGGACACGTGACTGGCCCCATTTCCTTGTCCAATTGTCTCTGAACACATCTTCTAGTCAAGTCAAAACCCTAGATATTTAAGTTCGGCCTCCCAATTGCCTGATTGCTTCCCACTCGACCCAAACGATTTTGGGCTATTTTAGGGCTACCCAAATGATTTTGGGCTATTTTGAGCCGACCCAAGATTGAGTTCAGGCTGGGTAGTATCAGTAGGAGTGGCCCAATAAGAACTTTAGGCTTTCGGCTTGCCACTGGTGGTCCGGGTGCAATTTGGAAGAAAAACTTGATCAGTATGGTATGGCCATGCATGTGAGCAGAGCATCTTTTCACTGCTAATACACGTGTGTATGTATATATAAATATATACTATCAGTCTGCAATCTGCAGTGTATGCATGTTGAATGCTGACAAGAGCTTAGTTATTGAAATGAAATTAGATTGGCACCAGCCTGTCCCTCCCAGGACAACCACCTTGCTATGCTGGTACCAAAATTGATAGAAATTAATTAAATTAAAAACACTCAAGCCACAAAGGACAGAGAGAGAGAGAGAGAGAGTTCAATTAGGTGATGAAGATCAAATCAGAAATTGAAAGCTATTTAATGCAGAGTGCCTTTATTTTGGTTTATTTTATGGTGTGGGGGCAAGTCCTTCTTAACTATATGGTCCCATACGAACTAGGACCATCGAGTTTCAAATTTCATCTCTACTTGCCTTGGGTCTGCACATTCCTTCCGTTCCTTCCTTGTGTATTCTTTTATTCTTTTTTATGATATTTGTTGTGAAATATGATCATGTATTTGGATTATCAACATTATCTTATCCTTGTAAGTCGTAATAAGAAATTAATTATGTATGGAAAAAGAAGAAGAAATTATTTAGCTTTTACCAACGGCTCTAATCATGCACTATAAGATATGCCTGCTTTTCTTTCTTTCGTTTTTAGTTATGCAAAGATATACATATGCCTAAGTACTTCATGATAGCAGCATGTTTGGACCCAATGATATACTTGGTCTGCCATGCTGCCCGTGCTAGCTAGCTTTGTACCTGAACAGTGGCCAATGTCGATGTTGGTAGTGCCCGGGGCGGTAACGTGGAAGCCCCGCCACGAAGCCGCTGCTGTCGTTAGTGGCTGTGCCGTGGTTTACGAGGACTCGGTTTCATAACTTCCACACTAGAATAATGTTTAAAATGTAATAATAATAAATAATGATTTTTCAATAATAAAAATCTCAGATTTGCATTATTATTTTTGGGGTGAAGTGAAAGCTAACTAAGATTCTGGATTGCTGATTGAAGGTCAATTGTACACCAAATTTCAGATGAGATGAGTCAACCCAACTGACTAACAGAAGATGGGGACTTCAACGTTTGTTATGCGTACGTTCATATATTTTTATTTGGACAAGAATCTTGGTGAGGCAATATCCAAATCTTTAATAAGCAATTATTAAGCGCACCATTGATTTTCTAGGATAACAAGGACAAAGGGTTAGGTCGATCTCAAGCAATAAACAAAAGGGAAATTTTTTTTTGTAAAGACTTATTTTTTATAGAAGCAGTATTAAGAAAATAAGGGTTTGAATACGCGATCTCGTATATATGAGAAACTACTCATAATTATTTGAACTATAAGTCGTATTCATAATTATTTTGTGGAATAGTAGAGCTTTTCAGATAGCTTATCATAAAATCATAATTTGCCGCCCATTTAATGAACATTTAGAGATATCACTGTCCTTGATATATCTATGGCAACCTCCGATCACACAATTTTGTTGTCGAAATTGAAGAAGATACAAAACCCGAAGAACCTCGAAATTCCAATTTTGCCCGGCAATTTTAAAACCCACAAAAAACTCTCTAAAGTCATGACCACCACGTTCCCCTACTCTACCGTCCCTTCTCCTGGGACACGCAAGTCATTGTAGTAAAACCCAAGGGCAGTCCAGGTAATTTGACCATCTTCGAACACAATGATTTCTCTATTGTAGGCTTGTAGCAAAGAATGGCTTGCAGAGTTGGCAATGTCCACTTTCTCTTTCCATCCAAACGACACAAAAACACTCACACACACACACAGAGCACAGTCCCTCTCGGCAGTTAAGCTGCTCCAATCTCCCCACCTACTCTCTCTCTTTTCAATTCTCTTCATTTATGCATTTTCATTCCTTCATTCTCTTCATTGTATTGTATGTTGTTTAAGGTTAAAGCTTGAAGCTTTGTTTGTCTGATATGAAAACAATTTCTCAGAAGCTGAGAGAAAGCTAGAGAAAATCAGCTCAGAGTGTACTGAAAGATGCCTCTGGTGAGGTTTCAGGTGAGGAACGAGTACAGCCTGGGCCAGCCCCAGCTGTACAAAGAGGTGAACAGAGAAGATCCCAAAGCTGTGCTCGATGGGGTGGCCGTTGCTGGCCTCGTTGGGATCTTGCGCCAATTGGGCGATCTTGCTGAGTATGTTGCCCTTTCTTTTTTTGCTCCTTTTCACTCACGCAGTTCATTTCTTACTACCCTTTTGCGTTCTATTCTATTTTTGTGTCTGTTGCTCAATCTGGGTTCAGCTCATTCACTCTTCATTTTATTGTTTACTACTTTTGGGGTTGCAGTTCTGTTGTAGAAGTGAATAAAATTTGGTCATTTCTGTGAGTGGGCAATTGGGTTTTCCGTAATGATCATTGTTTCTTAAATAGATGACAAATTAATGGTAATTTCATTTTTTCTTTTTCTGCTAAACGTTGTGAGCTTATAAGTTGAAGATAGGTGTTCTTTTGGTTGCTATTTATTTCATGATGCCTCACAGCGGTATAGGGAGATTTGGTGTATGCAATATCGCTTTCCCAAGGCTTTTGACATTAATTATTGAGAAAGCTCTGGATCCTCAAGTCTTTCTAGGTTTCTGTGATTGTGGTGTTTATATCATAGCAAAATAAGGTAGCCTTGTGCTGCAGCTACTCTGTTGTTGATATAATGTAAGCATTTACAATGGTCAATCAGCCTCAATTACCTGTCGCAAACGACCTTTACTATTGTGGCCATTTGGGCACACTTGGATGCTGCAAAATTGTTCTATATCATTAGATTAGTGGATTGATATTTCAGTTTCTTTTCAAATGAAAATGGCACTAAGAAACTGCAACAAAATCTCACTATACAAAGAGATGTCTTATGTTTAAGTAGCATTGGCAACATGACTGAAAAAGTTTTAACCTTAGTGTACCCCACTAAGATAAAAGTAGTTGAAAGTTTGTGGTTGGCTGGAGATTCCTGTCTCCTGTTCCTAGTGGAATCTCCTCAAGTTGGGTGGAATGCCAAAATGTGAATTTTGGATATCTGATATGGGCGATCAAGTCTGAAATGTAGAGTGCAACAAGCATAGTGATTATTGGTTTATCACAATTCTTAAATGCATAAACGGTTCGAATGTAGGTTAACAATTTTTCATATATTCTAAGTTATATACTAACTCAGAAAGTATCTGTAACGTGTAGGTTTGCAGCGGAAGTTTTTCATGGCTTGCAAGAGCAAGTGATGACTACAGCTTCTAGAAGCCAAAAACTGATGGTTCGTGTGCAACACATTGAAGCTGCACTTCCTCCCCTTGAGAAGGCTGTACTTGCTCAAACAAGCCACATACATTTTGCTTACACCTCTGGTATGGATTTTGTTCCTCACCTTGATGTCTGTACATCGTATGCCAGTTATTGACAACTCGTATCAATAGACTTCGTTCTCTCTAGTGCAAACTGCTCTTCATTTTGTTTAATAAATGCTTCAGGTTCTCAAAAAGTTTATACTTATAATGGGAATATAATGTATAATGTATGATGTAAAAATTGAATTATCTTTGGTCAGTTTTAGTTCAGTGAGCTATTTAAGAAACAGATATTGAAGCCTAAAATAATCCTTGAAGGAAAGTCTAGGAAGATAGCATTTAGTGCAAGTATTCTTTTTATTGTCTTCAATGCCTTGTAAATGAGAGGACTCGGGTTATCTTTTCCGTATAAAGTTGATTTAATTAATCTTATATTAAAGTATTTAAAAATATCTTATATTAAAAATATCTGGGAAACCTTGGAGAACATTACTTACTGACCATAGAGGCAATCTAAATATATTCATAAAACCATGGAACAGCATTCTATAGACTGTTAATTGTGAAGGGCTTACTCCAGTACAAACCTTTCATGATTGACCCTGTTTTATATTTTCTTTATTGCGGAGATAAATTTTTTATATGCTCCTATATCCCATTGGTGCCACATCTTTATCCTGATAATCAAATCATTAATAGAAAGCAGTTTCTTTGCAGGTTTAGAGTGGCATCCTCGTATTCGAAATGAGAAAAATCATTTCATCCACAATGACTTGCCGCGTTTTATTATGGATTCATATGAAGAATGTCAGGATCCCCCACGTTTGCACTTGCTTGACAAGTATAATCTAAATCTTTCCTTTACCTTAATTGGCTTTCATGTTTATATTTTTTCTTACCTTAATTGACTAACAAGTTGTGAAGTTTTACTTTCTAGCATAATTGTTAAATGATGGAATCTTTTCCTTTAACGTTCAGGTTTGATACTGGCGGCCCAGGATCTTGTTTAAAGAGATACTCAGATCCAACCTTTTTCAAAAAAGCATCAGCTAACCCTGATGAAGCAAATGTTGAACAAGTCCGAAGATCTAGGAAGGGTCAAAGAAGCAAGGTATGCACCTACATTTTGAAGAAACACAGTGATGAGTAAATGTTAACCATTATCAGTAGAGGCTATATAATAGTGTGCTCAAAGAATGCCAATTAAGCATAAGTTGCAACCTATTGCCAACCCATCCTAACCCAACTTTTATTAGGTTGGGTTTTGGGTTGTGAAAAATCACAACCTAGTAACTTCGGGTCGGTACTTAATCCACTGCAACCCTTGCCTGCCTCTGGACATTAGTGCTTCATTCCAAGCAGCGAATCTGTGTATCTTACTTGAACCAATTTTCTTTGTGCTTTCATGTGCAATATTGTGGATGAATTTGGCTCCAAAGTTTTCTTAAGGAAGATAGATGCAGGCATATAAGATTCATTGATAAGATCATGAAGTACAATGAACTCTCACATCAATTTCTTCTTGACAGGAGCTTGTTTTTCTGCTATCTGTTTTTATGCAATATTTTATTGTATTATCAATCTTTTAAGTACCTCAACGGTTCTGTCACTTGGAGTTGTCTGATTAAAAATGTTGAAATGGACAGAAGAAAAGAGGATCACAACGAAATGGAGATGTTTTACGTGGTGCATCAGTATCAAATCGCAGCAGCAGGTATCCTATATGTTAATACACACACATACATATACATAGAGGCATTCTCTGGTATGGTCAACCGCATCAGAGAAAGATCTTACATGCACACATGCACTATGCATAATATATACGTGACTTATGGCTCCCAGTTTTGACTAAAGGGAACTAAAACTTAAGATGTCTGACTATGCAGAATGCAATATATTCCTCCTATCGCAAATGGGCGAAGCTCGTCTTCTCCAACTGCTTCCACAGCCGACATGGCATTAAAATCTGACCTGGGGGACAATTCCATTTCTTTTGATTCAAAAACTGAGTCAGAATATATTGAGTATGCTGCCCATCCAAGTTCCTCCCTACAAGCTGAAGAACAAGAATCCAAGGAATCGCCTTCTTCTAAATTGGTGCAAAATGACGCTCTTAATTCTGTTTTGCCTGATGATCAAACTGGATTTGTAGATAACTCTCCTGGAAGTTCATTACAGGACCAAGTTACCTCTGGTTCATCTGGTGTTAACTGGGATGAGAAGGTAGAAATAGTGGATCCTAAAGGTCAACAGAATTGTATAGATGAAACTACAGAGATGCTCCTGACAAAGGATGACATGGATGCAAATGAAGGGGGAGCTGGTAGCTTTAGAATTGTTGAGCAAATGGATGTCCTCTTTGATGATGAAAACATTCTGGAACCAAGCAGGAACCAGATTGATGAAATTGAAAGTGAACCAGACAATTTCATGGATGCACTTAACACCATTGAATCAGAATCTGAAAACGATCTTGATTGTCAAACCAAACGAGAAGTGGAGCATTTTGCTTCTGTTGTCGACAATAAAGGACCAGATGGAGTGCATGAGATTACCATGGATTGTTCGGATCATCAAACTCCAACTTTAGAATCTCATACTGCAACATCTTACGTTTCCTCGGAAGAAGAAACGCCGACAGATCTATCGAACTCAACCTCACCAGAGTGTCCTGCCCATAAACAGATTCCTCAAATAGCTACAGAACTGTCTAATTCAGATCACATTGTAGAAACAAATAGGACTGACATTTTTGATTGTTTAAGGTTAGAATCTGTTAGTAGTGATTCCACATCCTCTGGCTCCGGAACTACTAATGCGCAGGATAAGACCATAAGCAGTTTGTGTGAGGCTCAACAATCTCCTGCTGACGTTTCCAGGAATAATTCAACATCCTTTGGCTCTGGAACTACTAATGAGCAGGATAATCTCATAAGCAGTTTATGTGAGGCTCAAGAATCTCCTGCTGACATTTCCAGGAATAATACAACATCCTTTGGCTCTGGAACTACTAATGAGCAGGATAAGATCATAAGCAGTTTATGTGAGGCTCAAGAATCTCCTGCTGACATTTCCAGGAATAATACAACATCCTTTGGCTCTGGAACTACTAATGAGCAGGATAAGATCATAAGCAGTTTATGTGAGGCTCAAGAATCTCCTGCTGACATTTCCAGGAATAATATAACATCCTGTGGCTCTGGAATTTCTAATGCGAAGGATAAGATCATAAGCAGTTTATGCAAGTCTCAAGAATCTCTTGGTGACATTTCCAGGAATAATTCAACATCCTGTGGTTCTGGAACTGCTAATGCGAAGGATAAGATCATAAGCGGTTTATGCGAGTTTCAAGAATCTCTTGCTGACATTTCCAGGACTAATTCAATAAATTTCTGGACTAATGGAGGCCTGTTAGGACTTCAGCCATCAAAGCCTCCTGATTTTACCATGTCAAGTCCTGTAACTCAAGATTCTGCTTACAAAAGCACTGAGACAGTTGGTGTCCCAAATCATGCTTACACGCTTATAGTTGATGATCATGAAGCTGAGAATGCTGGCTGCAAGGAAATAAGCTCTGATTATCAAGAAGATGGTATCTCTCCCAAGGAAATATCCAAGGGATTTTCACCCGCTGAATTGTATCCAAAGCTTGGAAATATTGGTGACTCTCTTAAGAGTAATGCATTTAGCCATTGCATGGAGGATGGTTCGAAAAAAACCAATACGACGGAACCTGGAACTCTGTTGCCAGTTGCTCCATGTGGTAAATCCACTTCCAATGAAGCGAGTCAGGAGAATGATGAAAACTCTTCTCTGGTTTTTGGGCTTGGCCGTAGGTTACTTGTGAATGGTTTTGGTAGAAAAGTTCCACATTCACATGATGACAAATCTGAGCCTGCTAGTTATTCAAATGCTGGTGTATTGGACCAGAGAAATGAGCACCACAGAGTAGAGCACCAAGCATTTCCCGACACATACTTCAAGGAGAAATTTGAGCATGGATTTGCTGTTGAATCACCTCCTTCTTCACCACCACTTGAACATATGAAAATATCTTTCCATCCCATGAATGGCATTGAAACTTCCATACTCAAATTGAAATTATCTGATGGGAGTCAAAGCCATGGAAGTGTAAAAGACATGTTTCAGTCATTTCAGTTGGTCCCAGAGCCTTCTATTCCTCTGCATGAATTTGGTTCTGATTCTGATGATGACACATTCTGTAGATCATCTCCAAATATATCAGATGATTGTCTTAGCCATCTCTCTGAGTCGAATTCTGAACAATGGGAATCTAGTGAAACTCTAGAATGCAAGAACCATGACCTATACGATGCTTTGTGTGGAATCTCATCAGCCGAACGTATATCCACCTCTCTGGAAATAGGGGGAATATCCCACAATGCCATTTATGGAGATGGTGGAATTCAAAGTGTGCACACTGATAATGGTCTGGAACATTCTCTCTCTGATCCTTTACTTGATCTTCCAAGTTTAGATGCTTTGGAACCCGTACTTCAGCAAGAAGCAAAAGATGATTCAGTTCCTAAGGATCTTCATGGTTTGAAATGTTCGGGGGATTCTACACCAGGACCACCACCTCTCCCTCCAGTGGAATGGCGTGTTTCAAAACCTACCTTAAATGTAACAGACGAAAAACAAGATGTATCTGAAGGTTTTAAACACGTATTCGACACAGAGATTTTGGGGTCCATCACCCTCCAGCAACCTAAGCCAGCCCCAGCACAGCAACAACAAATAAACGAGGAGTCCATTTCTATTAAATGCAAGGTATCATGTCATGCAATTTAATCCTGTTTTTAAGGCATGAAAGGTATTCAAATAAAAATAGTGGGAAGTCAAAACTGCGGAAGGACGTTTTATCAAATTTTTCTTGCTGAAGCAGGACCAGCACGTGAATGGGCAGAAAGAAGCTGATCAGGCTCTAAATGGCAAAGGGATAGACGAAAAGGAAGATTTTCTACAACAAATCAGAGCAAAGGTGAGTGACCAATTTTTCCTTGTCATATGGCTTGCTTCCCAAAACCCTAAAAGTCATTTTGTCTATGTATAGAAGTGTTTCATATTCATATGTAAAATGTGCCAAATGGAGATTTTTCTAATCTCTTCTGCTTTTTGTAAATTGAAAATAAAATCAGTTTTTTCGAAATAGACATCTACTATACCCTATCCACATAATCTCTATTTACTTAGAGCATGTCTATGATTGGTCATGTTTATAAGTATCTTGATAGATTGATTTTTTCTTGTAACAAAGCTTGTCTTTCAATCAGTGCTTTCACTTTTCTAATCACTAAATGTTTAGTCTGTGATTAGGGTACAGTAAGTAACAAAGTAAACTATCGCTAACTCTCTGCTTATTTGTTGTTATGTCCTTCCAGTCATTCAACCTGAGACGCACAGTACCAGCAAAGCCAATCATCACACCGGTACCTGCTACCAACGTCAAAGTAACTGCAATTTTGGAGAAAGCCAATGCCATTCGCCAGGTTCCCCATTGTACTCTATCCCTTTTTCTTTTGTTTTCCTTTTGTTCATTTGCGTATAAGTATCACGACGCAATCAAATTGACAATTTAGTAAAACTTGTCAGGCTGTTGGGAGTGAAGGGGAAGACGACGATACATGGAGTGATGCTTGATTTGGCCATGGTTATGCCAGCCCATGAGAAACAATCCCCTTGCTGGTTGGAGTTCACAAAGTTGGCCAAGGCTGTGTTATATATGTATATGTGATTAATTTCAGTTTCTTTCTGTAATTAAGTGTAGGGGCTAATCTTGTATCGATCCGTTGCAGTAATTTTGATTGATTCCTTTTAGGTAGAAAAATGAGATAAGTTGTCAGGTTGAGCATGATCTTCTACATATTTGAGGCAATCATTTATACAAAAAATGCCATAATATGTCTCAATTTATATTTGTTGTTCCTTGAACACTCGTTTATAGATCTATTCTTTTTGCACCGCAAGTTTCCTGTACTGATTCATTTTGTATCCGTATGCCGATGCTTTTCATAATTGAGATTAATGAAGCTTAAGCAGACCATTTATTTGAATCTGTCAATCGATTATTTTTATTTCCATATATCCGTTAGTTCCCTGCAATACGTTAGTCCATCAAATTTGATCGAGTCATTTGCTTCACAGCCAAGAATCATGGAGAAAATAGCCGTCCTATGAATTAAGAATGTCTAAGATTAAGTTGACCAAAGCAGATGTGGGGGTTTGTTGGTTAAAGTAGTGAGTCCGCCTCTTGCACTTAAAATCGAATTCCCGTGAAAAAAAATTGACAAATCTCGAAGCCTTGAGTTTTAAGATGGAAACTATTAGCTATGCAGCTTAGTTAAGTAAGCCTGTAAACGGATTGAATATGGATCGAATTAGCTTGGATTAGCTTGTAGGCTACAAGACTAATTAAGTTGAAATAAAAGCAGAAACGTGAAAAGTACGAGTATTTTAATACATATACAAAAATGAGTACATGCAGATGAAGTGAGAAAAACTCTCTGTAAAATTCCTGTCGTATTCAAATTGAACAACATTATTGCGTTTCCAATTCATCACACTTCAGCAGAAGACTTTATCAATATCTCCTTTCTTCTTCTTCTTGTTTTTTTTCCTTTCTTCTTTTCGTTCTAGAAAAACCTATCAATATAATATATCCACAACTTCAGATATTAATTCATTAATCCAGTGTTGGGCTGGCATTGCAGCCTCCAACCGGCACACTGATTGAAATTAGTAAATTTAGTCTATGTTATATAAATGAATAAGGAAAGAAGACTTTCTTTTCCATTTTATTAAAGCAACTTGATTACGAATTATTTAAATAAAAAAAACATAACGACCAACAATAAGCTATACTTAGTACTTAATCTTTCCAACTCCGCCACATATTATCTTAAATTTAAAAAAATACAATAACACGAGAAATATGACAAACTAGTCTTTGATCTACTAATATAGTTGTCTCCACTTGATTAAAAGAGAATTTGATAACGATATATATTTATTACGAGTTTGATAATAACATGGAATATGTGAGTGAGATGTGGGATGAAAAATTCTTAATCAGAGAGGAGATGCTATTAGTTTCCAAAGTAAGCTGAATTTTGCCTGTCAAATGCAAATTGCCTTGGACTAATTGATGGAATAATAAGAAGTGCAACTTCTAAAGAAAAAAAAATAATTCCAATAATATTCTGCTGATGATCTCTTCTCTTTATATGCAGTAAGAAGGCAGTTTTACCCCTAAAAAGAGGTGCCCCAAATATAAAAAAGATGCACTAAAAATCACTTTGTTCTTTACATATATCCTTTAAGCTTTTGCTTAAAAGAGACTTTGAAAGCATCGGCATCAGAAAGAAATCTTGCATGCATTTCAAAGTAAAAGTGTTGGAAGAATTGTGCTAATTTGTCGACATTGTATAATTTAGAAAGAAAGAAAGCAAAAAAGTGTTGGAAATGAGGCTTCTTCTTTTGCATTAACTAAATAAAGATTCCTTTATTAAAGAAATCCCATTTCAGATTACTTTTTCATCATAATTGCAAACTGAAAGCAGCCCGGACCACATTGTCCACAACCCTACAATGTCAAAGTTTGATGAAAAGGAAGCAACAAAGTTAATCATCAAATCCATTGAAACCTGAAAAGATGGCTTTGAAACAAAGTGTTTAGCAATAACATTAATACAAGTATCTTACTTTAATTAATTTTATGTAAGGGATAAATTATTAAATAATACGGTAGAATGATCACAAAGTATATTTTATACACGTGTTATAATGTGGGTGAACGACAAGGTTTATTTTACCCCTTGCAAGAGGAATATATGATAATTAAACTCACTGCTGGCAGATCTGACTGGACAAAACTCATTCAAGTAAAGGCATGTGTATTGTTTCTATTTTTCCTTTTTCTTTTTCTTGCAAAGACATGTGTATATATTTATATATCAAAATAATTCATTTTAGATCTTAAAAGTGATTGCTGATGATATTTGGATATAAAATACTGTAAATGGTACCTTTTGATATCATTTTAGCACCATATCATTAGTGCCACTGAGAGCAATAGGCACAATTTGCAAAAGTTGGGTTTGGGGTGCATGCATGAATTGTAGCCCTTCAACTTTAATTGCCCTCCATGCTAATACTTAGCTAGCTTTAAGACCACTTAACCTAACCATAATCTCTTTTGTTAGAAAGTATAAAGTTCCATATAGAGCTTCACCAATACTGCTTGCAAATTAGATATGGTCTTGATTATCCATTTACTTTATGGAAAATATTTCCCTCCTTATCATGTAAGTAGAAGCTCTTACATTCCTGTCAATAGCAATATGACATATGTGCATTTGTTTTTCTTTTTGTATTTTTAATGAATTGTTTTTTTTATTACATAAAAATCAAACTAGAAGATAGAGTATCCTCTTACAGAAAAGGAGGCAAGTAATATCCTTATTTTACAAATCAACCAAAAGCAAATGCCCAAATGCATGGAGATTTCTCGAAGCAAAATGAGAAGGCTTTTAGCTTTATCACTTTAAATAAAGGGGGGGGAGGGAAAAAAAAAAAAAAAAAAAAAAACAAAAAAAAAAAAAAAACTTTTTTTATCGCACACTACTACAACTACTTTTCAAATAGCAACATGCTTTCATCTCCCTTTATGCTCCCATTACCACTGACACTTTGTACGCGACCTCCCTGGACTGGGACCCACTAATTCCACGATGATGACGTGGAGTAATGATGTGTACAAAAAGCTCGTCCTCAACTTTGCCAAAGCCTACCTGGCTTCTTGGCGGCTGTCACATGGTTTTCTTACAATCCTGCTTTTAATTTAAGTACTTTTGATCCCTCATTTTCCTTTATAAATACACAAGCACCAGCACAACCCCCTCCTTAAACCATACAATACGAAGTGTATGTCTCTCAAACTCTAGACCATATCTCAATCTCTCTCTCTGTTTGTGTGTCTTCCTATCTCTCATGGCTGAGGTCCAAAACGGCCAAGATGTCCCGGGAATTAAGCTATTCGGGACAACGATTACATTGCAAAATAGATCACAAGTAAAAGAAGAACCCAAGAAAGCTGATCAAACGGCGGAGAAGAGGCCAGATAGGATCATACCATGCCCAAGATGCAAAAGCATGGAGACTAAATTTTGTTACTTCAATAACTACAACGTTAACCAGCCAAGACACTTCTGCAAGGGCTGCCAGAGGTACTGGACAGCTGGCGGGGCTCTACGGAACGTGCCCGTGGGGGCCGGTCGACGGAAAACCAAGCCGCCGTGTCGAGGGCTGGCCGGATTCCCAGAGGCTTGTATATACGAGGGTTCAGAGGTGGTGCACCAGTTTGAGTTGGATGGGGTTATTGAAGAGTGGCACATGGCCGCGGCACAAGGCGGTTTACGCCAAGTTTTTCCAGTGGTGAAGCGGCGGAGGAGCGGCTCAGGTGGTCAAACATGCAGCTGATGTTCTCAGAAATTCTTTCACCATATCCATATATTATTAATTTCAAGAAATTGAGAAACGAATATAATGTGTATTGTGTTGTTAGCTTAATGGTAATGATGTATATACAAATTGGCAGAAATCAATTAATCCTTATATTTATATAATATGAAATGATATTTCTATCATAAAGTATCGCTCAGGAAAGCAAAAGAAAACACACAAAAACTAAGGTGGAATCAAACTCAATTATGCCAATGTAGGGAAAGTTCTTCTCTTTGTAGAGCACCATAATTAATATTATTCCATGAGGGCCTAGGAAAGTTGACCATTTACAAAGTGGACGGATAAGATTGGCTGCGTGACGACAAAACTTAAAACAGGGACGATGTATGACTTACAAGCTACCCAGGTGCGGGTTTGGCCAGTAGATCAAGATAGTGTGTCCGTTCTCTTTTTTCATAAGTTAGAATAATCTTAAATATCGCATTTGTAAACATAAAATAAAAAGTATTTGAGCATGAAGGAAAAATAAGTAGGAGGAGATCGATTTAGGTTTATTGGCAGAAGCTCTTACTGTAATTTGGTTCTATGCAGCATACAAATACTATTGTTATTCTGAAAACCGAAAAAACGAACAGGGCCAAATCGAAAACGTTAGGGGGACATTGAATCAAATGATTGCTAGTTTTCTATTAAACCATGCACATCCTCGAGCCATTTTGTTTAAGATTTAAAGGAGGGTTCTTATTCGAGGTAGGTGGTGGCAAGTGCACAAAAAAAGACAAGACAAGTTTCTCATAAAGCAAATTCTTATTTTTGAGTGGATGCGAGAGCATGTCACCAAGCCAGCATAATGGAGTAACAAAGCAGAAAGTAGAATGGATCCAAATTTGTACATATGAACTCTGATTCTGAGCTTGCATATCCGGGAGTGGCAGCAGATTATCTTTTCCATTTGCTACAATTAAATTTAGCATTCGGTATAAAGTTGGGTACAAACTACAAATAATGCCTCTCTTCAAAAAATTTCTCACGTGTTATGAGTCTCTCCGACTCCCGTACGAAAAAAAAATACCGCTTAAAAATCAGAATTTACACCATGCAATGTAAAAATTTGCTCCACAAATAAGTTCATCGCTTATCTATTGTTTATACTTTTGCTGTTGCCACTCTGCAATCTGCACCAACTGCTTCACTAACGGACTTGAAACCATCCCTTTCCAAGCACTCAGACAATTCAGCCTGAGAGAGAGAGAGAGAGAGAGAGAGAGAGAGGGATGAGCAGAGATTGTAAGACTATTATAAGGGCATCCATGACATTAGGCGAAAAAAATGGTTTTCTTCAGAATGAGCGCATCAGATAATACCTTTATCTGGGGGATGAGAGCAGGTCCCCCATAGGCAAATGCTGTATAAAGCTGAACAAGACTTGCTCCAGCTCGTATCTTTTTGTAAGCATCCTCACCACTAAATCAATGGCATAAACAAGGTCCATTAAGGGGGACAAAAGTAGATAATAATTCAAATATGAAAAATATTAACAAAGGGCTGTTCTGATCTTACCTGCTAATGCCCCCACACCCTATTAAAGGAACCTTTCCCTGATTGATATTAAATTAACAGGGTCACGCTCTGATACATGCACATAAAAATGAAACCAAGAGGAAAAAACATAACAAATGGTTCAAATAACATCCAAAAGAGGCCCTAAATGTCTAGCAATAACAACCAAGAGGTTCAAGCCAATAAATTTCCTTACATAGAAAATAAATAAAAGGACCTCAGCTAGGCAATAGTTAAACTACAGTGTGCTCGGCCAGCTGTGTCTAGACATCATATTCATCAAACCCAAAAACAATTATAAGCTACTTTACATGAAATTCGAAGCTTGTATACTGATATATTTTATACTTTCAAAAATTCTGTACTTCCTAATGCAAGGGCAAATAAGAAATATTAATAGTCCAACTTCTCTTGTACATAAGCCACAATGGGATGATGAGTCAGTACAACAATAGAATGACATAACAAGCCAGCATACTCATGCATCTTCAAAAATTTCAATAATAGAACATAAAAAAGAAGTGTCATGTTGTAAAGACATGTACTATGCAATCTACCCCAGTGCAAGTATCGTGAATAACAGGTTACATGAGTTACAAAGGGGCAATGTACCCTCGTCAAAATGTACATGTCCTTTAAGAGACTGGTAGAGGTATTAAAGAGTGGCTTTCCACTCAAGCCACCAGCTTCAGAAGCCACTGGGTTTGTACGAACAGGATCTGGTCTTGAAACAGTGGTATTTGATATAACCTAGAATAAACAAGATAAAAACAGCTCATAAGAGTAGAACAAATGGCACTAAATTTTTAGGTAAATAACATACTGAACATTAAAGTCATCAACCTATACTCTAACATTAACATGTAGAACACCGTATAATTATCATTGCACTAAATAGCTCATAAGAGTAGCAACTTTTGATATGGATATGGTAAACAATGAAAAAGGTGAAGTGTGTGATAGGAAGTAAACATACCAATCCATCCAAGCGAAGGGCAAGGGCAACCTATATTGATAAACAAACAACCATGAGAAAACCATTTTAAGGGGGAAGAAAGTAATCAATTATGAGCATAAATGCATACTGCAGCAATATCTTCAAGATCTTCTTTAGACAAATCTGGAGCAATTTTCACGAGCAAAGGAGGAGGGCCTTCTTCGCCCCATTGCATTTCATCACGAGCAGCTTGAACCTTGAGATGGGAAGAAAGAGCTATAAGAGCTAAATTTTGCAGACATTTGATCAATTATATAGAGGGAAAGAAAGTTCATGCCTTGAGCTCCATACCCTTTTCACAAGGTCCTTTAACTGCTTTCTTCCCTGAAGCATACGTAACCCAGGGGTGTTGGGCGATGAAACATTAATCACCTGCAAAGAGATCAGCACGAATATTGTCGAATGAATTAACCTGGATTTGAACTTGAAATGTACATGCAGAAACTGAAACCTAATTGCAGTTTGTGACTTATTACCGAAAACTCAACTTCTGAGGAATTAAATCAAGAAATGATGCAAGATTCTATTTTAACCCACTGACAATTCAGCTTTCACTACTGAAGTTGAGGAAGTTTTACTTTAATCTGAATCATTTCCAGATATAAACTTGATTGTTCATATATCCTAGTCAAGTAATAAAAAGTTGGGCTTAAAACTATTGCTTCCCACCTGAGCTTTAAAGAAATTATTTTCCAAAAATATCTATTCTCTATTAAATTAATTGTGATCCTCAAAAGACATATTTGGCATCATTTATCAACAAACAAGGAAATATGTAACCAATTATGTAGTATAATTTGTGACACCAGGTAAATTAACCCAAAGATGGTATGAAATTATAGAACTAAAAAGCAAATGAATGAACCAACCAAAAGACCATAACAAGAGGCCTATTCAAATGCACCTCTTATTGCTTTTCCGTGTAGAGAACCAACACAAAAGAACCTATCTTATTAGATGTTAGCCATGAAAACATCATACTAACACAGGCATCGTGATCAAGTTAAAAGAAAGAACAAGTTGGACAGTGAAGAGAGTGTTTTTTCCTAATTATGCATCAGTCAGCAGAACTACCCTACATGCAGCCTCCTTTGGACAAACGGAGATCCTATTCCTAGGGCACCAACATTAGCAATAAAGTTGCACTTTCCAGCAATAGGGAATGAACATGTCTTTAGTTGCAAAGCAGCAGAGTCACAATGTCAGGCGAAACTTAAGAACTCTAAGAATAAAAGAAAATATTAATACTTAGCATGAAAACAGAAAAATTACTAGACTTGAAGTCAGTAGAGAACAATCTACCAAGTAATCAGCATACTGGGACAATGTATGAACCCCTTGTACATAATCTGAAGAAGCATCTTCACTTGTCTTGTTCTTCCCAAGATTCACCCCTAGTATTCCAGGGCCTGCTTTGCCTCCAGGTTTGACTTCTTCACCTGAAGAAGAGGAAGTGCTTGTAGTTTCATCCAACTTCCTCTTACCGTGCTGAGCACCCAACCGCTTTGCAACAGCAACAATTCCTTCACTATTAAAGCCACATCGATTGATGATAGCTCTGAACACAACAACAGGTAGATTGATAGCACATAAGTTAGAATAAGAAATGTAACCCAGCTCAAGTTTGAGAAAAAAAAAATATCAGAAGCTAAAGCACCTTCACCACTTTCCAAAAGTGAATAGAAAATTTGACTTAACACATGAAATTCGAGGCAATTCAGGTCTTAATCAGAACATAATAAGATAAACACAAAACATACTCTTACCCTTCCTCACGCAATCTGAAGATACGAGGCTTTGGATTGCCCTCTTGGGGAACAGGGGTTACAGAGCCAATCTCTACAAAGCCAAAGCCTAAACCAAGTAAACCATCAACAGCCTCAGCATTCTTATCAAAGCCAGCAGCAAGACCTACAGGGTTGGAGAACTTCCTTCCCCAAACTTCTAGCCCTAAATTTGATGGATCTGGTCTCTTCTCTCTAGGAACCCAGCCACGTGCTGCGGCTGAGACACCCAGTCTGTGAGCAACCTCTGGATCCAGAAGAGCGAAGAATGGATTCACAAGTTTTGTAGCTGAGAATAGCCAGCCACTTCAAAAATTTGATGCCCAAGAATTAGCAACAAATGTAACTAAATGTAAGCTTCAACATTTCACAAAAAAATTAAACCATTCAACAAACTACTGATAAATAAACTGAATTACACGGTTTCTGCTTCATCCACATAAATAAGTACACAATAGCATAACAATGAACAACCTCATACCAAGAATGAGGCAGAACATAACAAATGACAATCCATAATTTTTGTCTAATGTCCAACGAAAGCTATTAATTTAGCAAAAGAAATTTATGAATTTACAACTAGGCATGCAATTCCAAAGTTACTAGGTAACAATGAAAAATCCAAAGAAAATTTACCCCCACCCCCAACACCAAACAACACACGCTCACACCACACAGGTTTCAAGCAATACAGCATGGCAGACTTTTAATTCAAGCATCAGAGGTTGCCTTAAGAGAATTCCACATGTTTTATGCTTAGGCTTTTCTGGCTGAAAGGTAACGGTAAGTGGAATTAAACATAAATGTTGAAACAATGTAACCATATGAAAGGTTAAATGCAAAAAGCGCAAAACTTCTACTTAAAGATTTAAATGAGGTACCAGAAAGTTGCTTCATCCACAGTGCTCACATAAGCTCCTCCGCCTATAACTAAGCCTAAGAAGGTACCTGTCAACAACCTCCCCTACAATTCAAAATAAGCAGACAGCACTTCAAAATCAGACAATAATGTGTTCCAGTAGTAACTGCTTAAATACAATGAAATTCCAACAAAATTGACTTAAAAATAAAAGTGTAAGCAAGACAAAATGAAAAAGGCACCATTTTGGTGACATGGGTTTGCATTTTTACTGGAAACAAATAACACTATAATCGTCATAGTTCTTCTTCTGAGATTCTTTGTCACCAAAATGATAATGTCATACGTATACTAAGCAGAAGAAGAGAGAGAGAGAGAGAGCATACTTTCTTCGAAAAATGAGGAATCTTTGGAGCAGTTTCTGCAGCAGAAGAACAGTGTCTTGCACTTGCAATAGGAGTTGTGCATGCCCTTCTGAACAAAAAGTCTCTCAGTAATTTTCTTGAAGCCCTGGCCGCCATGACCTTCAATGATCAAATAAAAAAGTTAAAAACTTTCAGTAGCTTAAATATGGCCTCGCGAACTAACTTTGAGAACAAAACAATCAAGGCAAATGCAAATTTAATAGTAGAAAAGGAACGTACTGAGCAGTGGAATGCAAGAGAGTGCTACACGGCTTGTTGCGGCGGCAGCTTGAAAGGGCGGGGCAATGTGTGAAATGTTATGTTGCACCAATACGCCAGTCTCGAGGGGTATGCTCGTAGTGAAAGTTTGACCGTCCGATAAATTTTGAAGAGAACCAGAAATCGCCGTCGTCTGTGAGGCGCTACTGCGCGAGAAGGAAGAAGAGAGCGCCTTTGTTTTTTCTTAGGTTTTCCCTGAGACGACGACGTCTCATTGCTGGGCTTTCAAATTCACTCAAGTTGGAACGCACGTTTTGAGGAACAAAAATATCCAGAAATTTAGCTCCCCAACCCAACCCCTAAATACAATTTAACTAAAAAAAAACAAACAAACAAACAATCAAATAAAGGGACTGCTAAAAACTGGGAAGGATTTGACGGATGAGTTTTTATGATAAGGGTGGCATATATGAATTAAGATATGGATTTTCATATCATCCATACGATTCATCTGAATAATAACTTTACTTAAGTTTATTGTAATGATTTTGTAGTTAATATAAAAGTTCGCATGAGAGGTCCATATATAACACCCTTATTATAGAATTTCGCTTTGAACGAGTCTTGTTTTCAAATTTGGTTTCTTTTGGGCCAAAAACCAAGTGTCATATGGGAAGCTTAATTTTTGTACTAGGCCCAAGATTGATGCCCATTAGGTGTTTCATATTTACATTTTAAAAAGATAAAGAAAATTATCCTATAATTAGTTATTAGCCCCCGCCAATTGATTTTTTCTTTTACTTTTACTTTTTTCATTTTAGAATTGTAAAGAAAACATCAAGATGCGCCCCATGAAAAATAAAATATGAACAATGTTCTCCTTTTGTTTTATTTTTTTTATAATTTTGATATGGAATTTTGTTCATTTACTATAATTTAAATAAATGAACACTTCTCCTGACGAAATTTCGTCGGCAAAGATCTATGCCGGCAAAAGTTGCCGGATTAGGATTTCCTCAACAAAAATAACTATGCCCATGAAATTTCGTCGGGAGAGGTTTTTTGAGAAAAATAAATATCAACTTAGGAGGTTTTGGTGAATTCATTTTTTAAAATGTTGTAGTTAGTAATTAGATAATATATTTGCCTTAATATTAAATTAAGCATGTTGTCCCGAAGAAAAAGTAAAGAAACTATTTTTATATTTTTAAAATTAAATATTAATAAATAAATAAATAAACACTTCTCCTGACGAAATTTCGTCGGCAAAGGTCTATGCCGGCAAAATTTGCCTGATTAGGTTTTCCTTGACGCAAATATCTATGCCGACGAAATGTCGTTGGCATAGGTATTTTTGAGAAAAATAAATATAAACTTAGGATGTTTAGGTGAATTAATTTTTTAAAATTTTATTGGTAGTAATTAAATAATATATTTGCCTTAATATTAAATTAAGGATGTTGTCCCGAAGAAACAGTAATGATAAAATTTTTATATTTTAAAATTAAATATTAAAAAATAAATAAATGAACACTTCTCCTGAAGAAATTTCGTCTTCAAAGGTTTATGTCGGCAAAATTTGCTGCATTTGGTTTACCCTGACGAAAATACCTATGCTGATGACATTTCGTCGACATAGGTATTTTTGAGAAAAATAAATATAAACTTAGGATGTTTAGGTGAATTCATTTTTTAAAATTTTATTGCTAGTAATTAAATAATATATTTACCTTAATATTAAATTAAGGATGTCTCGAAGAAAAAGTAAAGAAACTATTTTTATATTTTTAAAATTAAATATTAAAAAATAAGTAAATGAACACTTCTCTCGACGAAATTTTGTCGACAAAGGTCTATGCCGGCAAAATTTGCCAGATTAGGTTCTCCCCTATGAAAATACCTATGTCGACAAAATTTCATCGGTATTGGTATTTTTGGGAAAAATAAATATAAACTTAGGATGTTAAGGTGAATTCATTTTTTAAAATGTTGTTGTTAGTAATTAGATAATATATTTGCCTTAATATTAAATTAAGGAAGTTGTCAAGACGAAAAAGTATAGAAACTAATTTTGTATTTTTAAAATTAAATATTAAAAAATAAATAAATGAACACGTCTCCCGACGAACTTTCGTTGGCAAAGGTCTATGCCAGCAAAATTTGCCAGATTAGGTTTACCTCGACGAAAATGCCTATGCCGACGAAAGTGCGTTGGCATAGGTATTTTCGAGAAAAATAAATATAAACTTAGGAAGTTTAGGTGAATTAATTTTTTAAAATTTTATTGCTAGTAATTAAATAATTTTTTTGCCTCAATATTAAATTAAGGATGCTGTCCCGAAGAAAAAGTAAAGAAACTATTTTTATTTTTTAAAAATTAAAAATTAAAAAATAAATAAATGAACACTTCTCCTGACGAAATTTCGTCGGCAAAATTTGCCGAATTAGGTTTACCCGACGAAAATACCTATGCTGACGAAAGTTCGTCGGGAGAGCTCTAATGAACTTGTGCCGACGAAATTTCGTCGGGAGTGGTCTTTTTGAGAAAAATAAATATAAAGTTAGGATATTTAGGTTAATTAATTTTTTAAAATTTTATTGTTAGTAATTAAATAATATAGCCTTATTTAATTAGTAAAATTAGTAATTATATTTTAATTATTATTTATTTGGTGAATAATTAGTATTAAATTTATTAATTAACTTCATGAATTATATTACTTAATAAATAGTAATTCAATTTTTCCTTTAATATTCACTAATTAAAACATAACTACTATTCAAAGTAATTAAAAAGAGAGGTACTGAAAGGGTATAGCCGCGCGGCTGGACTTTTAAAATATTATATTATTCGGAGTACAGCCGCGCGGCTATACGTTGAAGATATTCTTTTGAGGTGCCCTTTGTGCACACCCCACATCGAAAATCCACAATCCTAGAAAGGTCTTTATAAACAAAGCACTACGATGGTTTGGTAAGTGTGGTTAACATTGGAGAGTTGGAGGTATTGGGCTTGGCTAGGCTCGGCTTTGGATTTGGCTATGCTCTCTCATGATTCTGTAGAGGTGTGTGAAATTATATTGAAGAATTTTTCAGTATTGGTTATTCGAGAGTATGTTATATATGCACTACACCTGAAGTCTTGTATTTCATTTCCCTCTTCTCAACCTCGTTTGTATCAAAATTATACGTTATATAGTGAATTGATTGTAGCTCCACCAAAGGAATGAGAGTCAATATCAAAGATCCTGTACTGTGGGTTCAACAATGTTCTGTTGTGCAACCCATTGTGGAGGAGAAAAATTTGGGCAACAATAATATCACACCAAACATGTTACCACACGATGCGCATCAATTAAAAACCAACAGTCGAAATCAAATTTAATATTGATTAGCCAGCCTAGACAAAAAGACACCCCTAATTAAAGTACTGCCACTGCATATAGATCCATGTATAAATTCAATTTCTCACTTACATATCACAATGGATTGGTAGGGAAAATTATTAAAAGCCCATTTATTTCCTATTGAATTGAATTATGTAAAAGAAAAGAAAACATTGATCATTGATCATTGATGATAATCATGATGATGACGATGACCACGACCACGATGACGACTTCATTATGCAAGGTCGCCTTCTGGGGTTAGGCCAAGCTCCTTGAGGACCTCAGCGCACTGAGCGTCGGGTTCCGTCTTGAGGAAACCAAGAGGGTTTGGAATGCGATGGGGTCCGGCGATGCCATTGTTGTTTGTGAGGCTGATCCTCGCGCTCAACTTTGCATGAGAGTCAGTGCTAATCTCGCTGCAGTCATCTCTGGGGCTCTTCACCAATACCACCTGGCAAACCTCCTCTTCGTGGTCTCCTTCCACCGGAATTTGGTACCTTCCTTGCTCATCAGTCTCTGTCTCGCTGCTCAGGGTTATGGTCCCGCCTTCCCGGTCTCTGCATTCCAACTTCACCTTTGCACCTGCACGTGTCCCATTCCATGCAATGTGAATGCATACATTGTTAGAAAGAAAAGAAAAAAGATTGTTTGCTATCGAATATCAGTATGCATCAAATACGGTAGATAGATTGGGGAAGACGATCAGACAATGTACCTTGAAGGGGCTCACTGATCCTGGTCATAAACTGGATACGGCAGCTGTCACAGTAAACAAGGCCATCCACACTGAGGTTATCGGCGCAGTAAGCGAAGCCGAGGAGGGACAAGAAGCAAAGGGCAGAGGCAAGGACAAAACCACTAGACTTCGTTGCCATTGTTCCAAATTAATTTTTTCTTGTTTGGTTGGAGATGGATTTATATTAGAGGAGGACTGTATAAGTGCAGATTAGGGGGGATCTGTTTTTATAAAGAAAAAAAGAGTACGCATATGTTGGGGAATTTGTTTCGTTTTTCTTGGTTAGCAGTTATTTTTCTGAGGTTGTCATTTCTTACCTTTTTTACATGTGGCTGAGACAATTAGTTTGACTCGCTCTTTGCTCCTCAAATCTCTCTGTGTCTCGAATGGTGTTTGGTTCTCAAAGAAAATTCAAGGTGTTTACAGTACCAGTCATTGCCAATGGGTATTAGTTATAGGGATCCTGAGGCTCTACATTTAATATCGGTGCATTTACACAAATCTAAACCATTTGATTAATCTAATGGAGTTAATTATTCCACGTCAGCATAAGAACACGCCTTTTTTTAGCATTTCACTTAGGCCTCATCATTTGGCCCGCGGGCTCAAGGGCCGATGGGGGCCCGCCCGACCCATTGAAAAAAGCCCTGCTCGGCTCGGCCCACCTTGGGCCGGGCTAGGTTTGGGCTTGGGTGTCTGAAGCCCGGCCCGGCCCGATTAAGCCCAAAAAAGCCCGGTCCAACCCACCCACAAAAGCCCGGCCCGTTAGGCCGGCATACATATATAATTATGTATAAATAAGAGTTCATGATTAGGATTATATCACTTAAATCACATATATAATTTGTTTCATTTCATTTACTTTTCTTTACCCATTCCTAGTTTATAATTGGATGATTAACACATTAATTTGTGTCAATTATTAATACAACAATTATATATATATATATATATATAAATAAGATGAACAACATATCATATCACCAAATATAATCATATCACGAAACATAATCGTATCACCAAATATAATAATGCTTTTCTTGAACAAATCACCAAACATTTGCATATTTATTCATACCATCCTTTAAAAAAAAATTTTTTTTGATACTTATTATTTTTTAAAATTATTTCTTAAAACATATTACGGTCTAATTATGTAATAACCTCAAAAATAATACTTGGTTTTATTATTTTTGTGGAAAATCTTATTAAGTTGTGTGACTTTATTGGGTGTTTTATGAATTTGGTTTGATGTGAAAATATTGGAATTAAGTGAGTTTAATCTCAAATTTGGACTAAAATGCCTTATGATTAAGTTTATGATTTTTTTCGAATGAAGTAGGCCCGTTTCGGCCCAACCTATTGGGCTTAGCCCGGCCCGGCCCGATGGGCTTTCTCAAGCCCGGCTCATGGCTTGAGCTTGGGCTTTGAATTTTCTAAAAAAACCCGGCCCGACCCAAGCCCATTAAATTTGAGCTGGACTAGCCCGGCCCGGCCCATTGACGAGCCCTAGAGATTTATTTTTATTTTTATTTTAGATTTAATCAATTCCCCTTTCACCTTCCCCACGCCACAAACCCCTCTTTCCAGACTCCTGTAGTAACATGGATGCCATCTCTCCAACATGCAGCACAAATGATCAAAGTTTTATTTATTTATTTTCTTTAGCTCAATTCAAGCTTGCCATAGAATTGATGACTTGGGCATAGCCATACTTGTGTCTTTACTTCTTTGCTGATAAAAAAGGGAATTCCCGAAGAAAATCTAATTCCAGTTAAATTTTTTATCCTCAAAACTTCCACACGAGAAAAGAGCATAAATATAGAATCAAGCTGCATTTCCTATGATATGCTTTTGAATTTGTCCTAGGTTTTCAATTTCATTATATTGAAACTTGACGGTGCATAAGGTAAAGTTAAAAAATGTCAAATAGGAATTAGGAGGGGTTGGGGTTCGACTGCGATAGCAATGGTAGCTATGAACAGGGAGTCTGAGAAGAGGGTTATGATAGATCTAGAATACGTGAGGAGGGTGGAAGGGGCGTTGATTAAACCTAAAATAATACAGAGCTCATTAGCCGTAAGTGATATGCTACACAAGGTGAGTTATAATTATGCTGACGTGGAATAATTAACTCCATTAGATTAATCAAATGGCTAAATACACCAATGCTAAATGCAAAAGGCTTGGGATCCCTAGTTCTAGTACTAAAGCCTCGACATCCACACTAATTTGCCTTCGTATAATTTCAAAGTTACAACCAGAAAACAGAATGTTGAGTTGAGGGAACCCTACTTTACTCTTCATCCAAAATGTTTCGGAGCAACTAGAAAGGGATGCTTTAACCAGAAAGAATTCAGTTCAGATGTACGGCTTAACCAAAATGAATGTTAGCTCTGGCTTGTAAGAGATAAAGTGTGAATGTGGAGACGAACGGGGAAAAAAAACTGCACAAAACTAATGTCGTCGATTTGGTATCAAAATGAGAACGAAGGAAATGGAGAGATCACAGAATCAGAGAAGCTGGTTGAAGGAGCTAAGAGACAAAATCTTGGAACCAGTGGATTTGAGTGAAAAGTTAAACAAGCTGAAAACATCTCTAGCATCCAGAAAAAAACGCAAACAGCAAAATACCATACATTCCGCAGATAAAGCATGACAATTTGATTGTAACAATACCCCAGCTAAAAGGTGAAACATTCTCAACAAACGGCGGATTGGATGTGGATAAGAAAGCCTTTACATTAGGTCAACAACGTGGACAGATGAATTCGGGGTTGCAAATGCGACTAACAGTAAGGTCAAACTACAATGCCAAAATTAACAAGATGACGAAATTAACTAGAATTTTTGGATTTTGGATTTTTTTTTTTTTTTTTTTTTTTATTTAAAACACCCTAAAGTAGACCATGCATCAACTTTCTCCATCCACAAATTACACAATGCCTAGCCATGGTCCGCTTCAACTCACTGCCAAAAGGAAAAGGAAAGGAAAATAAGGATGTTGAACACCCAACAACCCAAATTATAATAAAATCCTTGCTAGATATGGCCCAAATGAGAAAACAAAATGTCTGTTAAATAAGAAAACAAGCTACCTCTGCATCTTCACCTCCAGGCTTAGCAGAGACATCCACCTTCTGGGCTTCCTCAGCTGTAGCAAAGTATTAAATGAATAAACAATGCAGATATCAGATTAGCAGTGTACCCAAACAATTTCTCAAATCTTTCACACAACATGAATAATCAGCATTAATCCCATATAGCAGTCATTCCACTTTATATAGACTGCGGAATTCATGATTACGAAGAAAGTCTATAAATAAAACTACGGATACTTGAATATAAAATGCTTACAACTATTGCTTCCTCCACATTATAAATTTTACGTTGATCAAATAATACCAAATATCTCTCACTAATACAAGTACCATAACGTGAGCAACAGCAACAAATATCATTGTGGATTAATTATCTAGGGCAGAAATACTTTCTAACACATGCAATTCTTGAAAATGCAAGATTGTCAAAATTCTAGCACTACTTGTGGTCACTGACCTTTGATAAACAAGAGCTTACCTATTGAAACTTGCACAGACCTAGGTAGGCTGGTCTCCTTATATTTAAAGACAACTACCGCTCATAGAAAGGCATTTTAAGCTACTAGGCAACCAATGCAAAACCTTGTTATTGTTTTAGGTTACCTGCACTATACCAGTGCAGCATAGGACTCAAGAGGAATTAAAAGGTTACTAATAAGTCTATACCTCAAGGATTAATAATTGAGACGATGATTGTAATAAGCTAGTAGTTAGGCACACTTCTCACAATCACAAATCGATCTGTTGATTTATCAAAAGATACTCCAAAAGTAAGTAGTTAAGAATAAGCATCATGACTTGTACCTACATACCACAAGTCAGGAACAACTTATCCGCATAAAATGACATTGTCCAGTGCAGGTTAGCATACTTTTAAGGTTGAGAGATACACCACTGATACAACACATAAGGTATCGTACTTTTTTTTTCCCTATAGTAATTTATGAATTACCTCCATCCTCTGGAATGTCAGAGGTCCACAATGTAAGGTTGTCCCTCAAGAGCTGCATGATCAATGTGCTATCTTTGTATGATTCCTCACTCAAAGTATCCAATTCTGAGATAGCTTCATCAAAAGCTTGCTTTGCCAGGTGACAGGCTCTGGAACAAATTATCAACATACAACAAAGTAAATTTCTTTTCTTCTAATTTGCTTTTGGCCGAAAAAAATAGAAACACAATATTATGAATCTTGGTCACGATGTATATAATTACACCCGTACCTTTCGGGAGAGTTCAAGATTTCATAATAAAAGACAGAGAAGTTCAAGGCCAAACCCAGTCTGATGGGATGTGTAGGAGGTAAGTCTGTCTCTGCTTTACTAGAAGCTGCCTGCAAAATAGATAAACATAATAGACCACTCAAAATGACAAATCAATTACTTATACTCTTATAGCATCATCTTACCATTCTACAGAACAGTAATGACAGTTTATTTATACAACGAAAAAAATCAGTATAATCATTTCAAGCATCCTATGCACAATCCCCATTGCTCATAGACCATACATATAAATGGAAACTATCAGATGCAAATCAAAATCAGGGCAAACAGCCAGAAGCGAGAAATAATAATAATGAAGGGACCTAACAGGATCCTTCACTGAAGGTTTCGGTAATAGGCTTCTAACCACAACGAATAAGTTTAAGCGTAAATACACAGTGCACAATCAACTAAGCAGTTAAGAATGTAAACAAATGAACTAGACAGACATCTTTAATCAATAATAAGTTAATAACAGATATCTTGGATCACCTAACATAAGGAAAAGACCACGAATGATGCATTGTCTGTTAAAATCAAATCCAGCTATACAGAATAATAGCATTAGGTAGTTATTTCAACATAAAAGATACTTGTACCAACATTAACATCAGATATAAGTTTTACTTTTTCCAAGCAACAAAGACTTCATAATCTTGATTTCTTTTGTCTCCCGCATATTTCTCAGGAAGCAAACAGCGCATAAACCAAACTAAAGATCATCTCCTATACCTGATAAGCTTTCATTGACTGATCAGCAACCTCTTTCCTGTCATCACCAGTCTTAAACTCTGCCAAATAGCGATAATAATCTCCCTTCCTGGATTACACAAAATAAACAACTCAAAACGCTAAAAACACTAATCCACTCCAAAGCGCTCAAAGGAAAGCTTCAAAACCACTAACATTTTGTAGAAAAACACAGTGGACTCAAAAGCTGTGCAGGAAGGAATGAGATGCTCATCGATAACCCTCATGATGTCACTGCAAATGCTAGAGAGCTCAGACTCGACCTTGTGCCTATATTCCTTGATTCGGCTCACATTCTGATCGTTCCCTTTCCCCTCCTCCTTCTGCTCGATCGATGACAGTATTCTCCACGAAGCCCTACGAGCTCCGATCACGTTCTTGTACCCAACCGAAAGCAGATTTCGCTCCTCCACAGTGAGCTCCACGTCAAGCTTCGCTACTTTGGTCATCGCCTCCACCATTTCTGTCAAAAGGTAAAGTAAATGCAAGTCAAAACCCTAAGTGCAGGCCAAGAATTAAGATGCCGAGAAAATGCATGAAAAAGAAAGAAATCAAAGGCTTAGATCTCAATGCTTTTTCGGTAGAACAAAATCGAGTCTGCGAGAAGTGGCTAAACAGTGTTTGAGTTCAGATTCTCATGATGATTAAATAAAATAAGATAAAAATAACGAGAGAAAGTAATAATCCACAGTCCGTTTATTACTCTGGTTTCTTTGCTTTTCTCACTAGCCAAACAAAGTATACGTTCACACAAAATGAAGGAAAAAGATATCAAGAAAAAAAAGAACAAAAAAAAAGAGAAGAGAAAATAGTGAGAGAGTGGGACTGAGACCATCGTAGCGCTCGGCTTGTTCGGCGAGCTTAGCAGTGTAGACGTAGTTCTCTCTCTCTTTGGTGGAAGCCATGGCTGATCTCACTCCCTCTCCCTCTCTCTCTCTCTCTCTCTCTCTCTCTCTCTCTCTCTGAGCTCTCAACCCTTGTTTCTCTCTCTCCCCCCCTTTGTGCTTTATGAAAAGGTCTGGGGCATCGTTTGGTGTGGTTGGGTGGGTGAGGACCGGTTGGAGGGGCCCGGAGCGTGGCCCGCTCTCCCACTATGCCAAGACTAGCCCGGTTCAAAACCCGCATGACATTCCAACGCGCTAGTGGGGGCGTTGGGCCACGTACTACTTGGTTTTGTGAGAATGACAGCAGCGGTTGAGGGAGAGCGCGTGGAGTTGACGGCGTCGAAATGATTGTGGCGGGGTATGCAATTGAAGGTGGGATGGACCGGTTTTATTAAGCGTTATAACGGATGGGAGCTGGTCATCGAAAAACGTAAAAAATAAATTCATCGGAAATTCAGCCGGTTAAGGCAGTTGAACATGACAGTGCGTTCACTCTCTTCCACTCAATTAGATTCCTTTCTTCGTAGGTTAAACATGACAGTGTGTTTGCTCTCTTCCACTGAATTTGACTATTTCTTCGTAAATTAGAGTAATTTAAAGTAGTTAATTATCATTTGACAAATAACCTTAACAAAATTCAAGTTTCGGATTGTGTTTACACAACAAAAATGTAACTGTTTCATACTAATTCGTTCTCAACAAACTTTCTTACAAAATGGAAATGAAAAGAAGAAGAATTCACGTGGAACAGCCCTACCCACGTGAAAGAAGCAATCCTCACTGATTATTTGGAAGATGATTGTGCTAGCATCATTCTGCTACGCTCGAGTAGGTGACTGAATGCCGTTGATGCACATGGTGATGAAAACTTTGACCCGAACGAAACCAACAGCATTCATATGAGTGATGCTACATGTACTACCTTTATTGATCGCATTGTAGGCTACATATACAAATTTACATCCATACATCTTTTGGATATATCAATGTTCATATGAGGCGACAATGAAGCAAAGAGATCTACACTAAGGAACAACAAATGTGTCATCAACTAATTTCATATCGTGTGGTTATTCTACATGTTTCAGCTACACTGCACTTAGCTATAAGCTGGCGGTGATAAATGAGGAGGATTCTTGTTGCTTTAGGCTGTCAGCAACGTGAGCAACCACTCCGGTACCAGCATTGTGGAGCCATTCATTTTTCACCTGGATTCACAAACAGAAATCAGTATGAGAAACCAGAAACAAAGAAGCAAAATCTCCTGAAGAAAGATTGATTGATGACAGGCAGTACATGAATGTTGTTATGGGCAAAGAAGGGCCAAAATGCTGAATGAAAGCTGACATCAACTTTTTTCCATCCTAACTGCTGTAAGCCGCGTATCATTTCCTCTGTTCACATACTAAACAAATTGTTAATCAAAGTTATGGGAAAAGGATAAACTTCATCTGTTATCATCCTATTCTGAATTTCTATTAGCATTTATCATTTGTGTACCTTCAACAATTTCATGATATTCCAATGTGTTCTGTGTGTTGGGTTCACTCTGGGCAGCCTCCTTTGCTTTAGCTGCTTTAGGAGGAAAATGGGGACCGTCAGAGGAGACTGGGGGATAGTACTCCACATCTACAACATGCTTGTAGCCATCCAAAGACCGGCGGGGGGGCTGCCAACAAAGTTAGAAATATATATTCAGAGTGATACATATAAAACACAAAGGGTATGTAAACTAATCAGTTGTATTCAAGGACTAAAACATTTAGCTTGAAAAATATGATGGCCATGAAGAAATAATACTGCTTGTCTCAATCGATAACGAAAAGTTACGTAAGTTGCAAAAAAGCAATTACATCAACTAAGAAGATTTTTACAAGTAACCACTGATTAGCTTAAGATTTTTTTACTTCAAAATATAAAAGCAGCTAGAAAGATGCTGGATTAGTAGCCATTATATATCTGATCTTGCATGGAAAAATGCTTCTGTCCAGAAAAGAAATAATTATGAAAAGCAACCATGTAAATGAAGTTAACATGGTGGGAGAAAGAAAGACCGTTTTCATCTTATTACACCCTCTGAATAACTCTAGGGCCTCTGACTCTAGTGCAGAACCTTGAGCAGCATTTGAATAACTCCATAATTACGAAATGACACTTACAAGCATAATCATGACTGATCATAATTCCCTTGACCCTGACAACTAATGACTAATTGCCACCATAGCCAACACTAAAAAAGGCCCTGTTTTAACTAGTAGGAAAAAGAAACATTTAATCATAAAAACTTGCTTTGTCCCTGGCCTCAAAACCACTTTACGACTTTAGCCCCGGTCAAATAGCACTAACATAATTTGGCATCTTCCAAAATAAATTTGCATATGCACACTACAAACAACAGGCGGTGACAAGTTTCAGTTAGTAATTGAAATGCAAATTTTAATTTTTTTTCTTTAGTTCCAACTCAGTCCTCAATGTATTACTCATTTACTTAACAGTTAATTAATGAACAGAAAGTAAGTATCGCATAGCTCAACCAGAGAATCAACTGTCACCTTAAAAACTTCTGTTTCCCTCCTAATTGATGATGTGCGCCAGCCAACCATATCTGTTCTGTGTTAAAGAAACTGATATATTGAAGGGAAGACTAACGAATATATAAAAGTTAATACAATCATCTCATTGCGCTAAATATGAATGATATGCAGTAGGATACGATCATAAGATACATTAGCGTAAAGAATGCGACATTTAAAAGACCCCAAAGCAGATCTGCAAAATGGAATATATTAGAACCAAATTTAGAACTCGGTGAAACGAAAATGGTCAAAAGTAATATAAAGTGCTGCACTTACACAAATTTTCCGTCGTCACAATCAGATGCCATTCTCAAAAGAAGCGGAGGTTTCTCAGGCTTACCATCAGTGAGGAACAACTGACTACCAGTTCTACCAACAATAATAGGAGCAATTGGAGCAGCAAGCTTTTCTAAGAAAGGTACTCCGAACAGAAACGGCAGCTGAAGAAAAATTAAACAGAAGTTAGAATTTTCTATATAAGGGTAAGGTGGTAGTAGTCCCAGATACTTGGTATCAACAACTATCTTAGTTCTACAACAGCCCCACAACATAATGTCCTCAAACACCTCTTGAATGGTTAGACAACAGTGTTTAAATTAAACATAGCCAGACAAATTTAAACTATCTAGTCATCCTTTTTGAAGTGTATTAAGCACACGGCTGTATGTTGGAATGCAAAGTCCAAATGATTTTGGAAAGAAGGCACATCAGCAGAGTCCAGCATGGCATGAATATTCAGATGTAACTATATTGTAAATGCATATAACTAAGGATGATATACTGACCTGTTTTTTCCCTCTCACCCCGAGATGTGGAGTTGCCAATGTTACAAAATTGATTGGCTCCAAACCAGCAATCTTTCCTCGTCTCCAAGAGTATGCTTTTTGTGAATTTGCAATGGTTGTATTGGCACCATCATCGGGTGTGTAAAGGACAGAAATTGCATATCTTGCGAACAGGCCCCCGAGAGAATGGGCTAAAAATGAGATCTTCTTCAAGCTCTCTGTCTTTTGCACAACTTGCATGACCTGCTTATCATGAATCCCTAGGTTATATAACTATCATATTATATATTTCCCAACAAAGCTACAGGTACCATGCTATATTACAAAAGTTTGAAAATTTTACAATTGGCTCATCAATTTCAAAACTTACCTCATCTGCTAATCGTTTTCCAGCTCCATCAATCCCGGTAAAAGTTTTAGTGTATGTGTTAGATGAACTAGCTGCAAATACATCAACCATGAAGTTAACACTCACAGACTAACAGCCACGTACATCAAATTTATTCAAGCAAAGACAGGGGAACTTAAAAAATCAATCTTAGATGCAAATTGTGATATCATCATCACACCCTAGTGTACCAAATATGTGTTCTTCCCAGTAGAAAAACAAGATACTAGATCAGTTCAGGCCAGGTTTCTCACTATCCTTCTTAGTACGACAACCGTCGACAAACATCAACTACCTTTTCTGAGTGGTACTTTGTGACTTCTTCTTGTTCAAATTTTAATTCCACACATATGAAATTAAATTATACCGGAAGTACTGAAATCAATTTACCATAAATTAGGAAATTTCTTCCAAGACGCCTTCGTAACTCAGCTTCCCCATATGTCCAGTCACTTGGGCTGCATTACTAGGAATCAGTCAACTTGATATCAATTTTGGGGGAGAAAAAGCCAAAGAAATACATAGTCATGGAAACAAAGTCCAAGCAGTTGCGTACTGGAAACCTTCAACATGTAGAATCCAAAATTTGAAAGTAGCAGTAATAAGACTCAACGAACAATTAAAGAATGATCATATGCGCAGACATATTCCTTCAACAGCACAAACAAAATTAAGACCCTCAACCCAACTTTTGTTTATCATCTCCATTTGTTTCAGTATAAAAAATATAAAATAAAAGAAAAACTGTTGAAGAAAGCTTTCTCTTTTCTGTAAATTTTATTTTTGGGAAGAACTACCAACTACAACTTACAAACAGAGCTATATTTGAGACTTGGAACAACATATACCTTGCCAAGATGCCATGAACAAGGACGAGAAGATGATCAGGCTTATTCTCTGCACTTGCAACACCCCCGGAGGCTGATGCAAAATTTCCCCGACTAGTCATAGCTTGAGCTCTAAGGCCCTGGTTTCTCCAACAACTATATAACCCTGCAATTTTTTATTTATTAAAGTGTGTATAAGAAGAATTGGGTCATGCTTCTAACACAAGAAATTAATGCTATATTACAAAAAGACCATTAGTTTGAGGCAATTAAGCAAATATTACACCTTTGAAATTAAATCTAAAAAAATTTCCCGGGAAAATTATTTGAGAGAAATTTAAAATTACCAGAAGAAAAGCCCAGAGACGAAGAGCAACAAGACGAAGACGAAGAGCCTACAGGTCCCTGCGAACCATATCGTCGATTATCACTGAATCTCGTAGAGTAACCAAAGCGTGCGTGAATCAGAGAAGCGGATGCCATGTATATAAGTATTAATATGTATTTATAGAGAGAGAAAGCGAGAGAGATCCTAATTTCTCGTTTGAATCAAAGCGAAGTCAGCATCGTCGCCATAATGTCTAATCCTTCGTTATCTTCCTCCTGACTACCATACGCAAGCAAGCCCATGTCTCTGCCTCACTCAGCTCCTCAGCGGTTATTTCGATTTTTTCTATTCTTTTCTGCGAAATAAATATAAATAAAGGGCACCACTAAATATTCAGACAAAAATTATTGTAGTGTAGTGGATATCAACTACCAGTGCCATTTTTTTTTTCTAAGCTAAAGAAAATACCAAAATTATTTGTTTAAGGGCAGTTTTCCTCTTCTTGGTAATGAGAAAACTACCACTACCAACTTGTTAATTTGTTTTTATTTTATTTTAAACAAACTAATATTATAAGCTACTCTACCATATGAGGATGAGAGCTGCAAGGGTTCGGATAAATTACTTTAGCCAACTGACGTAACTTAGGTCCGCAACTTACTAATTTGTTAGCTTGACCCTAAAAAAAAGTTGTAAATTATAAACTCTAATTAATGAAGTTGGTATTTAATATTGCAATAAACTCTAAACAAAATGTGACAAAATCATGTTTGTATGATCATACTTCTAATTATGGCTTTTTAAACATGTGCCAAAATGTTAACCCTAGGATGCATCTGAATGGCTAAGATTAGAGGAGGAGATTTGGCTAATTAGGGATAAAAATTCAGAGTCAATTGTGGACTTTTATGAACAATGACAAGGGAGACGGATAAAAAATAGTGTCTTAATATAACGTTTTTTTGGTGCATAAAAATATAGAAGATGTGAGCAAATATCGTCACCTTTGGAGAGCTAGCTGTTGTAGTCAAAAGGAGCCAAATGGAAAGCAATTATTGTGCCAAAGTATGACGTGGATAAATCCATGCCCACCCTTGAAGATTGATACCAAGCAATCATGGTGCTTTGCTTTGGTTTTCGACCTGCGCGCCTGATATGCCTATCTCTTCTCTTCTCCTCTCTCATCTAATTCTATGCCTAAAGGTTCTCTGTCCAGTTTGTTTTTAATATGTCCAAACAAGCATTATGGGCCTATAATACTTGGATCTGATTATTCAGACCACCAATAATATTATTGCATGAGTAATTATTCTTAACAACTTGAGCTACAAATCCCTTACTCCGGACTCGAACTCGAATTTTGCCGTTCGTTATGAGCTTATATTAGCTTAAAATGACTTCAGCTAGTTTATCATGGGCTTTCAAATTCTATGTACATTTAGAATTCGGGTACAAGGCCCAAGGTGAATTGGGAGTCACTATTTTTTAGAATGGGAGCCCAATATGCTTGGTGTCTTCTCCAGGTGTATAAAATCATATACGGAACCAAATAATTATATGTCGCCACCACTCTGTATTATAATAATATACATGACAACACACCGTATTTACAAAGGTAGTGAAGAATAAAACCTTCAAACTAAAGTTATGCCACCACGTCATAGAACTGTCGGTGCATAAACAACTGACGCTAACATTCTTATTAAAAGATGAAAACAAAAAAGCTGGAGAAAACCACTGGCATATATACATATCTTAATATGTCCACATCATAGTGAATTCACATTATGGAGCAAGCATGAGGGTTATCGTCACTGAACGCAGCAGTGCCCTGCTCGCTAAAAATGGTGGAGTAAGGAGGAGGTTGATAGTAGCCATGCTCATGACTTGTGGAGCCATGCTTGTAGTAGTTGTAGGAGTAGGATGAATTAGGTATTGAGTTATAGGTGATGATGGGTGCTTGCTTCTTGTAGCCATGATGGTGATGATCATGGTGATGATCGTGTGGCTGATGTTGACGGTAGTATTGGAGATTATTGATGTTGTGGTATTGTGGATTGTAAGGGTAAGGCCAAAGCTCAGCTCTCTTTCCAGTCTTCCTAACTGCCTTCAACACTTTTTTTTGGTCAGCCCATCCCATTACAGTCACCTTCTGCATGTTGACGTCTACATCAATAGCATCCACTCCTGCCATACATACAGTTAATTAATTAATTTACATAATAACATTAGAATCACGACAATAAAGCATATGTACAGTTAAGTTAGTTGGCTAAATCGGTGTATCCGTCCTCTTACATTCAAGTTCGATTCCCCTCTTCGTACATGAGTAGTTAAAAGATTATAGATAATCTTAACCAAGGGATTAAGCTAAGCTGAGTATTTTATAATGAGTAAAATCTAGTTTTCGATATTTTTTAAACCAACATGCTACTTGTTATATTGTACCTTGTCGATCCTTCTTACTTAGAATAGAAGGAAAACTTTTGGTCTTGGCCTTGATCTTTAAGTAATCTCTTTTACTAATCAGTTAATATTATGTGACGTACTTGTCCGTTTCATAACCCACGACCAATCATTAGAAAGAAAGTTTTAAATTTCTGCAGGATTATCTCTTCTCAATAACTTGTATTAATGCTAGAGATAGAGCGACAAAAAAGAAGAAGAAGAAGAAGAAAAAAGCACTTTTACAAAATTATACCTTTCAGCTTTTTCAGAGCTTTCCTTATCTTGGTCTCGCAGCCAGCACAGTCCATGTGCACTATGAGCTCTACTATCTGCACAAAATTAACAATCCACAGATTAATTACGATTCAATTTACTTGACAAAGATGACCCAGCTAATAAATTTTCAAAAATAAGTACCTTCTACCAATGCAGTTAGTGTTTAACTTCAAAAATAAACAACATATATATATATATATATATATTTAACACGCCATGCAGAACTTAATGCTTGTACATACTGTTCTTGGATTGAAAGTTGTCCAACATATATATCATCTTAATTTCATTTCATGCGATCAGTATACATATGCCTGAATATAAACTTGCATATATATAGTACATAAATAAAGATGCTATCATGAAGTATAAGCAAGTACTAAAGTCAGAGGCGGAGCTACGATTCTTAGTATGAACGATCAAAACTTGAAAATCACTTGCGCATAACTTTCTCATCTTCAACTGAAAGCACTAAGTTAATTGCAGAAATTGTATTGTTATGACATATGTTTCGTAGTATATTACGAGGGATTTGTGACTCCTTCCCTGACTGAAGTACATGCATGAACCTCATCTCTGATGTATATGTCATCATGCATGAGATGAGACAAATATAGACAGATAGAAAACCAAAAAGAGTTGTTTCTCACCGTCATGTTGGAATAAGATATATCTCTGGTCTCTTTTGCAAATTGGTTCGTACGTTTGAGCCTCTAACTTCTTGGAATGAGAAACTAAAATGCAATTGCACTCAATATATATAGACGGCAGAGATCTTTGTCCAAAGATATTTGATAACTTCAACGCTGCTGCCTGAGCTAAGGCAAGATAAGTTAGAATATTTTTTTAAAACGAGTAGCCCCCACAACACAACTTTCTTTTATATCTTTCGTTTTCTTCTTCACCATCGATCTTGCTTTCAGTGAAAGTGCACAGCAACTGCTTAGAAGTTGATGTGCAAGCCTTCTGATGAGCTTCAAATTTCTAATAACCTACCCATACAAGTAATATATTGTCTAATTAAGGACTTAACCGTGTTGGTCAAGTCACTCTGGTGTGTACAGGAAATAACAATGGATATTTATTTTATTTTTTTAATTGCAATTATTAAACCAGTTTGGCCGTCGCCATAGTTGTTAACGCCATACATATAGTCATCATCATCGTCATTATTATTAAAATGTTTTTAATTATCGACATCATTATGTATATAGCCATTAATTAATAAATATATGCATGGATAATGGATTCCATCATGTATATCATCTTTACAACTTTATTACATGTCACATGTGCAAGTTGTTGTACTATAATGCTCGTGGATAGACATAGCCCCGTTGGTAAGTTGGAAAAATGAGTTACAATTAGGTCATGTTCCGTCGTAAAATATATATATATATATATGGCCTATAATAACTCTCACATCTCACGACTTGAACACTCTCGGTGTCTAATGTATCGCTTTCTTATCGAATAAACTATTTGTAACATATTTACTTATCATAGTGTAGTTTGTAAATGAATTTTCTTGTTTTTATTTTAACGAAAAATAAGATTGTAAATATGATATATATAGCATCAATTTTTTTTTATTACCGAGATAAAGAAGTGATACCATATTTGATAATAATATGGATATTGAGATTCGAGAAGGAGAAAAAAGGAGTGGACTTGACTTGGTCTTCAAGTCCTGGTTCCCGGAAAGAGAGAGAGGGAGGTGGAGTGGAGGGGAGGTCGGTGAAATATGCCCTAGTAGAGGCCTAGTTGCATATCTTTGCCTTGCAGGACCATATAAAATGAGATTCCAAATTCATGTGCACCGTGATCCGGGACTTTTAATTTAAGAAAACGACTTTTTGTAACAATCCCTTTCTAATTGGTACAACCGATATCTGTCCTACGTCTGAGCATTTGAATGAGGAAGTTGGACTTTATATATTTAGGAAATTATCTACGTATTATAATATGAGTAAGCGATATATTTATATTTATAATGAAACACGTGTTATAATATAAGTGGTTGGTGTTATCATCGTGACACTGAAAGATTTCTAGTTCATAAATTTAATTCATAAAGATGATTTGGGAACAAAACTCAAAATCTACACCTTATGGTATTGATTATCATCAACTTAATTTTTATTTTCTAGTAGGATACCACAATCAGAAACCATATCATGATACAGCCCTGGATTTGGACGAAAACGGTGGGGAATTGAAAAAAAAAGAAAAAAAAAGGAGAAATTATTCCCTAAGTAAGGAAATGAAGTTGTAAACTGATGATATGTAGGCACCTACGGGACCTTGGCTTGCTTGCTAGCTAGTCAACAACATGTTCTACTGGCCGGCAGCAAATGCCTCAACTGGAAAAGTCTTAGTAATGCCGGCAAGGCTCTTGAAGTTGATTTTTCCGGTGGGCTGATCAACGATGATTTCGCTGACTGGAGGCCAGAGCATGAGCTCCTTAGCCTTCACTCCCTTGAGCTTCTTAATTCTCTTGTTTTCAATATAGCCTTTAATTTCAGTGTCATAACTCACAAGCTTACTGATCAATTTGAAGCTGTGCTCAACCTTCTTCTTCTGGAGGATCCACATGTAGCCGGTGCTCCTCACAATGCCGACTTCGATCACATCGGCAAGGGGCAAAAGCCCTAGAGGAAGATCAAACTCCTGGAGCAGCGCAGTTGCCAATGCCAGTCCCTCTTCATGGCCCTTCTTGACAATTCCTCCTTCCTTCTCCGCCATGACTGAGTGTCTTTCTTTCTTGCTTGCTTAAAGTTTCAAATGAAGCAGTGAAGTTGTGGGTATGTTTGGTTGAGGCAAACGGGTTAATTTATACAAAGTTACTACATGCATTGGGACAAATTTCAACAGTGTGCTTAAGTTGGATGGCCATTACACACCTAGTTTTAATCGATAGTTAATCTTAGATTACAACATTGTTTCAGTTCCAAGTACAAAGCTCAACGATACGATACGCCTACTTTCCCATACTGAATTTGGGCAGCTCATTGTCTGGTTGCAATTGTCTTAAACGAACAGGAAGAATAGGACCCAACAAAAGCAGCAACATGGGGGTGAAGACCACAACACACTTTGGGGCCTCCAGTGCTTCATCCCATGGATCATAAAATAAGGATTTAAGAGAAATTTTGGGGACTACTACAATGAAAATTACCTTGGTTTCTCCATTCTATTTGTCCCATGCATGCAGTAATTTGGTATAAATTAATCCCCTTACCCAAATGTACTTACAACTTCACTGGTTTTCTTCGAACTTAAAGAAGAAGAAAAAGGGTTCAATCATGGCAGAGAAGGAAGGAGGAATCATCAAGAAGGGCCACGAAGAGGGACTGGGGTTGGCGATCGCGCTGCTGCAAGAGTTTGAACTTCCACTTGGGCTTTTGCCCCTGGCCGATGTGATTGAAGTCGGGTTTGTAAGGAGCACTGGCTACATGTGGATCCTCCAAAAGAAGAAGGTCGAACACAGCTTCAAATTGATCAGTAAGCTTGTGAGTTATGACTCTGAAATTAAAGGCTATATTGAAAAGAAGAGGATTAAGAAGCTCAAGGGAGTGAAGGCCAAGGAACTCATGCTCTGGCCACCAGTCAGTGAAATAACTGCTGATGAACAGCCCACTGGAAAGATTCACTTCAAGAGCCTTGCTGGCATCACCAAGACTTTTCCGGTTGATGCATTTGCTGCTGGGCAGTAATTGCACGTTGACAGCCAAGCAGGCCAAAGTCCAGTAGGTGCCTGAATTTCATCATTTTACAACCTCAGTTCCTATTTGGGGAAGCTTACTTTTCTCTTTTTTTCCCCATCCATTGCTTGTCCAAATCAACGGCTTTGTTTTGATAAGGTTTCTGATTGTTGTAGCCTGCTAGGAAAATAAAAATTCAGTTGATGATAATTAATACCATATGAAGTGGGTTCAATGACACCAGATATGATGGAAACAATACTTGCACAAGAATAAGCTCCTAATCAAATTAATTCATCATCAAACGAATTGCCTATTCAATCTCACAACAATCCAGCAAATGAACATTAGCTATGAAGATTTTACGAAGTACAGGATGCACTTAATGGGACACATGGGTCATAAATATGCGGTGAACCCCATCTGCAGCAAAGTTCATAGATTTAAGAGTTTAATGATTTCTCTTATTACAAAGTTCATAAGAAATTTTGAAATCTGAAAATTGCTCCATTTACAGCTAACCAGTAAATAAATTTCGTCTCGCAGGCAAGATGTAAGCAGTTAAATGAAATCATAACAAACAGTTTAAAGAAGGTGTGTAGAAGCAACAAAAACAGGGGCAGAGCAAGAAATGCAAATTCAACTGCCATTTGTTTAAGAGTTAAGGCATAATGAAGCTTACTTAAGTGATCAGCTCAGCCTTACTCATACAGCAAACCTGCATTGCACTGATCCTATGGTTTCATTTGACCATTTAGTTTGCTTAGCTGTTTAGCCTACTCATAGTGTAAAAACAGAAACTAATACACGTCACTGCACCAGAGAAAAATATAAAGAAAAACTTGGTTTAGGGAGAGAGAATAAGAATGTTGTCGAGAAAAAGCAAACAGCTTTATATTTATCACTCAAGAAAGTTTGGACAGATCAGAGTTATGGCTAGTTATCTAGACATGAGCATGAAATGGCCTATTAAAGAATATGCACCAGGTGAAATTTCTTGAAAGATGGTTCTGAGAAAATAAGTTCGCTGCCAAGAAGATTGAGTTTTGATATAAATGCCACTTAGCAATTGCAAAATACACGATGAAACATAAATATGCCCATAACTATCAAAGTTCCCTAAAGAACAGCCAATACAGTATTGTATTGTGTTCTTCATGACCGAATCCAACCCACACACCCCACCCCACCCAAAAACGAGCCAGGTAACATAAAAAGCAACAAATATGTAGAAAAGATAAACCTTCGAGACAAAAGAATTTCCTTTCTTAATAATAACCTTTGTAACAAAAGAATGAGGTCCCATTAGAAGAACCAGTATGTATTATAATGTAATTGCCAATCTTCTGTTTCAAAACAGGAGAGAGCTTGTATAATTGTATCAGATGTAAGATTAACAAAATTTCAACAAAAATGTCACTTTGATCGTGCAGTTCGAAAGGCATGTGAGCATATTCCACCGATTCTGGTTTCACCATGTCAGACGCTCTCACACAATCCCAGAGTTGAACACATGTAATTCCAGTAGGACATTGTACCACCCCTTCTCAATTTCCTCCTCTTTTACTCGATGAAGGAGAAGAGTTTCAATAATTAAATCTTCCCAATCAATACCTTGTGCTCTCTTTCTCTTCTTCGTACTATGTACATCTTCAGTAGTGCGAGTATCGATACTGTCACCTGAATGAGCATTTAATGGATGCATAATTTTATCAATACGCAGCTTGGCAGCATTTATCTTTTCTCTCCTCTTCTTTACAGTCACGCAACCATTAACAAAAGATGGGGGCACAACATCCAATCCTACATCTTTCTCCAATATCTCCTTAAGTAGAAGCCTCCTGCTCAATGCAGACTTTCCATTCCACCACTCTGTACAAGCATGGAGCTCAAAACCCCGCCTCTTTTTCCTTTCACGAACCTCTTTTAACCCCCCAGACGACTTAACATTCCCAACCTCATCCAAAAACTTTGAGTACATCATGGATAAGCATTCATGTGAAAGTTTCAGCTTATCCACATTGTCAACACTCAATGCGCACCCACCATCTTCTACCTCAAAATACCGAGACTGGTGTGCAAGCTTTAACTTTTCCATTTCGGTTTCAGAATCATCTTCAAAGGACATCATATCAGTCCCATCTCCAATATCTTTCCTCAAACAATCTCTAACAACATCTCCCAAATCTAACCCAACATCGCCCTCCGAATCCTTCTTCTTACTCGGCTTTGACATTGCCTTCCTCTCCATATACTGAATCACAAACGGGGCATTCTTAACCACATTCTTAACTGTAATATCCTTCCCCCAAGGCAAGGCTTGTGCAACCTTCACAAGCGCCTGTAAAAGCTCCCTATACCTCAACCTACTAGTATGTACAACAGCATGGATTTCCTTAGCCAATTCCTCAATCCTAACGCTAATACCATTCAACTCCGCCACGAGCACCAACACCGCTGCCACAATTGGAAGCGGCCTACGCCCGGTGGTCAAGAACCACTTCATGGCACAATGTATCAAAAATATGCCCTGTTTTTTCATTCTCTGCACCTTATCCCCTTCAACATCAGCGAAACTATGCGAATTCCTAAGCGTCCGCTCGAACAAGTTGACAATATCGAATTCTGGAAAATTGGGTTTTTTCAAATCGAGGAAATTAACAACCCGCATGATCATCCTACCAAGTTCATAGGCATCGGAGCCGATCACCGAGGCAACCTCGGAGATCGGCAAGGACTTGTTATCTCTTCTCATGCCAACATAGGAGCAAGCACCAACGAAAACATTGAACCAATTACCTTGGCCGTACTCACCTTCGGTGATTGTCGCAACCATTCTCTTGACGTCGTCGGATTCGGAGGGCGAAAATCCCAGCCTAAGCGACACGTCGTCGATGAGCTTTCTTGCCTCGTATATTTTGGTCTCTTTGTAGCTGTAAACGTTGCCGGTGCCGGTGGTGCCGACGGAGACGAAGGTGCCGGTGGGGCCGTTGATGCCGCCGTACTGGTCGACCAAATTGTCGTACTCTTGGAGCCGTCCGCAGGTGGAGCAGGCGAGGTTGTTGGTGATGTCGTCGCGGATGAAGGTCTTGCCCTTGCAACTGATGCAGATGGGCATGTTTGGGTCGGTGATTGAGGGGTATGTCACTAGACTCACTACTCACTATTGCTGTGTTTGGCTGGTGAGAAAATTAGGCACTTGAGAAGGAAAATTTTGAGTGAAAGTTATTAAAAGTTGTGCAATTTAAATAGTATATGGTTTGATAGTCCACAAGATTTTTGGTATTTATGCCCGGAAACCCTTTAATTACTAGGAAAGGGCAAACCGGAAAAACGAAAGCAAGAAAGAGGGAGACTTTGAGTTGAAGTATTAATCGGGTTTTTAAGTAGAGAGGGATGAGTCGGTGAGGCTCGCCAATTTCTACAAATGGCTTTTTCATTTGCTTTAAAATATATTTAATACGTATAGCCGACCGGCTATACCACTTATTTTTAAAAAAAAGGTTATAGCCGCGCGGCTATATTATTAAGTAGCGCCGCACGGCTATACCATTTATTTTTTTCAAAGACCCGGTATCGCCGGGCGGCTATACTATGCGTAAAAAATTATCACGGGACCCCAGTATAGCCGGGCGGCGATACTCTTTAAATATATTATATTTAATACGTACGGTCCAGCCGCCCGGCTATACGTCTGACTAAAAAATTAAATACAAATTTATAAATAAACCCAATCCTAGACATGTATTTATAAAAAAACCCAAACACTATTTAAACATAGAAATACACCCAAAATCAACAATTGTATATTTTTTGGGTGTGTTTATAAATGAGTTTTGAGTGTGTGTAATGATGGGTTTTGGGTGTGTTTATAAAGTGTTTTGGGTGTTGGGTTTTTTTATAATTTCAGCCCCCATTTTGGGTGTTTTAGTGAAACTCCCAAAATTAAAAGGAAGCCAGGCATAGCCGGGCGGCTATACTATTTTAATATATTATATGTAATCCGTACAGCCGCCCGGCTATACTACTTATTTAAAAAATTAAAAGGGACCCACGTATAGCCGGGCGGCGAAACTATTTTTTTTTAAAAGCCCAAGTATAGCCGCACGGCTATACCATTTTTTAAAAACGTGATCATCTTCACAAATGGTATCATGCAATCTAATACCTAAAAACGTGATCATCTTCAGTGTTTTTAATCGCAGAGAGAGAGAGAGAGTGATGTATGATATGATGATGCATCGATCTGTTGTTGGCCGGCAAATGAGTGGCGGTATTAACTTGTTTTGAGGCCAGGCTCCAACACAAGGTATGTAGCTAATTTGGTCAATTTATTAAAGCTTAAAAGAGCTAAACAAACAGATTGATGAGGATCTAAGAGATGAAATTTTATACACTTTTAAGTACATCTCCAGCTGATAGATTTAGTTTAAGTAGCAGCAGAGATGATGGTCGGTATTTGTTATTTCTGATTAGTGAAAAGGAGCACAAACAACACAAGGTGGTCAAGGTGCAAGAACCCAATTACAAAACACAACAAAACAAGCATCGCACCACAAATTACAAATTACAAATTACAAAACAAAACAAAACAAAAAAGAAGCTTTTGAGGTCCCATTTCCCACCCACTTTGTTTAATAACACAAAAAATAAACACCTTGATGCTCTATATATATCATACCCTCTTCCATTCGAGTCTCTACTACAAGCCTAACATTTTCAAAAACAAAAAAAAAAAAAAAAAAAAAAAAAAAAAAAAAAAAACCATTAGAGAAAAAAATGCTTTTAGGTGGAGATTTTGTGTCTGTGTTTGCACTAATGCTGCTGCTTTTATTTTCTACTTCTGAAACTCGCCCTCTTAATCCAAGTTTGGGGAAGAAGAGCAACTTAACCAGTTCCGGCCAAGCATTGGGTGGAAGTGCCAGGGAATTACTCAACGTTTGGTTGCAAAAACAAGACGCAAACCAAACTCGTTACAAACCCAAACGAATTAGCCCGGGAGGTCCCGATCCACAACATCACTCCAAAGTTGACGACTATACAACCTCAGTGAGAGAGCTCGAGGGCTCTAATTAGCATATATACATATGTTTCGGTTTCAGGGTGTACCTTTCATTTTTGGTCGAAATGAAAATCGGAAACTCTGTTGAAACTTGAGGGAACTTTTTATGATCGTTGAGCATCGATCATGGCATAGAGAAGTGTCATGTAATGAATAATTCATGTTTTGTTCTTTTTTTGAAATAAAAAATGTACTGTTGATGGTTCAGCAGCTGCTGAGCAATAAATATATTACCTGAATCCATCTTTGTTTGTTTGTAATTTTGTTCTTTTTCCAGGTATATTATATATAAAATGGTAGGGAGTAGAGTAAAGAAGTATCGCTTTCTCAAAATCATGATATGATGGGAAAGAAATCTGCAAAACAGAATGTTTTCTCTTTCATAATGAGGATTACTACAAGGATATTATATATGATTGGCTCACAACATGCACTTTTAAGTTTTATATTATTAGCAGCCAAAAACGAAAGCTAATGCTCATTTACAAGTGACAATTAAGGATAAGATAAACTGTACTAAATATATTATTCAATTTCAAATGGTATCTTATCTTGCTTTTCCAACTCGAATTCTGCATATACCGGGTTCTACGGAATAAGTTGCTTCAAGTCACATCAGAATCATAAGTCAAAGCCATCAGCGTTTGATCTACATACAAAGCTTGAACTTGTTCTTTTGCAGCATAAGTTAACATATCTACAAAACAGATACCTCTGCAATTCAAGATTCTCCCATAACTTACGTTGTGGGGAGGGCTTTTTTTACAGGGTTGATCTGTTTGTTTTTTTTCTTTCAATTTGCTCAGTCAATATGAAGCTTGCATTGCAAGTAGGTTCCCCTATATGTTATCTTGTTCGTGTGATCATTTTTATTTGTGTTTATGCTTGAAGCACCTTCAATATTCAATTGAGCTGCTTTTCAAAGTGTTATACAGAGAAAATGCAACCATCATCGCTAAATTAACAAAGTCAAACACTCGTTAGTACTTTTGAAATATATAATAACTGCACAACAACAAAAAGAAGCAGCACAGTTGTTTGAGTTTTGAAGCCATGATAAGTAGTTGCATATATAAATCCATTAGAACACTTGCAAGTAGAAGTTCGAAAAATTAAAGTCTCAACTTTCCTTAGTGATATTATATATATGGTGAGAAGCTGACTGGCTGAGAGTTTCAAATTTAATCTTGCAGGGGATGGCTATAGCACCCAATTCTCAGTCTCAGATATCCGATGCCTTGATTTGTGAAAGCCAAGCATGGTAGGTCCGGATGGAATTTGTCTAGGACCTTAAAAGCAAAACTTATATGTACTGACAAATTTTAAAGCTTTTGTCCAAAGTATATATATGAGACAGAACGTGGACAAGGAGATCATGCCCCATAACAAACAGGAAATGCATTAAGTAAAGAGGAGCAAGCTTTTAGCCTACCTTCAGTTTTCTGGCATTATATGAAAAGAAATGCATATGAATAATGGACACGAGGGTTATGTAGAGTGCGAATCCCACATCGGGAAAAAAGGTTTGGTGCTTGAGCCTCAAGTTTCCCATTATTGTGATTCAGAAGCCTTGAAGACTTAAAAGAAGTTTGTTTGCTTGCTCTCACTTATTCTCAACTTTAGGCCATATTACCCTCTCAATTAACTTATGGAGGCAAGTAATATACTGACCAAGGCTTGTTCAGTGCCAGTGAAATTGTTAATATGGAATAGCAAAATGTTGGATTTGCAGTTCCGCAACATAAATTCTGTGAAATTTCATCAGAACATATCTTTTGACAGATGCTAAGCACGTTTCATGAAAGAAAACTTTTAATATTGCTGCTGCTGATATTATTTTTTCCGTTGCATCAAGCATCTAGCTAATTAGAAGCGAGAACAATGTCTAATCTGCTCATTAGCAACAGATCTTCAATAAGTTGTTCTCTGTTTCAGCATTTTTTTAAAGATTATGTGTATATATGTACGGATTTCTATTAGGATTTAGGAACATAATAACACAAGATTGATTAGAACAAGTAACAAATTAAATGGCAGCAACCAAACCAAATGCAGAGCCAAAGTAATATGAAGGAACAGAACCAACTGAGTTCACCTACTCAAAACAACCAAATTCTCCCCATTGAGAGGCGAAGATGAAGAGAGAAGCAGATTGAAGGAGAAAAGGGGAATTCTCCAATTAGTATTTTATGTTAAGGATTGGTTACATATTTCTAATCTAGACAACATCTAATGAATGCAATCTAACGGCAAAGATCAGAAATATGTAACCAATCCTTAACAATTAAATACTTATTGGAGAATCAATCTACACGTATCTTATACATGGCTTATCCATAATCCATTGAGGTCATTTCATGTCCGAGGTGGTTTCCATTAAACTGCATCCAAATGAGAATGGGCGGCATCAACATAGATACTCCACCCATTATAATTTTTTTCTAGCTAGTTTTAGCTCGTCAGCAATACGATGAGTTACCTCATTAACCGTCCAAAAATATATTAATCCATTTGTTTAAAGTAATTAATTGTCGTGTCATCAACTGTCAACCGATCACAGTGGTAATGAATCTGCATGGAATATGGACCACGCCACTAGTATTGCATTGGAAATTTTAATCCGTGCGCGGCTGTGCCGACCTCCTTCGTTTATCCAGTTAAGATCAGAAAGAGGTGTTACTTTTTAAAGCCCTAATTATAGTATAATTAAGCCTCATCTGCATGGCCAATGCTAATCTGATCTATACGTGACAAGGTTACAATAAATTAATGCAGAGATGACACAGGCTTGGCCTTAAAATCTTATTAGTGATCGAGACAACTGAAAAACGACAACCAACACACGTATAAATTACAATACGACAGCTACTGATTGCATAAGAATGATATGTACAGGGTACGCCACCTCCTCCACTAAGTTATAAATCAGATAAAGAAGAAAAAATACAGCAAATAAATACGATGAACAACAAGTATAAATTGGCACGAACTGGTGTAATTATTATGAACACCTAGCTCTCGAGCAAGCTACTTGCAAATGATAATTATGAGAAGAATGAGGAAATTTAATTTTGCCTGCTTCTTCATGTTGTGCATAATTGTGGTGGTCTTGCTTCTATCAGCAACAAGTGCAGAAACTCGGCCTCTGAGGAATTATAAGTACAAGAGCAAAATATCATTCCCAGGATTAAATCAAGGTAGCAAGGCAACACTTGTCCACCACAGATACTATGAGGTGCCGACGAGAGTGAGCCCTGGAGGACCCGACCCCCGTCATCATTAAATCAATTTATACCGTTATATGTGTGTGTATATGGCGGTTGTCTTTGATATCTCTGGATGAAAAAAAATAAATAGACTAGCTCAAGTGGTTAAGAATATTCATTTATTCTTGTACTTGAGGTCTTAGGTTCGATTTCCTTCACCCCAATATCGCATGTATCAAAAACATAAATAAATGCACTTTTTATGGAAATATTGTTACTCAATGATAGATTTAGCTTGTATATTTATGGAGAAAAGTGTGTTGATTAATCGTACCTTATTGTAAAATGGCGCATATAGCACAGAGCAATCCTACCTTCAACAACAAGCAATATATGTATTATATGCATGCAATCCTGTGTTATTAGAAGAAGGTTTGGAATTTTGAGTTCTATACATATTTTTTAAGATATAATGTAGTTGTTAACATGTTAATTATGAACCAATTAACAAGAATTTTGTCCCTTGGAATGAGTCTAATAGAAAACCGGAATCACTAGTTATATAATCGGCATGAAAAGATTAAACTAAATGTAATTAATATTTTTAATTAATTGACACATGAGTAATACAGATCTTTATCAAGTTTTGAAAGATACACACCAAGATAATAAAGACAAGTATGAAAATAGTGAAGTCATCAAGAATTATTAATATTATATTTCAGAACTGACTCCACTGCTCATATCATACACGACTCTCACAAGAAAAGAGAATCCTCTGTATTGAGGATCGATGGAGCCATGTGAGACCCCAACGCAGAGAATTCCCTTTTCTTATAAAGGTCGAGTAATATGGTTGGACCGCCTCACTCTAGATGGTGTGACATCACACACAGTGGAGAGAAGGTGATTAAGCTTGGATATAGAGCATACTTCGCTTGGCCATCATCTGATTCTCCACCTAGTTGTCAGTTGTGGGACGCACTTTGAAGTCAGCCAGTTGCCTCAGCTCAATTTGTAGGACGGTCAAATGAAGAACACAAATTGTGGCTAATTATTTTTTGGTGGGCAGCAATCACTATTAGCAGCGGTAGTAATAGGACAACAGACAAGATGGACACAATCTCAGTTTTGGAAGTATTTATTATGTCCACGCGTGCACAGTTAACACACTTTAAAATAAGTAATCAACTAATTAAACTTTTATTGGCTTTACGGTATCTATATTACGTTGTTAATTACAATTGAAAATTGCACACATTCAAATATAATTTACAATTATTTAAATATAGTCATAATCCAATTAGTCCATCGTCATCGATTGGAAACGACAACGCACCACAAGGGATCCGCTCATAGATTGAGATTGAGCCCCCATTTCCATTTTTAGGTAAAGTATCACAACTTGGTTATATAAATAGGTTAGACATTAATTAAACATGCAAAAATTAAAAAGAAAAAAATGAACTTATTTGTTAAAAGACATGTAGAATGACATATGGGATGACAACAACAACGATTGGGAGTCCAATCACCTTTCCTAATTATGGTTTGTTTTTCTTTCCATCTGCAAGGATTGAAGAAATTTGGACCAATTCAATCTAATTTTAGAAAGAAGGATACTAGTGAATCCCAGCGTGTGTAGATAGTTGTCGCTCCAACTTGAAAGCTTATCGGGAAGCAAGTGGTCTCTAGAGGTTGACAAGAAGTATGACGCCCTCAACTCTCTCTCTCTCTCTCTCTCTGTATTTTATTTTTTATATAAGTGATATTAAATGAAGGAAGAATCGAAACTAAAACCTCGGTTG